CATGGAGCCACTTTAGTTTGCAAACGGAATTTTGTCACGCCTCCAATAAAATGAGCTCGTTGTCGACGCTTGAAGTTGACAACGAGAGCTTAAGTCCGGATGGACGTAAGGACTATGAGTACGTAAGACATGGAGGACTTTATGTATATTTTCAAAAAGAATCTATATACATTCATTTGCATACACTGGTCAAGACACAAAATTCTGAGGACAACGTCATTTTGCAGAAATTAGGTGGTCAGCAAGGAAGGGACGTACGTCACTTAACAACAAAAAAACAGGAAAAGAGCCGTTAGAAGAAACGATGTGGAGCGAGAAAATAATAGGAATTTTGAGTGGACAGAGGCTTTCCCCAAACAGCTGTAGTGGAGACATTTATAAAACTCTTTAAAATACACCTCCATATCTACAATTACACAAACACATATCGCTTAAAGCCCCAGTGCTTTCCAACGAGAAGATTGTAGCTTGTACATAAAATAACGGTAGGATAATTGGTCATTTATAAAGCACACAAACGCTTAAGATCTACCTTTAAAATGTATTATAAGTTGATTCGGACCTAGCATGTACATGTTCATTTGTAAAAAGGCATAACGCTTGAATAAACTCTCAGCCGGGCCCGATTGAGCGTAATTATAGAATTTACCGTTGTTCACATATTGACGCAGCAGATGCATCTTTGACATGGCCTTCGCTCTCCAGACCATAACCGCGCCACCCTTTTTACCTCCCTTTTTAAATCGTTCAAATTATGATGTTGCACTTGTATTGAGTCGCAAAGCAGCCTTCATCAGCAATGTCTTGTCGGGCTATCGTAAAGTAGCTTCCTACACATACGCGAGATACCGCACGACCTATACACGAAATCTCTTGTAAGATGGTAGTTCTGGAAGCTCCCCGTTTTTGTACAGATCTATCGCACTGTAATTAGCTGGTCGGTTGTAGAATAACACTGCTCGATGTATGCCTCGATCTGGAGATGAAATGATGATCCCCTTTAGCAAACGCCTAAACCTTACGCACCCGGAGCACAAATTGCGATATTAAAATGATCAGGTATCGTGATAGCTGCTCCTTTAATGGAAATGTCACAGCAAATGTTAAGTGCGCTGAGCTACCCGCGTGATGGCCAAATTCAGCTCCTGCTTACAGCCTCCACGTCCTGCTTAAAATGATGCAACATCAAGATACTGTCTTTATTATCCACAGCCGTTTTCGTTCATCTAAGCATCGGACCAATGCATTCGTACCACCAATCTTTCCAAGTGGCACCTATTAGTCCCTGATTTTGGCTATCACATTTCGAGCAACAACACAAAAAAAGATGATAATAAACAAAACACTGTGGATTTCACGCACGTTCAAACGAGTGCAGGTATATGAGTATCATTTAGGAAGAAGCGGCACCATCAGATACATTGATCTTTACTTGACAAGAACGTGGTCAGTCAGATAAGTTTGTTCGTTTACTTTTATGTGACAGGAGATATGTGAGCAAAAATCGTATCCGTCACTGCAGGTACTTATTGTTGCATGAACGATGAAATCGTAAAAACGCGCTGGCAATCGACGCTGTTTCGTACTCTGCGTCATCTCCATTTGAGTTCTGTGCACACGTTCGCAGGGGGTTTGCTGCGAGCTGGAAGGTCCAACCTGTACATGCTCGATGCCTCGATCTTTCAGCCCCAGTGTAAACTCGGTACTAACAAATTCTCCCCCTTTATCCGCTAGCAACTGGCGAACAGGATATGCAATTTGCTCTCCGTCACCTTCTTCGGTTGCATGGCGACGAGCTTGTCGTTCAACCCAAGCAATGCATTGTCTCAGCGCTGCGGCTACTGCATTTGCTGCTTTTGTTCGCAGCATGTACGTTGTAACGAACTTGCTGAAAGCATCCATGATCACCAAAACTGCATCAATTTGAGTATCGCTATTTACGCCTGGCACCAACAAATCTGCATATACAAGCTGAGAATTTCCAGTGTCCAAGTGCTACGCCATGCCGCTGGCAGTGCTTTAAACTGCTCCACATTGGTACATAGTAGGTGACCAGTGTGAAACGCGTTCACGACCTGCACTTTCCATAGAGCAGCGTCATCTCTCTTGCTGCGGATGAGAATGATCTCGAACGGGCCTCCGAATTTCTGAGTCGAAGCATGTCTCAGAACTTACTTGCTTCCTTTACGCGGCAAACCACCTTGAGCTCACCTGAGAAACGCCTTCCTAATTATTCGCGGTGTACCCCACTCCCGAGTCCTTTTAACAATGAGAGTAAACCCTTCATTGTAGCACATGATGTCGCAGCATCTTTTGCCTCTTTCAGGGTACAAGTAAATGAGCACTTCCACGGCTCAAAGGATGCTGGGGGCTGTATTGGCAAAGTCAGATGCTGCGGCTCCTGCTTGACATCATTACTCATGCTTGTCACTGAGACTGAGAAAGTAGAGGAGGGACGGTGTCAGATGAAGATGATAAAATACGATCGAGAAGGTTCATCGGGTCAGCTAAACTGTGACTACATCAGAATTAGGTGCTGATTATTAAATTTAGGTGAGAATCATCACATTTTGATAAGCTGGATAAATCGCCGGCACAATGACCCGCTTGGACCGGTATGTTTGAACTTTCCCTTGTAATTGTACCTTCAAATATTTGTCAATTTAACAAATAGTGCCATGGGATTCTCGTACAAATACACACTTTTAAATACAAATGCTTAACCCCGCTTATGCGTGATACAGCGCAAGTCACTTGTAATTAGCAACAAAACACCTTAAGCTTCTTTGTGAAAATTGCCTCCAGAAACTACACTAATTATTTAGAAGTTTCTATACATTGAATCTGAGAAGCTACTGAGCAGTCCTATAGAATCAGATTTCATGAATTTTTATTTTCATAGAGCAGTCCCTCTTTAAAGTTTGGCCAATACGAGCATTTTTGAATGGGCGAGGGAAAATTTAGCCGAGAACAAATGATTGTAACTTGAATTTTAATTATTTGATTGTTTTAATCTAATTAAGATGAATCGAAAAACTAAATTGTCCAAAAAAATCACCTTAATCGAGGTCTGTGGCTGGTATGCGCCGGTGTGAACGGTACATCTTGACGGCATAATCTGCAGCTGTACCCGTGAGACATTTCTGGTATGCATCCATGTACCGCTGCGCTTTTACGGACATACCGTTGGAGCTCTGTTATGCCGACGGAGTCCAGGGCTTTTGGCAGCGTTTCTTGTAGACCATGTCACGTGTAGTTGCAATGCGTCCCGGCATGCCGCTTTACCGCACCCCATAAATGTTCGATATAATTGAGCTCTGAATGAAATTTTGGGTAATATATGATCTTGTGGCCATTTTTCAACGATGAGCTCCTCAAGCATTCCGACCTGACCAACAAATTCAAGTTGTTTGGCCAAGATGGAACGGGCGCATCACATCCTCGAGTCCTCACACTCATCTTGCACTCAAGTCGCAACCCGTTTCTCCACAGAACACGTTATTGAAGCACGATTTTCAGTCCTTTTGGCTGTCCTTTGAGTGCCGGATCACAGGGATCCTGCGGGAAGGACATAAATCGGATCTGCCCGTCTTCACTAAACGTTGTTGCCCTGTGCAGAATTTTTTTTGGTTAGCACACAGTACGGTAGCTAAATGTCGCTGAACAAAACGACATACCAGATGTGAAACCTACCGCATTTTGGCTGCTTTCCCTCATGCGAAAGCTTCATCTTGTTTGCGATTAGACATTCAGGCGCAAAAGCGGCATGGCTGCTCAATTGACGAATTCAAAAATTGCCCGTGCCCCTGGAAACCGGCGTTCAAAAATGGGTGTTAACCGATTTCTTACTTGCATTACCAGGTCTTCGGCTGTCCACCATCTATCGTAGTTTTCCCGGGATTGATGACCACGCAATACTTCCTTGATAAACCTTCAGGTAGGTCAGTGTCGTTGTCCTCGACTGCCAAGCGCCAACCATAGACCTTTAGAAATCGCTGACATGAAGCGATCTTCCAGCTCCTTTCTTTTGTAGTAGTTGTGCTCCATCTGGCAACCAGATCCGCCGTTGCCCATCAAAGGTAGCAAAGGTGCTCTCATCATGGGTTACCAAAATATAAGGTTGCCCTTCTGGCCATGTGATGTTCATCAGCATGCTGCCACTGAACTGAGGCATCTGTGACTCAAATTCTGCCATTTTCTCCACAAACACTTTTCGATATGCCCAAACGTCGTCCCGCTCATGGCCGTCCATATAGATGGCCTTCCTGACTTCACGGCATGTAAGGCCAAGGCCTTTCAACCAGCGAATGGCAGTGCTCTCTGGAATTGTCAGGGAAGGAGCATATTCTAGCTTCGGCAAAAGTTCAGAGTTAATTTTTGTTGTCCACCTGTTTCCGCACTTCCACTTTAATTTATCTTTCACGAAGGAAGGCCTGAAGGTAACGGGGCACCCTGAAGCTTGTACTGGTGACAGTACAAGCTACTTATTCTGATGACAGAATAAGGCGGTGCCTCGTAACTTCACGTACACTCGTACGTGCAGAGGAAGACGTTAAGAAGAAGCGAGTACTTGGTTAAAGTAAAAAGTAGAACTGTATTTAGCATAGTTAATGTCTGTTAACAAAGCACTATTTATCTTCATCTAACTATGTCTAAATACAAATGTGTAAATCAAATATCTGCTCACCACTCATTGCGTGCGTCTGTCGTGGCGCGTCTTCGTTGGTTGATATAATGGCCTATATCAACCAATTAGGAACTACTCGTAAGTGCTACAGAATATTTGTCCTTATGACAATATTCTGAGAATATAACTCTTATAGTTATATTCTATTAACAATTTCTTATAAATTGTTATGTAACGATTCACCCCGCTACATCACCCCCCCTCAACCATCAGTCACTTTAGTGACTGATTGACTAAATGGATACTCGTCCCAAATCACTTGGGACAGGGTTTGCACTTGTTGGTCCGAGTCCACTTTCCAACAGTTCATCGCATGGTTAACGAGCGGTGCGCGAGCAAGGCCGCCGAGAGCGCGTCTGCACGTCTCTGTGCGGACGCCGAAGCATTAGCCGCAGCAACTGATGTGTCATCGGTTGCTGAAGTGACTCAGCCTGTGTCACCTGGTGATGTAGGCGCTCGTCATGAAGACACTCATGTCTTCACAGAGTATGAGCCCGGTGTCTCGTACTCTCCTGATACGGAAGACGGATCCGTATCGACGGCGATCGAACCAAGCCGCCTGCCAAGCGTGGCATGGATAATGCTATGCGTCGTAGCATCTTTGGTTCATCTGATGAATCAGATGAACCATCGCCGAAGCGAAGGCGCTCGAGGTCGCGAGACTCGGGCGCTCACAGTGGTGTCGGTTTTCCTATTGACACCACTTCGCAACGAGGTGCCAGTCCTTCTGTCGGCACGTCGCAAGAAGAGCGGGACCGCAGTGTGTTGCGTCTCGCTCCAGAAAAGAAGGCATGGATGCCTCCAAAATCCGTCATGGATCACTTGTCGGCGACGACGAGTGATCGTTATCGAACACGATTGTTTGATTCGTCAAGGATCCATCACCTTGACCCCAGCGCGAAAAACAATCGCGCTGAGAATGAATTCTTCATCGATGCTTTCTTTAGACATCGATGGTACAGTGGGAAATACAAGCGTGATGGTCCCTCACTACTTCAAGCGTGGAACGCCTACATTTATAACCTTGAGGATGTAGGTCGTGACGGTTGGAACGACAAACTTATCAAAGCTCGTGATAAGTTTCAGAAGCGAACCCAACAGGTTCACGCTACAAGCTGCATCGTCTGTCAAGGGAGAAAGGATTACCCTGCCTCTCTTGGGGAGACTCGTGCCCATGTTGTGTGAACAACTCTGCACGAGCACCTAAGAAGGCTTACCTCCTTACTAGCCCGTGGTGGCGCGTACGTATCTCTAGTGAGATTTACGAAGGGATTGACGATCTGAAATTCCTTTACGACCGTGCCGGGGAGACTTTCTCCAGCGGTCCTTCTGCGGCACAGGATGTGCCGCGTCGTACTGCTCAACCAGACCCAGTACGCCAACCATCAGTTGGGAGCGGGGCTCCCAAGTATCCCAGGACGGGGGATAGCCGCGCCACCGGACGAGGTAACTCGTCCGACGTCCGTTCACATCGCGGTGGTTCAACAGCTGCTCAACTAGATAGCGCTGGCCACCGCGAGAGTCCTCTAATGGAGGTGGAGGAGGAGGGAAAACGCTCTACATACTATCGTGGGGAAGCGTGTGTTCCCGAGAGCTTCTTTGATTGCGTAACGCAAGCGTTACGCGGCGATCTCGAACATGAACGGGACAGGCGTCTCCAACTGGCGGACACTGTCTTGAAGCATCGAGCTGAGTTTGCCTTTGCTTAGCTTGAGAACGAGAGAGCTCTGACTTCTCTGCGTGATGAGTTAAGGGTAGCTCGTGGGGATATTGACCGGTCTCGGGATGAGATAACTGCTCTTCAGACCCTTGTCGATATCCACCATCGGGAGCACAAGGCCCTCTGTGAGATGCTTGAGCGCAAGGGCGTTCTTCATCAGAAGAATCAGCGTACTGATGGTACGGATTAAGCCGACCAACGTAAAACGTGGGATGCGTTCGCATCTTACGTGGCAGTTCGATCGTGTATGCATTGCCTAGGCGGTGCAATACACGAAATGGGCCGATGTACTTGGGTAGAAGTTTATTACTACCCAAGTTAGTCACTACATGCTTTGGTAGATTAACCGTAGACAGTAGGACTAAGTCACCTTTATTAAATAAAAGAGTGTTTGCCCTTCCATTCTTGTCAGCGTTTGCTTTTGCTTATCCACCGCTTCGGCGATGGAGTCTTGCACAAAACGGACGACCGTTTCACGAGCCAGTATGAACTCATCTGATGACTCGTTAGCTTCAGTGCGCTGTGAGTGCACTGCAGCAACATCAATATTTTCTTCAGTGAGGGCTTCCGCGCTCTCACTGGCATCATCTTCTTCGATATCGATGTTATCGATATCGGCATCAAACGCAATGACCTCTTCGTCAGAGCGTGATGAGCGTGAACCAAATCGGTTTTTGCTCGCGCGAGTCCCTCCCCCCTCTTAAACCAGAGTTACACTCTAGTAAGGTGGGTACACGCGGATGGCGTAAGCCATTCACGTAAAACGGTGTATGTGTCGTGGACGCATGCACCGAGTTGTTAATGGCGAACTCTACCATTGACAACAACTCAATCCAACCCTTAAAGGAGTGTACGTATCCTCGAAATATCTCTTCGAGGACACGATCGGCACGTTCCGTCTGACCATCGTACTCTGGATAATCAGATGTAGACATCTTCAAGCGCGTTCCGAGTGATTTGAACACGGAACGCCAGAAATCAGCAGTGAATCGTGGATCTCTGTCTGATACGAGTTCACGGGGTAACCCATGAAGTCGGAAGATGGTGTCGATAAAGACACAAGCACAGCCACTTGCTGTGATTGACTCTGGTACAGCCACAAGGTGTACCATTTTGCTGAATCTGTCAACAAATACAAGAATACCCGTATTTCCGCGTGCGTCTTTGTGTAACCCGAGGACGAAATCCATTGAGATGGATTCCCAGCACTCAGCCGGAACTGGTAGAGGTTGTAAAGGTGCACGCAGTGAAGGACTTGGCTTCACTCGTTGACAGACTTCGCATGCGAGAACATACTTTCGCACAAACTGATACTGGCGGGGCCAGTAAAAGTCTCGACTCACCGTGAGATATGTCTTCTCATGGCCACGATGTCCTCCTACAGGAGCATCGTGATACTCGAACATGATCCGCAAACGCAGATCAGTATCATCTGGAATGACAACACGTGGTGTGTCACCAGAAAAGGCTGTATAATACAGTAACCCGTTGCGAGTAGTGTATCGATCTGATGCAGATCGATACGCAGACGATAATCGTTTCAACCATTCTCGAGATGGCTGTGAGAGATGTGTCAACAACTTCGCAATCTCACCATCTTGGGCATACGCCCGCCTCACATCATCATACAACGTTGTAGATGGTACTGAGGACGTCATAACCGCAACAGTGACTGTCTCACTGTTGGGTTTCACGACTGGTTCAAAGTCGGGACGACGTGAGAGTGCATCAGCGACGACATTAAGTCGTCCTGGTTTATACTCGACCGTAAAGTTGTATTCCGCAAAGAATGACAACCACCGCGCCATTCGTTGTGAAAGGTGCGGGCTGTTCACTGCCGTGCTTAATGACGCATGGTCAGTGTAAACAATGAAGGGTCTATCTCCTATAGATAGACTCTGAACTTCGCGAGTGCATACTTCATGGCAAGGAGTTCCTTGTCATGCACTGGATAGTTCTGCTCAGCTGGTCGCAGCTGACGCGACTGATAGCAGACGACGCGTTCAACGCCTTCAAGATCGTACTGCATTAATGCACAGCCGATTGCGAATCGCTGGCATCACAGACCACATGAAATGGTCTGTCCTGATCGGCTATTGCTAGGACTGGGGATTGTATCAAGCTCTGCTTGATGCCATCAAAGGAGCGCTGACATTCAGCGTTCCATAACTACCTCTCGTTCTTTTTCAACAAACGAGAGAGGTGCACAGTCATCTCGGCGTAATTGCGTGAATACTTGTGCAAATACGCCGCTAGCCCAAGGAATTTTTGAAGACCTTTGACATCAACTGGCATAGGCCAGTTGGTGATCGCCTTGATCTTTTCGGGATCAGGACGTACACCGTTCTTGCCAACGATGCACCCAAGAAGTGGTATTTCTCTTGCTGCAATTATGCACTTCTTGAAATTTGTAGACAATTGATGCTTTCGCATGATTGTAAGAACCTGTCGGACGTGGTATCTGTGAACCTCAACGTCCGACTTTCCATCCATAGCCCGACTATGAATGATTACGTCATCAAAATAACTCGGTGCGAATTCTCGTACTGGTCTCAACAGATGTGATACACATCTGTTGAACGTGGCAGGGGCATTACTAAGCCCTTGTGGCATTACTAGCCATTCCCAGAGCATGCCGCTAGGCGTGCTAACTGCGGTATAGGGTATATCTCGTTCTCGCATAAGGATTTGATAGAAGCCATCCATCAAATCCATGGACGAATAGATGGTACTCTTTGACATACCATCAATGATTACGTCCTTCCTCGGTATCGGCGTCTTAGCCGGTACCGTTGCAGCATTCAACTTGTTAAATGCATGCACAATCCGCCACTACCCTGTTGCTTTTCGCACACAGAACGTCGGAGAGCTATGTGGGGAAGTTGATTCCCTCACATGGCCCGCAGCTAAACGATCGGCAAAGAGCTTGTCGATCGCAAGTACTTGTCCACGAGGCAGTGGCCACTGCTTCATGACATATTACTTCGAGCCTAGTCTAACTCGACCTTGTGTCGAGTGCCTTTATCCTTCGGTAACTCGCACGGAACAGTTTCAGGGAATACATCCTTGAATTCAACCAAATCGTCATAGAGAGGATTTGTCTTGAGCGATTCCCACGATTGGGAGTCATATCGCTCAACTCGTGTCTTTTCATCTAGGACACTCTCGTCCATAGATGAACTACTGAGAACTCTCTCGTTCTCAGTGAACACTGTTGCTGGCCTTATGTCGGCTACACACTCGTCGTCAGCGACGAGTACGCAGATCTGCTTGACTTTGCCACTACGCAGATCACGCAAGAGCCTTTTATGTTCGAGCGTTGGCAACTGAGTGATCTCCGAAGTCAACTTCGGAGGCGCAATCAGATCAAGTGTATAAGCGCCTACACTTGATCCATCATTGACTAGGGCATTCAATGTCTCTGTCATTTCCTGGGGACTTATTCCCTCAGGCCTCGAAGGACTTATTCCTTCGGCTTCCCGGGGACTTATTCCCGCGGGTTTCGGGGAACTTATTTCCGCCGTATTTGTAATATTGCGACTTGTTCCCTTTACTTCCTCTAGCTGGGGTTGCGCAACCACAGCGAGATCCTCTACGAAAGACTCTCCAGTCGATCTAGGATTATCGTTTCGCTTAACCTGAGCAATCGATTGTTTCTCTTCTAGATGTTCCCCGCTAGGGATACATCTTTGTCCCGGTCCACTCGACTTATTCGAGTGGTGGACCTTCGGCGCAGCCTGTGTTTCCTCACAGCCGCCGGAACTTTGCTCCGAAGTGTAACCGTTTGTTACACTAAGGTTTTGTGCAGTCGCACTAACGACCGTACCACAAGTGATGCCATCGCACTCACTCGTAGTACATTCACACGCTTGTGGACGCTCCAAAACGTTCATCAGATGGCCATCTGATGAACAAGCGGCAGGCATCGTTACTGTTCGATGTTGCCAGTTTACCCGTGGTTCGTACCTTCTGAGCCACGTTATTCCAAGGATGACATCAAATTTGTCATCCAAATCCAATACGATAAAGTCATCGTCATATTGGGTATCTTCTAGCGTATAGTGGATCTTCACTATACGCTTCATGACGGTTACGGATGCGCCTGTCGCAAGACGTACCGTCATCCTCGTAGGAGGTATGTCACATTCACTGAACTTAAAGTGACCATCTTCTAGAGATTGGCGTCGCACAAAATTGTTGGACGCCCCACAATCGACTAGAGCTCGAAGGGACAACTTATTTGTCACTTCGAGTTTCAAGGTAATGAGTGAGATCTCATTACCTAGAGCAGCAACGCACAACGTTTGTGTGTTGGGAGCAACCTTCATCAAGAGGCCTACAAATTCTCTTGACGTTGCTGGACCAGCAGGATGCTCCGCACCTACTGATCCTGTCCGTTATTTTACGGTCCATCCCGTTGTTGCGTCTTTGCACCAATAGCGGACCCGCGTCCCTGCCCCTTTCTCATGGGTGGACGGTCACTACGCCCAGTGTTGCGAGACACTGGACGAGGGGCACTACACTCGTAAGCGTAGTCCTGTCTTTTGACATCTGTTTCATTTCTGTAACTTCTTGTAGTCTGTAGAGCGAGCCTTCTCGCTCTCTACATAACAGAGTTCCATCGGCTCTGGACTTCCGCTGTCATATCGTCTCGGTGGACGATATGATGTCGAGCTGGCGCGAGCCTGTCTCAAACTGAAGTCTTCCTGTTCCGCAATGGAAATGGCTTGCTCTAGTGAATCTATTTCAAGTCGGAACAGGTGAGTCTTGACGGGACCATCCGCAAGACCCTGCATGAACACCGAAACCAACGTGTGTTCATTAACCGGGTTGGAACCTATACAACTAGTGAGATGTCGTATATGTTGCGCGTAAGCGTGCCCATCACGCTTACCTTGTTTGAGCTTCAAGAGTTGGGTTCGAGCTCTGAACTCAGCTCTAGGCGGTTCAAACGTTTGTCTGAGCCGCGACTTGAAGACTTCTGATGACCCAAACGCATATGGGTCGTGCAACTTGAGCCCCAGTGCCCAAGTCTTGGCACGTCCTGCCAGATTTGACTGGGCAAATGCAACTTGCATATCCTCGTCTTCGATGCGACGCGCCCTTATGGCGTCGTCTAATTCGACGAACCATCTCAAGAGGGAGTTCTCTTCGACTCCCCTATACTTGGAGATGTCAATCTTCAAGGTCTCGGGTCGACGCAAGTGCATCGACCCACCAGCAGCAGCCTGCTGCTGTCTCAACAGTTCAAACTGTTGAGCACCCTGACATCTCAACAACTTTGACTGTTGAGAACCTTGTTGGTGAAGCAAGGCTACTTTCTCGCGTCCAGCGTCAAGTTTATTTTGAATGAACTTGGCGATAGTAGCATGTTGGGCATCTCTATTGAGAGCCTCTAGCATGACGCTAACAGCATGGATGCCCATGGTTGAACCCATCCGTTCAACCGCATCTCATTCGACATCGCTCAAAGGGAGTAGCCGTCACGTGTAACGGGGTGAATCGTTACGTAACAATTTATAAGAAATTGTCAATAGAATATAACTTCAAGTGTTATATTCTCAGAATATTGTCATAAGGACAAATATTCTGTAGCACTTACAAGTAGTTCCTAATTGGTTGATATAGGCCATTATATCAACCAACGAAGACGCGCCACGACAGACGCACGCAATGAGTGGTGAGCAGATAGTTAATATGCACATTTGTATTCAGACATAGTTAGATGAGGATAAACAGGGGTTTATTAACAGACATTAACTATGCTAAATACAGTTCCACTTTTTACTTAAACTAAGTACTCGATTCTTCTTACCGTCTTCCTCTGCACGTACGAGTGTACGTGAAGCTCCGAGGCACCGCCTTATTCTGTCTTCAGAATAAGTAGCTTGTACTGTTACCAGTACAGGCTTCAGGGTGCCCCGTTACATCACGCGTAGCGTGAAAACTTTGGTCATCTTTATCATCTAACATATTCATGTTAGATGTGAACGTGGCCCTTGGACGGACTACGAAGTGCTACCAGGTGTAACGGAGCACCCTGAAGCTTGTAATGGTGACAGTACAAGCTACTTATTCTGACGACAGAATAAGGCGGTGCCTCGGAGCTTCACGTACACTCGTACGTGCAGAGGAAGACGGTAAGAAGAAGCGAGTACTTGGTTTAAGTAAAAAGTAGAACTGTATTTAGCATAGTTAATTTCTGTTAATAAATCACTATTTATCTTCATCTAACTATGTCTAAATACAAATGTGTAAATCAACTATCTGCTCACCACTCATTGCGTGCGTCTGTCGTGGCGCGTCTTCGTTGGTTGATATAATGGCCTACATCAACCAATTAGGAACTACTCGTAAGTGCTACAGAATATTTGCCCTTGTGACAATATTCTGAGAACATAACTCTTATAGTTATATTCTAATAACAATTTCTTATAAATTGTTATGTAACGATTCACCCCGTTACACAGGAGCAGCCGATTCTTGAAGGACCTTGGTCTACCAATTATTGACCACATATAATATCGAGGGACCTAGGTCTACCGATGGGAGACCAGATCTTCTGGCAAGGGATCGCAGTCTACCTACCCTTAAGGACCGCGATCTGCCCTTGGAAAGCGTATCCACCGATGAGGGTTTGTAGTCATCTTCTTTCGGTACCGCTTAACCGGTACTGGAGCAACGGTCTTCTTCTTGATTGACTCTGCGGGTCCCTCCTTCCTGAGGATCCAACCACTTTCGTGACTTCTTTGCTTAGGCGCCCTTTCCTTAAAGATCCCCTAGTCCCTTTGTCTTGATAGTCTTTGAGTCCATTATCTTTCCGAACGCACTTCACCACAAGATCCTGATATTTATGATGACAACCCAGGGGGAGCGGTAGTACCCATATTTCTACTATCTATAACAGGCTCCATATCTTATTGTGGTATTGATCCGTTCATCACGAAAAATAAAAGATTACTTGACTCTAAGCAAGACGGAGAGCAGTCAGCTCACTCACTGTCCGATTAAAATCAGTGTTTGTGGGAGACAGGAGAGAGAAAAGGGACATATTTGTCACTACAGATAAATACAATTCGGAACGTGCAAGTAGTTGTACCCACAGATCGACACAGATAAGTACGATTTCGAAGCTCGGCACTCAACCTTGCGACACTCACCTATAGCTTCACCCTTCGGACTCGCAACACCTATCTGTAAACCGATCCTCATGCTGCCACTTGTAGGTAGAACTGAAACGAACTTAGACCGGGGCTTCCTCCTTTGTAGCTTGCACCTATGAAGACCAGACGCATCCCTGATTTTCTAGCTAGTCTTTCAAGGTACAGCTACAAACCCAGTGAGGTGAACAACGAACGCGTTCTGCATCATGCAGCTGTTGCAGCAAGTCAAGTCGTTTGGCGGCGTGATCAAGCGGTTCGCGCACGAGAGCAGCAGTACGAAATGCACCATGCACTTCAGCATCTTCGTGCCAGCGACAGCCAGTGACAGTCACAAAGTGCCGGTGCTCTTTTACCTGCCAGGGCTCACGTGCGACGACGAGCTGCTGTTTGTCAAAGCCCCAGGCGCCCAAAAAGTCGCTGCGAGTCGCGGGATCGCGATCGTCGCGGTGGACACGAGTCCTCGCAGTGTGAACGTCCAGGGAGATCAAGATGACTGGGATTTCGGCACGGGTGCCGGCTTTTACGTGGATGCGACCGAGCCCACGTGGGACGAGCACTACCGCATGTACTCGTACGTGACGAAAGAGCTGCCGGCGCTTGTTAATGCAACGTTTCCCGTGCTGGAGGACAAACACTCGATCATGGGCCACTCAATGGGCGGTCACGGGGCGCTGGTGCTTGGGATCCGCAATTCTGTACGACCAATTGTGGTACTTCTGGTGGTGGTGGATGACGTTGAATGGTGCAGTGAGTTGAAGTGATAACTTTTCGGTCACGTGGTTGCAGGACCAGTACAAGTCCATCTCGGCGTTTGCCCCGGTCGCGCATCCGAGTCAATGTCCGTGGGGAATCAAGGCGTTCACGGGTTACTTGGGCGTTGACCAGGAAGCGTGGAAGGTGACGTCAAGTGTAGACTTGGTCTAGTGATGCTTCTGGCTGATGGTGTGTGTGTGTCTTCTTCTTCTTCTGTAGGAATACGATGCCACACAGCTGATCCTGAAGCAGGGACCTATTGCTCAGTCCATTCTCATTGACCAGGGACGCGAGGACAACTTCTTGCACGATCGGCAGCTTCTGCCTGAAGCTTTTGAGGCAGCGTGCAAGCTGGTGGACCAGAAAGTGACGCTCCGCATGCAGGTGCGACGTGCTTTGTTGTTGCTGTTGTCACACAGCAGGTAGGCTTGTTAACAAGCGATGGCTTTCGACAGGATGGATACGACCACAGCTACTACTTCGTCGCCTCGTTTGTGGAAGATCACGTCAACTACCACGCGGACGCTTTGCTTCAGTAGATAGCCACGTTGTTGGTACACTCGAGAGTATTTGACTGAAAATGAAGCTCTCTGGGTTGTCAGCGATCGTTTTGTACTTGTGCGTTAGATTTGTCGAGGGCCTTCCTTGTTCAGGTTGAGCCTTCGTCGCATGTCCGTGTCTGCAACGGGTCGCGTTGAAGGGGACCGAAGCGACTGACATTCGACAACAGGGTCATGGCCATGCTCGATGATGTAGACATCGGCAACAAACATGGAGCAGAACAGTACGGTCCAGTAAACGAAAGCTCGACTGGATCCGGCCTCGAAGTTGATGCCGAGACGCCGAAGTAAGGAGTTGGATGTGCTGGACCAAGGAGGCCATCGTTGAGACGAACGCGGCAGGACTGGTCGAAGGTCACATCCCCAAAAACATATCGGTATTCACAGAACACCGGGAACTCACAGCGAGCGTAGCGGTAATTCCAGTAGCAGTCACCATCGATCACTGGCGGGCGAGATGACTACAGCATTACATCACATCACGCAGTTCATCAGTAAGTCCACACACGCATGTTAGTCAGCAGTTGCGCCAGCCTTCAGACACCGAGTATTGCCAGACCTTGTCCGAGTTTGTTTTGCCATTAAAGATATGACGCAGCTCGGCGCGCAACTCGCGGAGAAATACCGGGCTGGAAAGGATGTCGCGGTGCTTGACTCCATCGATTTCCCACACACCAGTCTGCAGTAACATCAGGAACGAGCGTGAGCATGGAAAAAGCCACGATGGTATCGAATGCACTCACGGATGTAGCAGCGCCGTCTTCATGTGTTGAGCTTTCAAAGAAGGTAATTCGGTCGCGATTGACCGGTCCAAAGAGTCCTGCAAAAAAACTGCTGGAAGAGGACGACTCGATGTTACCCTCACAGATGGGCAAATTACCGTGGAGTAGCGAATACTCGGCATGATGCGTCTTTGCGTGCCGCACCGCCCGCACACGCGTGATGTTATCAGCTGAAAAATAGACCGACTGTGGCGTCTGCGTCACTCGCACGGAGGACCCTTTCGAGCCGAGCCATGAGTGTGCCCAAGACAGTGAATGATAAGTCACGGTGCCGTCGCCTGTTTTGGTACAGGTGAGGTTGTGACCCTCTTCATTCATGTACTCCACCTGGTACCAATGACCCGGTGTATTCGCATTCTCGTACTCGTAGAAGTTTTTGGTCTGCAAAAAGGTTAAATCAGTTACGAGTTAGTGACGACCATCCACAACATACACATCCTTGAGCTCCACGTACTGGAACATTCACACCGTAGACACTGTACACCGAAGCAATAGGCGGACGTTCCCAGGGTTTGAAAAAATCGAGGACAGGGTCGTCTGCGTAAAACTTTTGGCGCATCGTCTCCAGTTTGCCGAAGATCGGATCGTGTGCCGACATATCGCGGAACAGTTGGCCTGATGCGATATCGGCACTCGTGTAGTTGCGAAGCTGCGTCTGGTTATTACCAGGAAGCAGCGAGCGCACGGCAATGAGCACTTCATTGTCCTTAGCGGAGTTCAAGCCAGACGATATCGGCATGAAACTCAATATCGAGCCTGCGGTGCATCACAAAAGCAATTAGTTACATCACTGAAGCCGTGCCTTTCCACCGAACATGTCAGGAAGTTACCAAACGAGACCACGAGCTTGCGTATCTCGCTTTGCGTGATCGGAAGTCCTTCAGTAAGACCTGACGATATCAGCTCAAGCGACTCGGCACTTCCGAGGAGCGGCGAGCCGACCGCAAAGTAAGCCGAGATGTGTCGATCGATCCAGCTCTGTCGGTTATTGCGACCCACTTCGTCATTCAGCCACTCGAGAAAGTAGCGGAAGACGCCATTGCCCATCGAATGAGCGATTACAACCACTCCGCCTTTGTTGCCATCCAGCTCGACTGCATACTCGACTGCAGAACAAAAGAAAAAAACAACAACAACAACAACAACAACAACATTAATCACCATCAGCCACACGCGACCGCCCGTCCATCCACGCTCCATCCATCCAACGTCAATACTCTTCTTCTTGAGTGAGTAAAAGTACTTGTCCCGTTCCTGCAACTTGCTTGGCGGCAGTCGCCAGTCGTACGTCGCGACAATCAGTTGGTCCGGATCCAGTTCAAAATGGTCCACCAAGTCGTGAATGAGACTGCGCCACACCGTGGACAGTGGCCCCGTGACCACACCTGGATCGAGCTCCGAAATGGCTTCCAGTCCTTGCACAGCTCTAGCACGAGAGCCTCTCGTCGGTCAGTCAATCACGTCCATCCATCCCTCCCAGGACAGACAATAATGGATAGAAATACGCCACGTACCGGAGTTTGCACTCGAGTTCGTCCTGCGTGGGGAGCTCGAGCTTCAGGCACCGGATCCAGCACTCGGTTTGGGCCAAAACACGCGCCAAATCGACCCACAAGCGGTCGCCAAACTCGATCTCACGATACAAATTGGAACTGAAGCCACTCGTGCAGCGATACTGGCTCCAGGACTGCAGCTGGGACGACGCAAAGCCCGGGATAAGCAGCACAGGACGCGTACGTTCAACTTGAGCTGCTTTGGGTGTCCAGTCAGTGGCTGACGAGAGCGCCAGCGTCCCTAGCAAGTGCTGCAGGAGCGTCACCAGCATCGTTTGCATTGCGTGTGTCCTGCAGTGAGTCAGTCAATCGGGGTGGGTTTTTTTGGTGGTATCTCCCGGGGTATAGTGACATTGACATCATGCTGTGTATGGCGGGTGAGTTTAGAAATGATTCAGCTGTCGGTAAATCGAGGAGGAAGGACGTGACTGTCCATTTCGGTGACGCTGCTGTGTCCACATGGATAGAAATGTATAGAAATAGACGACGCGCGCGATCGATGTTCTCATACGATAGCAAAGCGAGTTCCTAGAACATGCGAGCAACCAGCTGCTGCTGCAGCTTTTTTTTCGGATTGAGCCGGGGACACAAAAAGATACAATGCATTCGCAGTTTGCACGAGTCGTATAACGTGACGCGGTCTGAACGGTGCTATACCCTCGGTATAACTCAATTCCGTACGTGAGACTACATCGGACGCAGTGTCTCAAGCGGCCATCGTGGCTGGTAGCGTGCAGTCTCGACGTCACTGCGCATACCCGCGGCGTATCGCTCAAGCCCTGCATATGCAACCATGACGGCATTGTCAGTGCAATACTTGGCTGGAGGGAGGACTGCCACGAGCCCTTCTGTCTCTGCTGCCATCTGCAGGCGGCGACGGAGATACTCGTTCGACGCCACACCACCACATACGACCTAGATGACGGAATTATTGTCAGTCAGCTCACTTGTGAGAATCAGCAAGAGACGAGGGACGAGGTCACGCACAAGAGTGGAAAGATTGTCTCCCACGCGTTCTTTGCTCCACAGACACGCTCGACGCGTTCGTGTGACCAAGTGATCGACTGCTCTTCGCTACTCATTGCGTCATGCACGTACACAATGAGTTAGACCATTACAAGCTGCAGCCAAGATGAACCTACACTTACTTGAAACGAAGAGCAGAGGTCTTCTTTTGTCTTGTCATCGATCTCACCGAGCTGTCAGAGAATAGAGTGAAACGACCAGCACGATGGCTGACGTGTTAAGCTATGGAGGATGTGTCAATGCGAGGGTGTTGCATTGCAATGGCGTCTTCGTACCTTCGTAACTTCCCGAAGCATGGCAGTCTTGATTCCAGAGTAGGAGAAGTCGCAATCCTGAACATGACACGACAATCGATTCGTTTAGTGCCCCATCACGACTCGATGACGGCAAAGGGCTCACTTTTCGATGCATCATTGGCTCAGTGAATGGAAAAGCACAGTCGTTGCCACGCCGGGCCATGTCCTCAACCAGTTTGCCTCCGTGAATATTTTGGCCATTTGACAAAGTGATCTCCAGCATCCGAGCCACCTTATCATACGCTTCACCAATGGAATCATCGACCGTCTTGCCTAGAAGCTCGTAGTCGCCCAGACCTCTTGCCAAGACAAGGCAGCAATGACCTCCAGACACAAGCAGCACGACGAATGGAAACTCTGGTCGAGATATCGCGAGCTGATGACAACATCCTATCAACACACTGATCTCATCCATGCACGATAGTCCCGGTCATCAAAGCTGCAAATGATACATACTTGGGGTAGTCTCGACACGAGGACATGAGCCTTCAGTACCAGCAGAAGCAAAAACACCGTCAATCAACTTGAAAGCTTGCTCGAGGAATGCATCACGACATTTGATCCTGTACCTCCAGGTGATTGATCTGCAAGAACACAATGTCCGGGTTCTCAAGACAGATCCGTCGTGCTGTCTGCAACCCCACGTCAAGACATGGTGCAAGTCCTGGACCTGAAGTCACTGCCACAGCAGCCAATTGATGCACACTCTTCAGTCCGCTACCATGTACGTGACCACCAAACAATACTCAATCGTGAAACCACACGCCACAGCCTTGCAACCTCCTTCTTGTCACTCTTTACCTCTGCTCTATAGCAGCGTTGATCACGTGCGGCAGGTTGTCAGCATGCGCTCGAGCTGCCAGCGCTGGCACAATCCCTACAAACGCATCCAGTAAGTTTGACCAGCTAGACTTGCAGTCTTACAATTCTTGCATCGCATTCAAGCAACACCCCCACCTTTCCACGCAGCATTGAGCTCCCACTGGGACGAGACGATGCTGCTCAATACCCGACCGTCTTCAGTCAACACTGCCGCAGCCGTATCGTCACAGCTGCAGTAGTTCACGTGAGCAGCTGCAGCTAAGTCCTGTTTGCGTTACAAAGCTGGTCCAAGCAGCACCCACCTGGTCTCGATTCCTAGCACATACGAAACACTCCGCGTCGTCTTCAACAAACGAGACGAGCTGCATCTGACTACTGATCTCAGCAGAAGGGAACACATGGCTACAGATGGTACTTGACAGTATCAATCAATGCAAGAAATGAATGGTAGAGCGACGTCAGTCGTTTGATTAGGCCTGACAAGAGGAGGACACAATGTAGGTCTCGGTACTTGATGTTGGGAAGGTAATAACAACAAAGGAGCTGCTCATGTGTCTGACTGACAAGGCAATCAGCTGAATATAAATGGGTACATGTGACTGCATCTCTACGTTCTTAACGTCCTTAGTCGTTCGTTACTTCACTTCACACATCTACGGCCTGGAATCTACTGTTACGCTGGCCACTGATTTGCTGCCAAGCTACCCGGCAGCCACTTGTTCTATTTGCGTTAATTCGATTATATGATTTCTCCACTGCTCGTACAGGTTGTAGCCCCACCGACTGTCACGAGTTACATTGACCTCGAGGTTACGCTTTTGCCCTCATGAAAAAAGGTGACGCATACAAACTTCGAGACATTGCTTAGTGCTACTTCTCATGCGCATCACTGCCTGCCACGCCCAGGCGAGTGGTTCACAATCCGCAAAGAGAGCAGGAGTATGCGTGAAGGCCTCTAGTTGAGGCCACTCAAGCAGCACGAACAGGACCACGAGGCGTCTCGATGGCTGCCGCACACGCTCCGGTCCTTCATCGTCGAATTACGACAGCAGCAGCAGCAGCTCCAATACAAGGGGACGGGGGCAAGGGACGAGCTGAGAGGAAGCTGACGAAGAAGCTCAAGCGGGTCGCTGCCCCTGAAGAACGGGAAGTCCATGAGGTTACAGAGAGCTCCTCGGATGAGAGTAAAACGGTGTCGAGAGGTTACAAGAGGAAGGCGGTGTGGACGGAGGAGCAGCTCGAGCAAGCGGCTGAAGTAACTGCAAGAGGTGTCGTGTATCAGGAAGAAGAGGAGATGCTGGCGCCTGAAGTAGTCGAAGAGATGCGGCAGGGCGTGTACATGCCCGACCCTGACGACGTGGGCAAGACAAAGAACGTGGCTGACATGAACTATTTGTTCACGAACGACAAGTTGAAAGAGGAGCCGCCGGCGATTGTGTTGCGGTCCGACCCGTTCTGTATCCCACGAGTGACGGACAATGTGCCCAACTATCGGCCAATGCTGAACCCGCTGAGCATTTTTCTAGCGGAAGATCAGCTACTGCCGTGCAGCTTTCGATTAGATCCGTCAGAGAGACCGCCAACTGCTAATGGAGAGGTGGCAGCAGCGGCACCTTTGATGACGGAGGAGGCAAGTTGTGGACCTCGTGGAAGACTGTTTCCTCTTCCGAGTAACTCGTCATCAACATCGAGTGCTGGGAGACAGTTGCGGGGGAAAACGAGCACTTTTATGGGAACCATGCCTCGTCAACTGGAGTTTGCCGAGATGTCCGTGTCGGGCACCCTTTTCCAGAATCATGCACTGTTCCGTCCTCCGGCAGCACTTATGAAGGTCTCGACCTCGCCTATAAGCGGTACACAATCACCTTTGTCAGTGAACTGGAAGTCAAGCAACACGCTCGTTACGACAAGCAGGTCCGAGTGTGATCAGCTGTCTACGTCGTCCGCTGCGGATCGAGCAGCTTCGCTTTCCGACGCAATGTTATTGTCATCGATACAGCACACTCTTGACATTGCGATAGTTGCTCCGACTTCGAATGATGGCATTTCGTCTTCATCGGACAGTGTCGCTGAATCGATGCCATCGCTTTTGGACGAAGCGTCGACGTGCCAGATTCAACCGCTGCAGCCACTGGATTCTGCTGCCGACACGCTCACGAATTACCTACCCAGTCGAAGTTTGCTGATACCAAACACGAGCAGTCCTGTGGACGGACCTCAGTGTAACCTAGTCGAAGGATGCAAGCCTACTGACGATGCGATGGGCTATGTTGCCTGTGCTTTCCCTACGCTCGGTGACTTGCTCTCACCGATCGAAAGCCAAGCCAGCACTCCATACGGTGGTCTCTTCGTCGACAGTAGCGAGCCTCAGCTCACTAGCGAGATGACACAGACGTGTTCTGGATTGATTTCGATCACTACACCAACGAACAGTGCGTCTGGAATAAACACGGGCCTCATCACGCCGCAACGGCGATCTAGTGAAGGAAGTTTACGTCGTTCAGGAGCAAAGAGACCTCACGCGAAGAATGTCTTTCGACCTTGTACGTTTCCAGGATGTACAAAGGGTGCCCGGGGTAAGGCTGGGCGGTGCCAGAAGCATGGTGGTGGTAAGCGCTGCGCGATTCCGGAGTGTCCGAAAGGTGCACAGGGCAGTAGCACCACGTGCCTTTTCCACGGAGGTGGATATCGTTGTACAGTAGAAGGGTGCTCGACTGGTGCGCGGGGTACGTCAGGCCTTTGTGCAAGGCACGGCGGCTACAAGAAAGGCAAGTCTGGAGTTGCAGGTGAGCGTGAGACGATCACGGATGACACTTCCGTGAAGCGGGTACGCCACCGATGATTTGGTACGTGCACTACCACAGTCACTGCAGAATAGCGATTGCCACATTTAACACGTGCGCAATGGTTCTCCTCACACGTTTTGTATTCGATGCCTCATTCATGTCCACCATCCAGGAATTGGACCGGTCGTATCGTGTCGGAAATCAGCCACACCGGATGTCAATCAAGCACACTGACATCGCGATCTCGTACAGTTTCCGGCAAGCTTACAAGCTCTTAAATTTGTCGGTGGCGTCGACGAGCTCCTTCGCAATGCCAGGCTCCATGGCAGAATGACCGGCCGTCTGGACGACGCGGAAGTCAGCCTCTGGAAAAGCCTTGTGGAAGTCCCAAGCCGTCTTCATCGGGCAAACGATGTCGTACCTGTCAGCAGCATACAGCCATTGTCTCCATCTGTCAGAATCTGCACGGGGTACACGACGAGACCATGGCTCCACTATTTGCACAGCACGCACCGTCCCTGGACAATGACCGTCGGAATGTGGCGGATCTTGTGCGCGTTCTCGTTGAGGAACTCGTCCGTGGGGAAGAAGCCCTTGTTGACAAAGTAATGGTTTTCAATGCGAGCAAATGCTTCGGCGAACTTTTCTTCGTCCATCGACTTGTCCCGTACATCCGGCTATACCGATCACCCACCACAGCACAGTTGTAAGCAACACAACCCAGCAAACCAGCACGCCCTCCATACGTACTGGAGGAATGAGGTTACTCGTGGTTTTCTCCCATGTTGTCCAGGCCAGAGCTGCTGGAATCCGGACAGTTGCGTCATCACTTGTTAGCCGTTTATGGTACGCCATCACAAAATCTCCACGCTCTTCTTCAGGAATAGCATCCCGGTAAGCCTCCCAGCGATCCGGGTAGATAAAGTTGGCACCACTTTGATAATAAAAGTCGATCTCTTGCTTGCGCAGGTGGAAGATGCCTCGCAGCACCAATTCCGTCACGTGAGTCGGGTGCGTGATTGCATACGCGATCGATAGGGTACTTCCCCACGAACCTCCAAAGACTTGCCACTTGTCAATGTTCAGCTGACACCGGAGCTTCTCCATGTCTTCAACCAAGTGCCACGTCGTATTCTCTTCCAGTGATGCATGAGGTTGACTCCGTCCAGAGCCACGTTGGTCCAGCAAAATGATGCGGTACACCCGAGGATCATGGAACCGTCTCATGTGAGCCGAGCAGCCAGCACCTGGTCCACCATGGACCAGGATCACGGGTTTCCCGTACGGGTTCCCGCATTCTTCATAGTAGAGTTCATGGACTGGAGAGACGCGAATGGTGCCGGTATTAAACGGCTGGATGGCTGGATAGAGAAACTCTTCTGGACTTGAGCTACTGTCAAGCTCGAGGCTTGGCTTGGCTGCTTCGGAGGAGGAGGAGGAGCTGGAGGAGTTTACAGCGAGAGAAGCGAAGGTTACAGCTGATACTGCGAGCACGACGGGACGTGCAAATGGGGACGCGTATTGGATCACGGATGCGGACGCAGAACGCCTGAACGTCCGTTGGGTGCGAGGGATCACGAGTTTGGTGCCAATACGACGCTGCTGGGAAGACACGGTCGATCTGCTTAGCTGGAGCATCATACGCTTGGCTTTTGGAAGATGGGGGATCTGGATTTGACTCGACTAGCGGGGCTTCAGTCGATGCAGATCGGGATGGACGGATGGAAGGTGGCTGTCTAGCTGTTCGCGACTGCTTGATATCAGCTCGTTTTTTTACACTTGCAGCTGACGTTCGAGTCCAAAGGATCGATCGATTCAGTGTCTGTCTGCTTTGCAACGTCCGTACTTCTGCTCTGCTCTGCTCAACGAACCTGTCTATTACCTGATCGAAACTAATGGCCTGGTCGTCCGGTAGCTTTCTGGTTTATCATCACATTTGTCACTGCTGCGTCGAACGGCTCACTTTTTCTTCTTCAGCAGCTTCTTATTGCGCATGTCTTCTCGATAGTCTTCGTATTCGCCATAGAGAGCACTAAACATGGCAGAAAAAGTAAAGAGGCAATGGATCAGCAGGCGTCACAGATGCTCACTGGAGCGGCAAACACGTACGTACCTGCGCTTTTCTTCCTTCTGGATCTCGTCAAATGAGGCTTCCATATTAATTGAATCGTCCGAGTCGATCGAGTACTGCCGCTTTCGGTTCTTGCGAAACATTGCTGCGATGTGACCAGGACGGTACTCGCCGTCGTCGCTCACCACAAAGCTATCGTCCGAATCTTCTTCCTCAAACGGATCACGACGACGCGTGCGCGACACTTTCTGGAAACGATCACGTCGCTGTGAAGCTGCAGACGTAGAATGCTTGCGGCGCAACTCATCTAACGCCTGCTGGATTAAACGGTGGTGACCCTTCTTCGGTACGAGTGACGGCAAGTCCGACTTTTCTATCGTACTGAGCAACTTCACCGAGTCAAAGCCGTTCTCGAAAAAGGCTGGAGCATACTCGCTCATGTCCACGCTGAGACTCTTAAGCCAGGACAACACATCGCGCTGTCCCTCGGTATAATTCACCTCCTTCCTCTTCACTGATGTACTCGATCGACTTTGCTTAGCACCGCCTGCCGAGTTGCTGCCACTGGAGCCACCTCCCACCCCGCACACACGTGGGTACATCGTATCTAACATCGCCTTCCGTGCATCCACAGCATTCGGAAGGTTTTTCGAAGCCGATCCACCCATCGATGATGAAGCACTGGACGGTCGCGACCCAGCTGTTGATCTTCCACTAGCCTGTGTGCCACTGCTTCTGCTCCGAGCGCGCTCGGGCTCTCGGTAGTCGCGATCGCAAGCTCCTTGTCCAGACAGCGCTCTGTATTTAAGCTGGCGCTGGCGATGCCTTTCATCTGCTGACCTGAAAAATAAAGCAGACAAAGACAGTAGTAGCCAACACATGAGACGGACTCATCGCGGCTACACCAGCTATCAAAGCAGCAGCAGCATACAGAACAAACAACGTACATGTTGTTGAGCGAAGGGGCAGGACGTCTCGCCTGCAGCTGAGTCCTCGACGCCGGCAGCATTCGACGCGCATCTGGTGGTGCCGATCGACGACCAACTGGTGGTCCTGGCGCTGGTCGATGGCTTGCAATCGAACGTAGCCGGCGTTGGGCTAATTGGGCTCTCCCAACCGAGCTCTGACACGGAGCTGTGGACACGGTCGTGCCTCTCCGACCTTTGGACACCGGTCCACTAAGCACTCTCACCGTCCTCGAGTCTCGCTTGGCTTTTTCAGTCGCGTACCCTTCTTGCAATCGCTTCCTCGACCTCTCAAACTTCATTTGCTGTCCCGCATCGGCCACTTCATTCAAACAAACAAACCATCTTGAATCAGTCCGTTTCGAACATAGAAACGGTCCCTGTCAAATCTTATGTACCCATTTCTATCGACCAACCCACCTCGTTGGGACGGCGGCGACGCACTCGGCAATCGCGGGTTCTCCCCCGGTCGAGCCGTTGAGACAAGCCCCACCACGTGCTTCCACTTCTTCGTGAGGCTCGTGCTGTACCCCCGCACGACCTCGTCGTCGTGTTTCTTGAGCTTGTTCACGGCCGCGCCAATCTTGGTGCGCTGCAGCAGGTCCTTGTCCACCTTGAGCGTCGTGAGCTTCCCCAGCAGACGCTGCATGTCCGGCACGACGCTCTTGTCCGACTTCCAGCCGTCCCGCTGCGTCACCTGCGCGATCTCCCGCGCCATCTTGAGCACGTCTTGTTCCCCGGTGACGGCCATGGCTGGTAAGGGGCTTAAACGCAGCGGTTGCGCGTCTCGACTGACGACGGACTACGCGGCGATACGTGACCGAGGCACGAGCTGTTGACGATAGAAAAAGGGGTTGGGGGGTATAGAAATAGAGGCAGGGTAGGGGAAGAGGTGCGCGTAATAATGAAGTGTGAGAGGGTCGTCATGCACGACTTACGGGATGTGAAAAGACAGAGGTGATACGTTCTCAGAGGCCGAAGTTGAGGGGACGCCCCTGGAATATGTGACAAGTCACCTGCTTTTTCGGTGAAATGAAGCGACTTTGTGCTTTGTCGTCTTTTTAAGCGTACGCAAAGGCTGATCGCGTTGCCCGAGTGTATTGTACTGGGTCAATACAAATATTGACAGCATAACGTACTCCTACTTCAGTGACTGCTGCGGTTGTATAGTGTGTTGCAACTTGATTCCGTTCTCCGAACGGGATTACTTGGATCAAAGGGTGAGCTCCAGAGCTTGCTCCCCTATCTCAGACGCAGGTTGTTACCGTGCATGTTCGCTACATGTCCATCATGACGAGTAGGCACAGTATGGCGTGGCATATCGATATGAGCAATGATATATCACGTAGCTCGTGCGAAGTTCGAGAAACCCCTTTTTTCGTGACGTTTCGACTTTGCTCGAAGCGTTTCCAGCCCGTGTATGCAGAAGCAATCACAGGCTGAAAAAAGTATAAACGACGATGCCACTTTCTTGCCTCCAGGCTGAACCTTCAGCTATAACATGCTGCAATACGTTTGTCCATCTCTCTGTATACATCGAACCTTCGCTATACAGGGCAAGATTGCGTGTCGTAATGCATCGAGCGAGCGCTTGAGCCAGACTTACGACGACCTCGAACGTACAGTGGAGCGTGATGTGAAAATCTACTCCCTGAATCAGATAATGTGGAAGTGATGCTTTAACGTACTACGTCAGGCTTTGCAACGTGGTTGATTCGAGGCCGAGTAGTTGTTACGAGTTGTGGCTGCAGTTGCAATGTCTCCCAAAAAGCTCTTGGTGGTACGTCATGGTGAGCGCAACAGATCTTGTAGACTCCACTGCTGCCACGCTGCCCTTCCTTTGGATTCTCCGAGGCTCACAGCAGACACAGCGTTGGCAAATGAAGCAGCACTCGGGAACAGAGAGCTGGTCTCGGGCTTCCACATTGCTGAAACTGGTCCGTATGCAACACTCACGAGGTGACTCGAGTCAACTTGCGTGCACATAAACTGCCAATCGATAGCACGCTGACCATCCAACAGTAGCCCCCATTGGGTCGGGGTCTCTTGGAAAACCTCCGCTCGAAACAAGGAGAAACCCAAGCCAACGCCTACTGCCTTTATGTACGCCTCCTTGAGCGACCAAAGGCGGTAGAACCGATTGTATTGAACATCTTCGTCTGCCACACCGTGAATGAACTCCCACTCCCTTGGATTAAAGTGGTCTGCAAAAGCTCGGAAAAACTCTTCACTTGACGTCTTGCGGTGTGGTCGATCCGTACATCTGACGACATCCACGCCAACTAATGCATGAGCGTCACTTGCAATTGCCACGATGGTTCCATGGTGCGAGACATTGTAGTTCCATGCTGGAGGAGAGAGATGTCCGCTTGGTCGTCTCCAGTACGGTTTCCCCTACAACCAGCGATAGCATGATTACAACCTGCTCAAGTTCGAATGGCAAGTGCAGGGACGTGGATCCAACAGAAGCATGCATGCATGTACCTCTGGAGTGCGTTTAATCTCGATGGTGTCGTAGTTTACGTGGAAGAGGTGATGGATGAGATGTCGCTGGAGCAAACGGCTAGCAAGTGCCAAGTTCTGGTCCTTTGCAAACACGAATCGCTTCACTTGCTTCTGTTCCGTTGCCGGGAGCTGTAGCATCAGCCGTTGCCATTCCGGAGAGCTTGGAGTCCAGTCAGAGACATCGACGAAGCAAAGACGGCGAAATGCGTCCATAACCAGTGATCGAGGAAGCACAAAAACACGCCCGGCGCTCGTTTCGGAAAACCTGATTTCTTGACAGGCGGCGTTTGTCAAGAGCTCGTTGTCACATACAACAACTATTCGACGTCTCAAAATGTCAGGAGACATGTGTGACATTGCAGGTACATCCAGGACGTCATGATGATCGTTTTATACCTTCACTTTTCTGTCAGTGTACGTGCTCCTTTTGAGCACATTCGGATCGCCAATTTTCTGCTAGTACCGGTAGGAATCTGCTGGTCGACATGGCAGCAAGTGGCGCTTTCGTATCATTGTGCAGCACTGTCGCTGCTTATCACGAGTGCAAAAAGTGCTAATCGATGCCGTCTTACTAATCGTTCCTGCACTTGAACAAAACAGCTTGGAATTGTTCGACTCAATGTAGTCAGCAGCATATGTAGAGGTACGTTTTACTTCGAGCAGGTCACATGCAACGCAGCATGCTCGACTATTTATCGATGGAAGCTGCCAATGCACACTGCAGTGTCTGTAGCTTTGTGCTGTATGATAAAGAGTGCGGCCAAAGACAAAAAGCAGCTTAGCACGTTTGGTACGAAAAGACTTGGATGCTGAAAACTTCATCACAGTACCTCGTCCCGTCATCCCAGTAGTTATAGACACACCTCAACTACATGGTATCATTCAGATTCTACTACCTTCCACGGATGCATAACGTGCGCTGCACGCGAATGCATCCACAAAACGACCGAATGCCCCGGTATACGTCCAAAGCAGGCTGTTGAGCATATGATGCACCCAAAGTGCTGGGTGCATTTCTCCTGCATCGACACATCTCGTTTTCAATCTTCGAGTCATCTGTCCAAAGAGCTGAACCAACGACGAGTCCACAATGACTCCCTCCATCGGACGATTTCAGTCGAATGGCAGCCAAACCGAAAGTCGTTGACTGTTCATTTGTTGTTTTTCCACACCAGCGAGCGACTGGGACAGCATTGGGCGCACCATAACACACGCGTGCTCTCACTTGGCGAATGTTTTGCTTCGCACTGAGAAAACAACGAGCAAAGGATGTCCGTCAAGATGCACGCGCATTGAATCGTTGTAAAGCGGTACGCGGTACTTGACCTCGCCTCCCTCTTCTTGACGAGCGATACGCTTCAGTGAGAGCGTGCAGTGACCGTTGATTGATTCGTTTCTCACCCATACCAGCATATGCAGCTGCTCAAGCGGTCGAGCGTGTTGTATCACCGCGTTGAGCGATAGATTCAGACCGTTGGAGCCTTGACATCGCTCACCAATGACGTCACACTGCTTTGCATCCTCTCCGACTAATGGCGCCACTATGCGCGTCTTCTTCGGCACCACCACGTTGCCATTCCAGCTAAGCTCCATATTAAATACCCGCAAAACCGTCGACACAAGTCGCTTTTGTGCGTTCATCTGTCGAACTACGCGAGCCTGGTCGAAGTAGCTGCCACCCACCGAGTTCGAATATCTGTCTCCGGCAGTTTGGCCAACCGTGGAAAGGGACCGGGCGCTACGATGTGCCAGCTGTCGGGGAGACCCTGATGTCAATGCATCCTTGTCGGGCCGCGGGAAACCTAGTACAAAAGTACCGTACACGGGGCTATGGTCACTGACATCCATTCCATCACCATGGTTCACGGAACGATAGTTGTCGATAAACCGCAAAGAAGACTCCGTAGAAGTCGGATCTGGCACCTTTTCCGGGATCAATTTTGAGTCGCTAACGAGGAGTGAGTGAATCAAGATGCGATCGCACCATCCAGGCACACGCTTTTTCACCTTACCTCCCTTATAAAATGGCTCCTTGTATAACACACGCCAAACTAACGATGGCCACAACGGAAGCTTCTCGTTCACAGGACCACGCTTCGGGAACTTCTTGTACGTCGGGTAAAAGTCTGGGAATTTATGCGGCTCCGTGAACCCTTCAAAGACACCACCATTACGACGGTCATTCAACAGACCATCAAACTTATCGTGCAGCTCAAGATTGCGGCCTTCTTCAAGCATGTGGAGTACCATCTGCGGATCCAATAAAACGATACGATAGTTCATATCGCCCATCCACACCACGTGGTGGAACTGCTCCGTGAGGTCAAAGCCAGAATGACCCATTATACGGCCAAGACTGGCATTCAGGTTCCGAATCTGTTCGCGACGGTACGTATCATTCCGTGCATCCAAATGGCAATTTACAAACACAACCGTCGTATGGTTGATCCTGAGTGCTACAGCAACACCACCCTTTGATCCACTTGTAAGCTTGAACTTGTGCACACCTGCTCGAATCAGCTTGATCTTCTCCTCAATGTCAGCACAATAAAACACAGCCATACCCGTGAATTTAGTACCAACAAAGGCTCCGTCGCCACGACCGTGCACTGCATCGATAGTTGCGTCGGGCGGTTGGTTCTTGTGGTTCGCCATAAAGTTGCCATTCTTGAGCTCCATTCGATAATAGCGCGTTCCGTGCGCGTTGCGGTTCAAATACGCCTCCACGGCGTGATAGACGTTTTCCGACACGCCCTCCTGTACTCCAAGCACATACAGCTGATAGCCATGCGGCAAGAAGTTATGCAGCATTGTTGCCGAGCGCTGCTCATCAATAATGCCTTTCCCGTCATCAAATGGGTCTGCTGCACCCATGTTCCACGTCCCCACCCACATGCGTACATCCCGCTCATTGATCCGTTGTCCCGGACTCAATGCTGGCGGTGCTGTTGCTCCAGCGGAGAAGTTACTTGTCCGCAGTCCTGCCTCAAAGTACGAACGTGGCGATGTAATGCGACTATCAATCTTGTCAAAACTTCTGTCCGAGGTCGAGTCGACAAACAAAGAGCTTTGCGGAGCTCCAGCACCTGATCCTTTCTGCAAATCGTGGAGTGCGAAATGCTGCGATCCCGTGCTAGTAACGACTTCTTCTGTTTCAGAGCACGTGCGCTGAAATGAGTCACTCGTGCGCGAAGCTTCGTGCGAACTTTGTGCAGTAGCTGACGCCGACGAGGCTATATTTCCCCCCTCGTTACTACCGTTAGTGGTGCAGAATGCAACAGCAGCAGCAGCACAAGAGGGTGCCGCACGTAATTTCTCCAGCAGAAACTCGGGCTGCTCGAGATCCGACAGATTGTTACAGCTAAAGCTGCTCTTGACATTATTTGCTCCATTCCAGTATCCCGAGCGCAGTCTACCTGCAGCTTCAGTTGCACCAGCAGCTGTTGCCAACCGCCTTGTGCGTGTGCGATGGGATGCCGCCGCAGCTTCGGCCACTGTGAGTCCCATGGCCTCAAAGCCATTGGCACAGCTCTGCGACTTATTCAATCTCGCTCGTGGCTGCTTGGCATCAACCAGCCCGCCACTTGCAAGCACCTGCACAGCACTTTTGCCGTTCTTAAGCTGGAAATTCTCCAGCTCGAGCTCCTGCACTCGTCGACTTAGTCGTGCAGCCGCATCTGCCCACTCGACCGAGACTCGACGAGGCGCTGGACCTTCTCGTCCAGCACTGCCACCAGAAGCACGTGGGGGGAGCCTCCACGCCGCAGCTTTTGCCCGAGGACTGGTCGTGACCCCGCTGCTGTTGCCACTGCTGTAGTGGATCGTCTGTCTGTAACCTGCTGCGTGTGCTTGAGTCAGACGACGCAATGAAGCTGGAGACGTGGGCGGTACCACTAGAGCAGGCGCCAGCATGCCGAGCGCGTCGACGGCATTGGTCGACACGAGCACTTCCTGGAGCTTCTGCAGCGTTTCCGGGTCCTCCAGCTGCGAGAATGCGCGCGTGACACGCACCCGCGGGCCTCGAGCAGCGACTTCGTCCAGCTGGCGGTCGCCCATGAGACAGAGAGAGAGAGAGAGACGGTCGCTGGGAACCCGCTTTGGGTCTTGGAGCTTGAAAGCGAGAGAGGCTGAAGAACCCAATTGGGAGATTGACTTATAGTATCGAACGGAGAGCGTGATCAAGATTTTCGCTGCCAAAACGTGTCTGTGTGTGTACCAGCGAGTTCGTTGAGTCTTCTGTGGTGACTGTAGAATACCGGTACGAGAAAGTGGGCTTTTCTGTGTGTTTTTTGGCCACGAAGGCACGACTGAATGTGAGGGCGTGTTGTTTGTTTGTGAGCGGGAGAGAGAGAGAGAGAGCGCGCGCGCACGCACATGTCGTCACGACTAGCGAGTTATAGACAAGGGAAGAGCAAAAGTGTCTCGTTTTTTTTCTGCTTCTTTTTTCGCATGACCACTAAAACGTCCATTCGACTGACCTGAACTTGTCGTTTGGTACTTCAACAGCCACGCATCGTCTCGTCTGGTCGTTGTTCCGGTCTTCCGTGACGCGAGCTTCGGCAACACGTTGTCGTTTGGTACTTCAACAGCCACGCATCGTCTCGTCTGGTCGTTGTTCCGGTCTTCCGTGACGCGAGCTTCGGCAACACGTCGCAGCGCGTCGTTATTGCAGTTGTGTAAACGAGCGACCTTTTGGTCCTGAGGAAAGTCGTTGTGTTGAAGTGTCCAAGCGTTGTTTACAGCGACACGTTTTTGTTTTCAGGCCGAAATTGCCAACTCATCCGACGTTACCCGGCAGCTACTTCAACGAGTGTCCGACTCTGCTCGGCTGACTCGACAACTTTGGTTTCCGTAGCGTAATCGGTAGAAGGTTAGAAAAAAAGATCGTGTGCATTGTCGACAAGTGTGTTGTCCTCGGACGTCGATAGGTACAGCGAGTAGGGTTCACACATCGGCCGCTTCGCAGCTGCAACTTCCGTAACGCAACTCAAGGCACGGCTTGAAGTCGCGAAAAACACGGACCTGGGAAGTGGGTGGACTTTTCAATTTTAGGTCCATGTGGTCTTTGCAATACCGGTATCGAAACGACGACCAAAAAGCTTCACTGGTATCTCCTCGGTAGTATACCAATCTGAGTCTGAGCACATCATTTCTATTTGCGATCATCATCGGCGGCAACTTGCCGTCCATGGACATTGGGGACGGCCGCCTGGACGCGCTCGTGCTCAAGCTGCGCCACCCGCTCGCCAAGATCCGCTCTCGTGCGCTGCGCAGTCTCCTCTTCAAGCTGCGAGAGCGTCTAGTGCAGTGGCAGGAGCTGGAGCCGCTGCAGACGTCGCTCGTCCCGAGTCTCCTGGCGTGTCTGGAGCCGCCGCTGGAGCTTGACGCACTGCACGTGCTGCAGCTGATGATGCAGAGCGAGTCGGACGTGTTTCTGTCGAGCTTGCACCATTTTGGAGCGGCGCAGAAGCTCCAACGAGCAGCTCAGGCGACTCCCGCACTACAGGCGACGTACGAGAAGGTCTGTAGACTGTATAGAGCACGCTATAAAGGAGATACGTGATTGGTTGTTAATCACGTGAATGGGGGATTATTTGGTGGTTCTTGCTGTAGTTGTTGCGACAGATTTACGCCTTCAAGGCGGTGCTGAAGGACGACAAGAAAGAAGTTGGTAGCCGGGCGGACGATGAAGGCAGGCACGTTGAAGACGGGCACGTTGCTGCTTCGTTGAGAATGTCGGAGACTATGAAGGTGCCGCCTGAGGTACGGAGAGATCTGAGAGTGGACAAATTGGAAGCGCTAGGATGGAGGTTTGCGCCGGTGGCGCTGCTGTCAGTAGATGAGCAGCATCTGTTTGAGTTCGAGGTGAAACTTCAGCTCAAGACAAACGTACACGACATTGTGAAGGCGTGTGCGACGTTTCGGAATAAGTTGTTGCGAAACTTTCCTGCTGAAGTGTTTTTACAGAGACCAACTGTGCTGCAGTACTTGCTGCATCTTGTGCAGCAGCCGATATTGCCGGATCGGCCGGGTATGACTCGTAAACAAGGTGAGGGTGTCGACGTTGCGATGGAGAAAGCGATGAGTGTGTCGATGGGAGTGAACTACTTCGATGACACGTTGAATGCGACGTTTTCGAACACACAAGGAAACGTAGCGGGTGCCGTGGTGATGGCAAGTCTCAAAGCGATCGAGTCGCTTTTGTACGCGCTGCAACGCACACGGAGAGTATGTCTTGATCCGGCGTACATTGTACACTCGCCTACGGTCCATGTACAGTTGTTCGACTCGTATGACACGCGACGGGTATTGTATCCGCGTGCAAGGGTGGGAATCGATGAAGGCGCAGTTAAGCAAAGAGTCGGTGATAGTGCCAATCAACTTACGCAGTACTCTTTAAGTGGGGCAGCTTATAGGATATTCATGAGTGTGCTGCCGCTGCTGCGCTCAGCAAGACACCCGCGGCAGCACTTTTTGAACCTTCTCATCGTGGCAATACCAGACTTACCCGAAAGAAGCCGATTGGATGTCCCAGAATCAGGCACACTGAAGCTAAACAAGTTGCGGCTTGAGTGCATTTTTGGGGTGATCTGCGTCATCTGCCGACCTTTACCACCGGAGCATACATGTGACAGCATGACAGGCAATGAGCTCGAGTTTACGCACTCAATGACGTGGAAACTAGTGGAGCTCGTCCTTCGGCTGCTCCGGTTATTTCCGCCGTCCAAGTACTGCGTCAAAATAGCTAGTGGTAAAGGTGAAGGTTGCGTCTCTGCTGAGGACAATCGTGGTATAATCATTCCACGACAGCTGTGGGAGACTGTGAAGTCATGGATTGCTCACCCAGCCTTCCTTGATGTATCTGCAAGGGAGTGGAAAGACGACTCACTCATTCAAAATCTCTCACAGATTGACCCCGCGATCCCTGCATTCATTAGTCTAAAGCAATCATCTTTACATGATACAACTTCAATCCTCGCTTTTGTTGAGTTCGCGAAGGTAAATCGTGAGCAGTCAGCAAACGTTAGCTCTACGGAGGAGCCAGTCACGGCGACTCTGCAAGTTGCAAGGAAAGTCATTCAAGCCAGGTGCATCTTTGATGATTCAGACACTGAAATTATCGCATACGCTGTGCTGGACACGATCTGGTCAGCCTTGGCTAACGACGGAGCGGACAAGACGGGTACAATCAGCGCAAGTGACATGGAATGCATCCGCTTCATCCTTTGTGATTTGTTGAGTGCATCGGGTGAGTTGGAGACATCGGGGATGGACAACTCGATGGCTGTCCATTTTTTTCGAGGTTTCTCGGATCTTCTGGATGAGCTGAATAACGGTACAAGCGGTGTATCAGCTGATCGCTGGCACCAATTTGCTACCCATGTGTTATGTGAACCTAACTTCCTCGCGCTCTTGATGTTAGTTTTCGCAAGAAGTGATGCTGATTCTAGCGACAAGACAAATAGCGTGGCATTGTGGAGAATTTTACGAGCAGCTTTGGCGCAACTCGTAAATGCTTCTAGCGACGAGCTAAGACCGCTCCAATCTGTGATCCCTTTGATGCAACACTTCGCATATATGGAACTGCCGGGAGAATCTTGTCGAGAGCAACGCTTGACTCAACCACAACTCGTGAAGGTCTTGAATCGAGTGGAAAGCGTCGTACCCGATCACACGAGGATGCTTGTGTTTTGCCGCTGCTTACTCCATAAGTCGTCATACGTTCGCAGAGCAGCTTCCTCTAGAGTCATCCGATTGTTGTCTCTTGTGACTTCGTCGGATGCCGATCATACCTCAACCGACAAAGCAATGTGTGAAGACCCGTTCGGATGCGCGGTCACTTCTGACGGCAAAACGATAAACTTTGAAGCAACACTGATGGAGACTCCTTTGCCTGTTGTTCGAGCAAGTGAGTGTCGACCTCACGGAAGCGAGTTGTCGTCACAGCTAAGGAAGTTAGCTCACCTGTGTAAAGTGATTTTGGGTACACCGTCGGCGTTTGAGACTATGAGAGAGGCGGCACTCAAAGAGTTGGTGATGTTTATCGAGCAGTCATCGGTGGAGTTGTTCACGCTACTTGAGGAGCTGGACAAGTTGTCAGACCTACTTGATCTGCTTCGTTCTTTCCTTCAGACGGACGGTAATCGACATCACACGTCAATGGTTCATCAAACTCTTATCTTGCTCAGGACGCTGTTGTTTCGTAGCCCATTACTACGCGCAGCAGTGCGACATGATAGCAGTACGACCGAGGTTTTGATGTCGCTGATATTCCACACCTCCGTCTCGGTTCGGGCGCAGATGTACTACATTGTTCTCTTGCTCCTGTGCTCAGCTGAGAATTTTGTAATGACCGTTGTGTTACCAGATTCATTAAGTAAAATTGAGCCTGGACTCAGTGGTGAAGCAAACGTCCCCGAGATGATTAAACCAACATTTGGATTGTATTCCGATCGCTGGGCGCGATGCCATGTTGTTACTTGCTCGCTGAAACAGCAATTGGAGGCAAGCTGTGCACAGGTAATCAAGCGGCCAGAATCTTTGTGGCTGCAGGACGTAAAAACCCTTATCAGTCAAGCTTCATTCCAAAGTGATGAATACGGCGTAAAGCGCGGCATGAGCGGCGAAAACGTGCTTGCCTTGTTAGGGGCAGAGTATTCCTTCGTAACCCGGAGACTCCGAGATGCATCGTCCCACGGAAAGTGCCTGAATGCACTTTACTACTTGATGATGATGTGCGAGTCATGGTCTTTCGCACGCGAACGCTTTGTCAAAGAATGGGAGATGGAATTCGAACGGTATTTCGCGGTACCTCCGAAGAGTGAACGAGACGAGATGATAATTGGCTCGCTCATGGCCACTCTTAGTACGATGTTCTTTGCGATGACTAGAGGGGTGCAGTTGCGTGCTCTTGTTGTGGTAAAGCGAAAGGTTCTTCCGCTGCTGAAAACGTCTCAAAGTAAGTTATTTTCCCTGCAGACTGCACGGTTTTTGCTCACTGTAAGTGAATCGAAGGTTGGTGATCTGTTTGTGTCCTTGGCTGCTGATACGGACATTATTGCGACGATATGCACGAAGTACTCTACAACCTATTCGACAGAGCCCATACTGCACAGTCTGATGTTGGAGGTACTGTTACGATTCGCCAAACGTATGGGCGAAAATGCAGACACTCGTTTGTCACCACCCTCGCGCGATAAAATTAGCAAGCGTTTGCTGGAGATGCTGTCACCGTTGCTCACAGTTGTATGTCGTCACCGCGTTCCTGGCTCCTTCCTCGAACGGGACGTTTTCACTGTTGCGTCTCAGTGTATCGCAAGTATTTTGCTACTACTTCCGCGTAATTCCCTTCTGGTAAGAGATTGTCATCTGGAGCACACCGACAGCAGCATTCTTCTCGATGGTAGTTGGGCGTCTCGTTTTCTCTTCGACCACGTCTCGCCGGTTCGAGAGCTCGGTTTCCTCGTCCTCGAGCACACCTTATCGTCTGACATTTCTACGACTCGTTCGCTAAAGCAGGCTTTTGAAGCATCTACCGACGACACCGAGGCAGATGCTGTCCGTGCAGCAGCATGTGCGGCTTTGACTAAAGCGATTACTCGGTACCTCGTGCGTCCATCTGACGAACAAGTGGGATTGCCAGAGATTCCTAAAGGGAGCGCATTCTCGGGGAAGACTCTACGCTCACTTTCGCACATGTTGAAAAGCAACAAATTATGTGCTCGTGCTTGTAGCGCATTTGCACGGCTGGTGCGACTGCTTTACGTACACCGAAACAGCTTGGCATTGATTCTTGGGGATATGCAGAAAGAGTTGCAAGCGGCTGAAGAAGGGTACGGGGTGTATTTACTATTGGTGCAGGTACGAACTCGAAAACAGGAACCTCATGCTCAGTCGTTCTTACCACTTCCTGTTTGATCATTGCTTTTCTTAGGCGCTGTCCCTCCACAAATGGAAGGACAAGTGCGATCGTTTCTGTTCATCATGTATGCTCCTACACAATTGTGATGGCGACACATGGAGACGGTCGTTGCTTCCAGCCGTTTTGGACTTGATGTCTGAAGTGCTGAATCTCTTCCAGGCTGTCTGCCGTGATACTGGTTTCGATCGCGTGGCTTCTCTCCTCATGGTACATTGTCTTCTCCACTTAACGCGCTGCCGCGACAATTTTAACGTCGTGTTGTGACATGGTAGCACACGGATATACAGATTCAGCTGATGAAGCTGGTGCAAGATGTCTATGCTTCTCTTGACGACAGTATGTCAGTGTCTATAAAGCGAAGCCACTACGAGGTTCTTGGCCTTTGTGCGGGTACACTCGGTCTTCTTTTGGTGCAAGCTCTTGACCAGCCTACTAGTTGCGCAATCGAGCAGCCCGGAATACCGGTTGTAGCTGAAATTGGCGTAAGTTTCGTGGATGTGGTGGTGAAGCTGCTTGATTCACGCCATCCCGTGGATTTCAGAGCATCGTTCTCGCGGGTCGTGCCATCTGTAAGTACCCTCGTTGTCTTGGCAGGAAATTTTGATCTGGTCGCACTCATTGCTTGTTGCATCGTTGTTTTGCCATTAGATATCGTTGCTACTGCCCGAATTGCTGAAAAATACAGAAGATACCACAATTAGTGCGCTGTGCTCTGTCGTGTACGACCTTTACCAGGAGGTGGCGGAGTTCAGACCTCTGAACGCGACTGCCGTTGATGCTGCAATGCCTGATCTCCAGAGTCAAATTTTCCCACTGCCGTTGATTAAGCGCGTCGCGTACGCATTTCGAGTTCTTATCGAGACAAGTCCGAAGCATAGGAAACATGGTTGGATCAAGCCTGCCTTGCCGTTCGCTATGTCTTCGATCAAGGAATGCTTCTCCGCGATTCGATTAGCTGGTGGGTTTGGTGGCAAGCGAGCTCGAAGCTCTGACAATAGTACGAGCAACCACGACGCATACATGCTTGATCTATGCGGACGCATTCAGGTGCACATCGAGGTTATGAGCGCAATTGTCGGTGGAGACAAAGATAGCCAACAACTCGCAAAGGTACTTGAATGTTTGCTTTCAATAGTACGATGCATGTGTGAACTCAGTGCTGCTTCTGAATATCGTGCCTAGGATGAGGGGCTTCTCAGTGCGATTTTATCGAACTGGACGATAATGAAAATGGCTCACGCTCGCGGGTCTCAGTTGATGCTGCATGCGCTCTACCTTCTCGCAAACTATAGCTATGGAAACGATACCGCCCGAAAATCAATGCTGACTTTGCTGCAGGCCGGATCTGTAGAAGTCTCTGGTAGTGGATGTGCTCAAACGCTGTTGTCACTTTTGTTCGGCCTCGCGACCTCCCGAGGGGAGATGGCTCACCAAGTTGCACGTGGTGCCAATACGTCGTCCGCGGGGAATATGGCAGTGAGTGACGCTGCATGCCAAGTGCTGATGACTGCTTTGCACAACACCGAGTGCGTTTTAGCATCCCACAAGACCGGGTCACTAACAAAGCTGATGGATTCGCTTCGAGATCGACTCGAGCAAGACCGAAAAACCAGCAAGACGAGTCTCGTCGAGACTAGGAATCTTGCTAACATGCTTGGAGTGCTCTGCAGCGTAGCTTCGAACGAGGAAGGGACTGGCATGCTTTACTCCATCGGTGCTTCTGTGCTCTCATCAGTGCTGGATGATGTAATGCAATCATCCGATGAGATGGTTCAGCGCAGTGGCTGTTTGTTCTTGAGAAATCTTGCTCTCTCTCCAGCGTCCAAGAACCACTTTGCCATGTGGGACAAGCTGCTGGATAACATGATTGCTCGTTGTGTACGTGCGAGTTCTCCAGGTCGAGCCGAGTCGATTATTGTGGACTATCTTTCCACTGCGCTCTGGTCGCTCGTGTACGACAATCAGAAAGCTCGAGCAGTGTTGCTATCGCGGCCAACGGCAGTACGAAGCTTGCAACAAGTTTTGGACTTCCAAAACGCAGGTGCGTGTCGGTCAAATACGTGCCTCGTATTTCGACATCAGTGTGCTCATACTCACCCTTTTGTTGCCTTTTTCTCTTATCAACACCAGCTTCACCGCGTACACTTTCACTCGACATTGCTGAAAACCTCCGGCGCTTATTGAAGCTTGTAAAGGGGTAGAGCGCGAATATCGACGACACCACACCCGCATTTTTTAATCATCACACGAGTCCGTATTTATTTATCACATACCGATATAACGAGGCAGTGCTAGGCCTCGTCATCGAACCAATAAATACAAGCACATTTCGCACGCGCTGTCCGGCCTCATCCTGTCTCGACTACGGCACATCGAAGTCTTCTTCGTCTTCTTCACTGCTTCGGCAATCGACTTCGTCTTCATCCTCTGACGAACTGTCACCCTTTTCCAGGCGAACGTGCGTTGTTCCCCCTGGACTCAGAACACATTTCAACGAGCGCGATCCAACCTCTTCCACAAATTCCACGGCCTTCTTCTATGCGAACAAGCAAGCATAGTTACAAAGAAGTGCAAATGTTAGGCCTTGCTGTGGCGCACAACTCAACTGCTGTGACGTACCTTGGTGGACATGGCTTTTGTTTCCGATGCTACGGGGACCGCGGATGTTAAGCGGCGCACCTTGCCACGCTTCATCTCTCCACCACCAGCAACGTGTAAGCGGTTGATGCCCAGGACGTACGAATCGATATCATCACGTTTACGCGAGCTCAATTTCTCTAGCCGTCCTAGTGGCTCATCCATTTCCGAATCGTCTTCGTCAAAGCTACGCGACGGTGTCCCCAGCTCAGGTGACTTGATTGAATCGAACTCGGGTAGCTCCGGTAAACCTTCCTTGGATGGAGTTGTTTCAAACAGATCGTCCACGTGCTTCTTCTCGTACTACGAAAGACGCACCATCAGCCTGGTCAGGCCGGCTGAACAACAGACAATCTCATCACACCTCTCACATTCAGATCCTCCACGCACCTCTTCCACAAACTCGCGAACTTGCTTTTTGAATTTGTTCGAACCAGCGCGGGCGATCTTACTTGGCACAGCTGTACGCGGTTCAGCACTAGCTCGCTTGATCGCTTTCTTCGCTGCTTTTCGGTCAGTTGGCGGGGATCGAAACTGCTCGAACGTTTTTGCTTGACAGTCTGCTGCCGACTTCCCTGGCACATGCTGTGCCACCTATCGACAGCAGCAGTTGCACGTTGCCTTACAGCGTGAGTTTACCACTAATGCAAATTCGATTCTCACATTTGAATCATCGTACCTGTGCCCAAAAGTTCGAGGCAGTCGTTGGAATTATCAGCTTCGCATCGATCAAAGCTTCCTGCTGTTCCGTTGTCCAGCCATCTACCTCTGCCTCAGACTTCGAATCCTCACTCTTTGCACTGCTTTTTTTCACCTTAGACAAAGTAGAAGCGGGAACCTAGCGTATCAGGCATAGAACAAGAGTATCAGTGCAACGCAATAGCATGATGTCCACAAAGCACAAGATATATGCACCTTCCTAGGCTTCGTGTCAGGTCGGACCGGGCTCATAGCGTCGGTTGGTTCCACCTCCGGATCGACTTCTTCTTCGCTCACAGGCATCGGCGAGCTAGAACAAAGCAAGTTTGCAGCAGAGTTGCATCGTCAAATCAGATAATAGCCCAAAAGAAAAGATGCACATCCATTCTTCGTGCCTGTCTATGTCTGCATCTGGAGCTTTCTTCTTCACTGCTCTTGGTTTTGATCCCGCCTTGCTATGTTTAGTCATATCGCGCGACCTTTGCACAAACGGAAGCAAATGCTTGTAAAAGTATGCCGGAATACCCTCGTCCATCAGCTCCATGGCCGCAACTGGCATGCCTGCACTTTTGGCAGCATCCCGATCCAAGTTGCCCGACAACACCACGTACTTGCCATCCATGGATGTGAACTTGGTCGTTTCTTTGCGTTTCTCAACCGTAAGCTGCACGAACTCGCCATTGACGCGTCCTGACAGCACGAGCAGCGCTCTCTCAGCATTTCCTCCACCCTGTTTCTCCAGCACGGGCGGCCACTCGACATACCAGTGCTCCAGCACCACCGCCTTGCGCGTCACTCGGTGACCTTCTTCCCGCCCTCCATCACATCGCACTCTCTTCTCGTTTGCCTCCACTCTCTTCCTCATCATCTTCTTCTTCTTCTTCTTCTTCACCTCTGGCGACTGAAAAAGCCTCTTCTGAACAACCACGTCGTCCTCATCATCTTCTTCATTTTCTTCTTCACTAACCCCCAAGTCTTCAATCGTCTCGAGACTGCTGCGCTTCCACTCTCGCTTCTTCCTCTGAGAAATGGATCTCGTCACAGGCGTCGCCCGTCCCACCAGCTCCAACACACCCGCACAGCATCTCGTGCGTCGTCTCTCTTTCTTCAGCTTGGTCGCACTTCTCGTCACAGCTGGAGAAGCTACTGCCACCGTCTCCCTCTCCTGCCGGTTCCTCTTCTTCGTCTCCTTCTTCTTCTCCTTCTTATAAGTCACCAACAGCTTCAAGTGCGCAAACGGATCGTCTTCGTCTCCATTAGAAATTTCTGTCCCGGGATTTCTATGCATAGAAACGCCCACACACTGCGCCGGCGCGCTCAAAGTCTTCCGCAATCCTCTTTTGAGAGGGCTCTCGTACGCGTCCAAGCGCCACTTCTTGCGCGGCTTGCGCGTCGACAGCACCACGGCGTCCTCTCGACCGAGACCCACCAGAGCGCTCTCCAGCACGGAGCTGTAGCGGTGACGACGCAGCGGTGCCGAGGCCCGACGCGGCATGAACGACATGGCGATTGGCGCTGGGATTGTCAATTTCTAAATACTCGTGTGGCTCGTTTCTAATTGACACGGCGGGCTTACCACGGGTAGGTGCGATACGATCATCGATATCTATGAAGTAACACAGACCAGTCCAATAGGTCAATCGAAGCAATAATGGGTGCATTTGTCTGCTGCCACCGACTCAAGCTCTTTGTATCTGTAGCTTCCATCGGTGATCATGGCAACCTACACTAGCTTGAGATTATAGCTTCGATCTATTTTATTTGGCCACATGTACTTAATTTGTGGCCAGGTACTCCATGCCAAACGTCTTGCCTGCCACATGGTAGGGGTCCAAGCGATTTGACATAGAAGACACTTGCACTTCATCATGAAAAGGCAGTCCAAAAAGGCGACAAGAGTGAGAGAATGGCACGCACATCCTTGTTTTAACCATACTATTGACTGCGCTTGTGGTACAAAACATCCCATGAGGAATTCAGTACGACAGCAAATGTAGCCTGCAAAGACGTCCACACGAACGACTGACACTACTTGGGATATCAACAAGGTGCAAATAGAACAAACGGCAGTCGCGTGTCGTAACCGTAGTACCCATTATCTCATACAAGGACAGCTTCGAGTCTGAGTCTGACGGGCTTCGCACTCGGGGATGCATTATGCCAGTTTAGCGCCAAGTGCTAAACTGTATTCATCGTGCCACTTTTTGTTTTTTTTGTGCGATGATCCAAGGCGTCTGTCATCTGTACGACAAACCAGACTCCAATCGCAAGAGAGACCCGCAGGATGAGCACAACAAAGACAGGCCAAAAACGCTGACTATTTCAACGCGGTCATATTCTTGTCGAGGTGGGGAGATACCATGCTGCGGCGAGAAGTCTTGGGGCAACCCTCGGCCCTGCTGAGCTGTCTCTTGCTGCTGCTGCTGCTTGGACAGCAGATAAAGGCCGAGAGTGCCCGCTACTCTCTCAACTTGACGGGCATCGCGTCGGGCACAGGTGCGTGCGTACAGGCGCTAATTCTCCTTGAATCAGTATCGAGGAGACTGTGCGTGTGTGTGTTTTTGGGGACTTCTGACGCTTTTTGCTTTGTTTAAATAGCATACACGCTCACTGTGGATATTGGCACGCTGGACGACTCTGGGTCAGAGAGTCGAAGTGTACGTCAGAGTTCGAGAACTGTGGCTGTGGAGGTCTGCTGCTGGTGCACGTTGTTTGACGAGACTTTGGTGTTGGGATGGGTAGAACGCCTTCCGGTTGATTGCAGACACCGGCTCGTCCAATGATGCAGTGCTCGGATCCGGATGTTGCGGACCTGAAGCTTTGGTGACCTACTCGTGTGAGGCATCGTCGACCTGCGTGAAACCGGAGGAGAATGCGGTCACTTTGGCGTTTGCAGGAGCCAATATTGAGTACGATTTCGCGCTGACGTGCGAGAAGGCTTGTCGCTAACTTGTGGGTTGTGATATGTACAACAGAGGCCAGTTCTTGACGGATACGTGGTCGTCGAGTGAGGTCGGCAATATCTCGAAAACGTTCTTGGTCATTGAAGAGCAAGACACGTTCTTTCGGTCCACGTACGACGGTATCACTGGCTTGGCATACGAGGCGTTAGCGGCATCGACGGGTGACCTTGTGCCGTCGTTGTACAATGTGCTAGTGGGCACAGGCAATACCGCCGATAGATTTGGAATGCTGCTATGTGGCACAATGCAGCCCATGTTGCAGACTGGAGGGACGGATTTTACGTATCATTCCGGTCAGTTGATGATCGGCGGCATCGAAGGCACGAGCGGAGAGGTTTATTATACGGGGAGTATGCTATACACTCCTATAACAAGGGTGGGTGTGTGCTTCTTGACGATTGGATGTGTCTGGCCAGGAACTAATGCTACATGTGCTGTTGTCTATCCAGGAGGCATGGTATGTTGTTACAGTGACGGACGTAGGATACAACGGTAAAAGTCTCGGATTGCCATGTGACAACTACAACACCCCACAGGCAATCATGGATTCCGGCTCAAGCAATTTGGCGTTTCCGCCGAATGTGTACAATGCTCTCATGAACCAAATCAAAGTGGCAACACTGGCGGCAATCCCAGACTTTGACACGAGCTACTTTGATGCCTCGACTTCGTGTTGTGACGAGACCTACTGCGACCCAACGTCATCCAGTGCTGCGTTGTTGGAGCTGCCGTCGATTTACTTCACTCTTGGCATGGAGACGGTTGATGGATCGACCACAAAACACTTCACTATCGAGATTCCACCCGAGTATTACTGGCGACCTGAAATGAACGGCGTCAACGCGAGTGCACCTTGTCGTGCGATTGGCATTTCGGAAGGAACGTCAACTGTCCTCGGTGATGTATTCATGGACGGTTTGTATTCATACCACGATCGTGCAGAGGGAAAGATTGGTTTGGCAGTCGCTGACAACTGCCCGAACAACGTCAACTCGACAAAAAAAGTGTACGCGTCTGCTGACTCCGTAGACTGGTGCTCATGCTTCTCCAACACGCTGAAGAAGAAGAGTTCATGGAGTACGTACATTCCATGGGGCACCGGGTGTTTCTTCTGGCAGTGGTGGATGTACGTCGTAATCGCCAGCTTCTTTGTGGTAATTGCGTGTGTCTGCGTCTTGATCTGGTGGCAACGCACCAACAATTATATGAAGAGAATCCAGGAAGAGGCATACATCGCTACCAGCGCAGGAGCGTGCACCAGTCGCTTTTCGACGGTGCAGTCGTTCGAAGGAGCAAGACCTGCACCAAGCTCGTCACTAAGCAGCTACTACGCGGCGCCCACGCCGCCCCCAAAGCGGAAAGCGTCTACTTATTCTACTCAGCCTGGTCCAAGACAAGAACCAATGCAGCCACCAAGGTCTCAAACCTCGAGAGCAAAGCAGCGAGAGAGAGCAGTACCGATGATGGATGAGCCCAAGTATTCCGGTGCGAGCTCACCCCGGTCGCCGTTATCGTCCACTTCCAGTATTGCCCTCTTATCCGAAGGTTCGTTTTACAGCTCGATGGGAAGCTCGCAGGCACAGTCACACCACCAACGTTCCCATGGGTACGGGTACAATTCGAGCCACACTTCCAGCACCAGCGATCGATGGGGAGCGTCATTGCGAGAGAACCATTCGTAAGCAGCTTTGAAGCAGCGCACTAGTCAGTCTGCATGGTGCAGTGCGTGGCGCCTCCTGAGGCGACGTACCGACAAAAGAAATAGGGGACCGAATCGGAGCTGATCAAGTGGTGGACCCTTTTTTCCAAGGCGCGGATGTTCCACACACAACATCTTTGACCGACGCAGTCGCGTGCTCTCGAGTCGGACGTTCCGATTTGTAACCGGTCACCGTCTCAGAACCAGTCACGGGTGACTGGTGAACACACCGCGACGGCTCGAGGTGCCACTGGACGCGCTACCTTCTAGCAACTTTTTCAGACTCCGAGAGTTGATGAGGGACCTGTACAACTGCATACTACGATGGCAGAGCAGTCGCGACGTCACAACAGCTGTTTGAAATAGAGTCACGTACATATGAAGTACTACAGGATAAGCAACACCAACAAAAACGTCCAATCCAATCTCTATCGCCGAAATAGCTCGATCGACGACTCGGGCCTGTACGAGGTCACCGATACTCTACTCGAAATCACAGGTTCTCTCCCTCCCTGTCTAGATAGCCCGCCGTCCCTCGTTTCGTTCGTCCTCTCCGGCTTTCTCCCTCTTTTGCCAACAAATCAAGTCTCGCAGTCTATCAGCTTTCACGGATTTATCCACCATACCCACCTCAAGTGTCGGCACTTGTTCCCCATCTCGTCGGCGCCGTCCCCTCTGCACCCGCCAGCGTCTATAGCCAGTGCGCCCTCGCTCGCTCGCTCGCACGACGACCACCACCACAACACGACCGCTCGTCCCACGACCCGCACTCGAGCAGTCTCGACTCATGGACGACCCGCGTGCGGCCCACGACGACGCTTCAAGCCCCGGGCACGAGCACGACTTGAGCAGCTCGAACGAGTTCGTCCAGCGCCAGACGGACAAGATGCACAGTCTGGACGACAGCGAGGACGTGTCGTTCCATGGGTCAGCACCGTCGCATCGCAGCAGTAACCACAGTGGGACGAGCGAGCTGTCGACCAATATGACGGTGTATGAGAAGTTACAGGCGCTGGCATTGGCGGGGAATATCAAGTTTGACGAACTATCCACTTCGGGAGGTCCATTGACCACTGAAACCACCAACGAGGCGAAAGACCGAGACGAGGAAGAAGAGGAAGAAGACGATGACGATATTTACGAAATCTCGTGGGACGGAGGACCGCTCGGTCTCTTGTTCAAGGCAAACGCCAGTGGTCAACCTGTGATCCGAAGGGTGAACAAAAAAGGAGCGGCGACTGGATTGCAATACGCTCGGGCGGGAGATGTTCTGGTTGCGCTGAACGGCGTGAGCGTCTCGGCCACACCATTTAGTGAAGTGATTGAACGACTCAAGGAGCCGGAGTTTCCTGTAAAGTTGGATTTCAGGCCGTTGAAATTGAGTGACTTGGCGTCTGCAGCAACGCCCAAGTGGGGGTTACCACGCACAGGCTCATCGATTCACAGTAGTGATGCAGCGTCAGCGTTTTGTGGCTCGCCAGTGTCATCGAGCGCGACGGTGGATATGCGTCACAATCGAGGAGGGGGGTGGGGGGATTCTTCACCCATGTACATGCAACAGGTGAATGAAGCGCCGACGGAAGACCCGACGGATGTGGAGTACGATGTGGTATGGAATGAAGGTCCACTCGGCTGTGAACTGAAGCAGCGGAATGGACAGCCTACCGTCAAGTCAGTAACGGGAACAGGTGTGACTCCGTCTGTGGCTCAGATCGCAATGGGGGATATTCTTGTTAGCATAAATGGATTACGCGCCGAGGAGATTGGGTTTAAAAGCACAGTGACGCTGATGATGCGAGCGACAAAGCCTGTGTACTTGCGGTTCCTCCGGGCTGGTGCTCGCCAAACACCGTCTGCTGGAAAAAGCCTCAGTGATCTCAAACCAAGTTATAGGGGGCCGCTGAGCAATAGAGGAATTCCACAGGATGTTTCTGGACTCGGTGGGGGAGTGACAACGCTGGACTCGAAGCAGTATACGGTGTTGTGGCGTGACGGGCCATTAGGTATTCAGATTCGCACTTCTAGCCAAGGCCGTGTAGTCGTGGCACGGCTTACAGGTGCAGGCACGCCTAACGTCAACGATACAGTGAAGCCTGGCGATATATTCGTGCGTGTGGCCGGGGTTGATGTTGACTCCTTGGGTATTGCTGGCGCCTTTGAAATGCTCAAAACAGTTCAGAAGCCTGTGGTGCTTGTTTTCCAGCGGCGCAGTCGTGACAATTCTCGCTCGCATTCACGCGGCAGACATTCTGGCCTTCCTTCACCAGCACCATTGCCGTCGTCTTCAGCTGTCCCTTCCTTCCGGCAGATGCGTGAAGAGGAGGCGGCTGCAGCCGCTGTTGCATCGGCTCGTCCACCCATGCTACGGGCTGACAGTTGTGGCTATAGCCCGGCTCGGCAAAGAAGCCAAAGCCGTGGTGGATCGATGAGGCAATGTGGAGGTGCATACTCGCACGACGCAGACAATTCGTTTGCGGCATCCGACGACGGTGCAAGCCAACGAAGCTACGACTATCTTGGTGATTCGCCGCGTTCACGTGCATCTCACCAGCATCCCGGCCTTTTCAATGTTGACGATGCCACTTCAGACGGTGGCATACTAAACGCTTTACCGCCCCCACCGCCCTTTCCAGGCATAAATTATCCTGAATTAGGAGGCGTGAACAATGAAGACGATCCAGAGGAAGACGGTTTTCCGCCAGATATATCCCGGGATGAAAGTCCGTCGCTCACAGGTTTACCTCCGCCGCCATCTTACATGGACGTATTCACGGCTTCCGGGCGTCCCCAAGACGATATTGTAGCAGTGCCCCCTCGCAGTATGGATCTTCAAGACATCGTTGAATTTGGATCGGGCGATGGGTTGTACCCCGGTCAACTAGAACGGCCTCCTCCTTTTGAAGCTCACAGCAATGAACCCCTTCAACCTCTACCTCGATATTTAGAAGCACCATTGCCTCCTGTCGAAGACACCCCGTCCCTAGTGGGCCAGCCAAGTCGACTTCAAGAGCTTCGGCGCCAGTACATTGAATCAGAGCGGCAACGCAACCTGCTGCAGAACGGTCATGCTACGTTGGTGAGTACTTACTCCGATATCGATGACTCTGGACTCGTGGTGCGCCATCCAAGACAACCTTTTGATGACAGCCTGGTAGCAAGTAGTGAGCCGTCTCCCCAGCTACCGCCACCAGAGTTGTGGGTTCGCTGGAGTGAAGGCCCACTCGGCATCACGTTTAAACGCAAGAACGGGCAGATTGTGGTGTCACGACTTACTGGATCTGGTTATTCTCCGGGGCTGACACAACTTCGTCCTGGTGACTGGCTGGTGTCGTTCAGCAACCAACCCACGCGCAGCCTACGACTTGGCGAAACAATGGAACTGCTGAAGCGCTCGCCGAAGCCTGTCGACATGTGCTTTATCGTTCAGTAAGGGACGCAGCGATTGAGCAGCATATCTGCACAGCGCTGGATATCGAAGTGGGCGTCTTGCAACAGTGCGCGTCACTTGGGAATAGCCTGAGTGTAAGTGGTAAGCTGAAGCAAGGCACCAAAGAGGAGTGACGACGGTCGTGGCTGCATCGTAGAAGATGAGGGCGATACAAATTTTGGCTGGGAAATTGGGCGTTCTCGCTTCGCACGGGTGTGCTTAGAACGTTTTGGGTTGCTACCTCGAATAAACGTGAAGTGACAGTGTGAGACAGCACGAATGTTTATTTGGCTAGTTTTGTTGGCTGGCGGAGCTCTGTTGAACGTCAAGATTGATTGTCCCACAGTGTAAATACTTACTGATCAATGTGAAAAAGGTTGGCTTGGAGATCATGTGGCGATCTTGCAGCGCCAAGGCTGTACGACTGGAGATTAGCAGAAACTACCGATGTTCGGTGCTGCAGTCATCTGGGTTGAAGTTGTTCCTCTGAGGCTTTCGTTGGACCTTGCCATCAGCAGGGAATTGTACACCGGATGGAAAAAGGTCAAGCAATCGACGGTCGATTCCATCGCATCCGAATTGAGCTGACTTCATCTGACGGACGTGCTTGTCAGCGTCTTTGTTGCCGGTCTCCGTCTACTTTGTTCTTTACACTCGGTCGTAGAACTCGAGAAGTGCATGCAACCTGTTCCGATGTTGTCGACTTTTCTCGGTGAACGTCGTCCAGCAACCCTCGATAGGCATTGCATAACATCACGGCCGCAGTAGACTTGTTCCTAGGAGGAAAGGCATCCCATTCCGTCCGGGCTTCACCCCACCTCCATGCGTATGGACTCTTTGTCGCTTTGCCATAGTTTAATGGGTTGCGCATAATGTATGGTTTACCACGTACATTGTATGCCGAAGTGCAGGTGGAGCAGACATGTCTCGGCACTTGATGACGCGCTGCTTTGTCACTGTCGTAAGACAATCCATGGATGGATCCTGTGAGCACCTTGATACCTCTACTATCGCAAGTGACAACTTCTGGAAATGTCGATCTCCAATCTGCATTTGCTCGGGAAAGCCGTCATGTCGTCACAGAACTGCCAGCTAAAAAGCTTGGGAATAAAGCTTACGTCCGGGTCAACCTTAATCTGAATCTCGAGTGGCAACGGCTACTTCGCATGGACTCAGACAATAGGTCAGTGCGTTCTTTGCAGCCTCCGTGACAAGTCTAGTATTATTACCCGCACGAAAGCCATGACGCCGGGTGCAATTGAAATAGTTTGGCACATGTACCCCGCCTTTTCATTTGACACATGTTTTGCGGCATCGGATAGCTTACACGTAAAGCTCCTATCGTTTTGTAAAACATTTCGACAATGGGCTGCTATCCGCTGCCGCAATGCATGGATGCAGCAGCCGGTCTTTTGCGTCACACAAAACAGAAACATCATTAGCCATGGCCAGAAACACGCAACAACAATGGGACTCGTAAGTAGAGGTGCATCAAATAACGCCAGAAAGCTTTTACAAGCGCCTTGATTACGTGAAGTGGCGCATCTCAGTGGCCTTCAGAACGTCACACGCCACCGCACCAGTCCTAGTCAGAACCAAGACTGAACACCACCTGCATCGCCGTATTCGAATCCCTCACTCACACTAGATCTTGTCCTGATCGGTACTGGAATTGTTAATGGTGATTACCTCGGCGCGATTCGCCAAACTCCTTCACTTGGAGAGGTTCGAACACAACCTTCGTGACACGCATCATTTTTCATCGTCTAACATCATGTCTGTCGTCCCAACAAAGTTCTACTGGGCATGCTGTAACAGATCTTATTAAAACACTGAATCGGCTATCACAGACACGAACTTTCAAAAGGGGTAACGTGGAAGAAGGTCAAAATAAGTAGTGAATCTAAAGCCCAAACAACCTACACACTGTTTCTGCTCTTCATCAATTCTTCCACTAGTGTCGTCCTTATTGATGACCTTAGTCGATGCCTGACTTTACCTCGGGGATTCCTGAAAAAAACAGCAACTTGCTCATAATCGGGGTCCAAAAAAACAATCAACTCGCCTAAAACAAGTGAATAGCCTGCAAGCGTGAGAGCGGCTACATGAAGCATAAAATAGTGAGGTAATCATACTGTCTCGATGGACAGCAGGTCGGGTGGGACGCGTGGCAGCGGCGCCAGAGCCCACTTTCATCGCTGGTTGGCTTCTCTTGGAGTGGGTGATGCTTGGCGCCGTCATCATCCTGACGATCGAGTCTTTAGCGGCCCAGTACCGCGGGTAAATCGTCTCGATTGTATTTTTTGGATGACTTGCTTGTAGATCATTATTAATCGGCGGCTTCGTATGTTGAGCATACTCATGGTGGTGATCACCTTTTACACCTGGATACGACGCAAACAGCTCAAAGATCGAGATACTGGCGCTCCCCAAGCAGATTTCTTGATTATCCAGCTATCGTAGCTGCCATTGAGCTTGAGGCATCCCAGGGTTGTGCTACGATACGTACGGCTACATACTTTGGGCTGGTGTGGGAAGATTGGAAACGTAAAACTTGCAAAGCGTTGCGAAAAGCGGACTTGAAGCTTCGACACGAGCTAACTCGCGACCTTCGCAATGCTCGTGACCCTTTGTCTTCTCTGAGGCTGAACGTGACTCCGAACTCAGCTCAGAGGCCCCTATTATTTGCATCTTGAACGAGGGAAGGGTGTACTAAGCTTCCAACAACAGCAGTATAGTGAGATCAACACGACGCGGGTTTCTATACCCACGCGACCCGGATGGAGCGCTGCACACGGCAGTTCCTCAAGCAGCCACGATCGGACCTCTGCCATGTAAATGTCATGTTAGCCCTGCGATAAGAGGTAGGGTGGCTATGGATCATGTTAGAAGTCAATACACAAAGGTAGAGACAGAGGACACACAATTAAATGCAAAAGAGAGAGTGTTATTAGTTTCGTTATCTCCTGGCTAGCTATCAAATCCTTTCTGCAGAAGAAATCATAAAATGAAACACCCACAGTTGCTCGGCGCAAAGATGATATCAAAAGTGCTACTGGTACCACTTTCTTGGTACATCAACTTGAAGCTTGCCTTTCAACACTCCTCCTCGTCGACACTGTCCTGACAAAACACTTGATCCTTGCTCTGTCATCGTCGACTCCGATCGATTATTTTAAACCGATCACTTGACGCATCTCGACCAATCTCGGTGCAGCCAATGCCTTCGTTAGTATGTCCGCAGGCATACTCGAAGTTTCTCGATATTCAGGCTTTATGATTCCTCGCTTCGCGAAATCACCGACAAACTTGATGCGCACATCAATGTGTTTGGCCTTAGCCGAAGCTCTCTCACCGTCAAGTTGTTTCAAAGCCGCTTGGTTATCCACTCGCAGTGGTATAGGCTCTTCAAATCTCAAATCTAACTCTTGCAACAGTTCGCGAATGCCCAAAAGTTCTCGAGCCATAATGGATGCAGCTGTAAACTCAGCCTCCATGGTCGAAAGTGATACACCGCCTTGCTTCTTGCACATCCAGCTCACTGGCATGCCATCAATCGTAATTAAACCACCCGTGACAGATTTTCTGTCACCTTTGTCGGCAGCGAAATCCGCATCACTGTACCCAACCACTTGTAACAGCTCTGGTTCATCTTCTCTTCCAATCATAGAAAGTCGCAATGTCTTCGTGCCAGATAGGTACCTTGCAATTTTCTTGGCCAACTTATAATCTCCCATCGTGGGCTTATGAGTCCTTCTTGACGCTTTATGCACCGCGAAAGCGATATCTGGTCTGGTGCAACGCGAAATCCATAGTAAACTTCCCACAAGTGACTGGAAAACTTTCACCGTAACCACACCATCTCCTCCAAATACCGGTAACGGCACAGCTACCGATTCTTCATTATCGTTCCAGTCTTGAGTAATTGGAACACGCACGCTATGTCCCATTTCGAGACCATGCTCCTTCAGCATGTCCATAATTCCAACTTCTTGATCAAAAGTGTACCCATTTTCGTCATTGTATTGAATACGCATACCCAAAAACTTGCGAGCACATCCAAGATCCTTGACCGATAGTGAATTGAGCTCATCAAAAAAGAATTCACAGAACCCTGATCACTTCCTGTTACCAGAAGGTCATCCACGTAAACTCCAACAATCAATAGATGACCATGTGTCCATCTAAAGTAGACACACATGTCCGTGAGACTTTGTTTAAAACCAATATCAACCAATTTCTGGTGTAGCAATTTACTCCATAGTCTTCCTGCTTGTTTTAATCCATATAGTGCCTTCTTCAGCTCCAAAACAATCTCGTTGTTCTGTGAAACACCGATCTTCTTCTTTAAGTCCTCTGCAATCTGCATTCCCTGTGGTACGTGGATGTAGATATCGAGATTATCTTCCTTGTCTGCTTTAACGTAAGCATTTGGAACATCTCCATGCTTCGCAGGCACCTTCCACTTTCTTGCCAGTGCGAAAATCATCTTCACGCTGGACATATCAATCACAGCAGCAAACGTAACTCCATAGTTCACTCCAAAGACTTGTTCATTTCCACACGCGACCAATCTCGCCTTCAATCTCTCGATGCCACCTTCTGCGTCACGCTTCGTCTTAAAAACCCACTTCGAGTGAAGTGCTCGAATATCTTTTGGAGCCTTCACAATACTCCAAACTCCATTGTTCTCCAAGGCTTGCAATTCTTCAGAAATTGCCTTCATCCATCCTTCCTTGTGACTGCTACGCATAGCTTCACCAAAGTTTCTCGGGTCAGATGTTGTGACAACATTGACAACGTCAGTATCCATGGCTGAACTCTCAGTTCTTTGTCCCTGGCTTGAGCGTTTATTCTTGCTCGCCGATCTTGTCACAACCTTCTTCTTTCTTGTCCACGGAGTCCTTTTCTCCATATTCTGTGTCTGGTCCTTACGACTCGTCGCCTCCTCCAGATCTTGATATCTGGTATTACCTCCCTCCTGAACTTGATCTCGCGCGGAGTCATTATCTTCCAGACTAGTAGGATTCTGCAGATACAATTCTTGAACTTGCTTGTTCTGGGTCTTGTTCAGTGTCTCAATATTTTGAACATGCTGCGAGACAACAACCACTTTATCCTTCGGCAGGTATACACGATACCCTTTGGTTTCTTCACCAATGCCAATGATAATCCCTTTTGTCCTCTAGGAGCAAAATTCTTCTTCTTAGGATCTCTGTACACTGTACATGGTGATCCAAAAACGACAATTTCACCTAGCGACGGGGTCTGGTCCGTCAGCACCTTCATCGGTGACATTCGCTCAGCATTCGAATTTGTAGGGGCCCGGTTCAAAATATAAGCAGCATATTCAACCGCGTCACCCCAGAAATTGAGTGGCAATCCTGACGCAAATATCATGCAACGGGCCATATTCATGATGGTCCGATGCATGCGCTCAGCCTTTCCATTGCTGGCTTGGTTTCTTGCTTCACTTCGCTGTCTTGCAACGCCCGACTTCTTGCAGAATAAATCTACATTCTGGTACTCTCCTCCTGAGTCCGTGCGAAGAACGTGCACACGACAATTAAAATTTTTCTCGAAAAAAATCAGAAAATCTTTAAATTTCTTTGCTGCAGCGTCTTTAGTGCGAGCAAGAAATACACGACAATAATTGCTCTTATGATCAACGAAGTTGATCATATAGCGATTATTTAGCCGATCCTTTGGAGTCATCGGGCCCTTGATGTCCGAACAAATAACACCTCCAACCCTGTCAATAGGTGAGTGTTGCCCAGAGTCGTGCCTTTGCTGTTTGTTCTTGGTCTGTTTGCCTTGTGAGCAAGTGTAACAAAAGTCGCGACGCTTGTCCGTAAGCAAAAAATCACAATAAGGATCTGTAGCCAATTTTATTATCGTTTCGTAGTTTAAATGGCCAAAACGCTTGTGAAAGTTCATTAAACTGCCTTTTTGGACAGCGGAAGACACTTGGACACTTGCTTCTTCACCCAAGACCGCCATAATTACTCCAACCGGTTCAACATCGTTATCCATCACTCGACACGGCACCACAAGAACGTTACCAACCAATTGAACATCAAAAGCCACAGCTCCAGTAACTGTATTGGATATAACACGTTGATTTCCATTGTATCCAAGTGTGTAACCCTTTCGGTCCAAGATTCCATACGAAATTAAATTATGCTTCACACCCTCAGCAAAGTATACATCTGTAAGAGTCAGCACACGCTCAACTCCACAAGCCAAGACGTTAATTGTCACAGTGCCTCTTTTGCTTATAAGAAGCGGCTGTCCATCGGGTTGATGACAAACCCCTTCACACGACTCGACGTTGTGAAGCCACAACTCATCACTGACCAAGTGTCTACTGGATCCGCTATCCAAGATCCAGACATCGTCTTGTTGACTTGAGACTTCATTCACAGCAAGCGACAAATTTGTTCGAGGTCCTTGTGGTCGCTTGCGTTTCGGACACGCTCCCTGCAAATGTCCAACTTCGTGACAAAAGTGACATTTACGCGTTTCCTTGCGTTGTCGATCGGAAACAGAATTAACGACTTCTCTTGTGCTCACTTTTTCTTGCCCGAGAGTTCTTTCTCTCCCAGTGTGTAACTCATACGCTTGCGCAAAGTGAGCGAGCTGTTCTGCTTGTACCAGGTAGTCCGTTCTCGTGTGATCAACTTTTGCCAGTAAAATTGTTCGCATAGCCTCAGAGGCGTATTGCACAATATTGTCCAGAACCAAATAATCACCACCGTTTCCACAAACTTCGGAAATTGCCGCCAAATACATGTAATGTTCTGGCCAACTACGGTTCGGGTTCTTACGTTGCGTAAAAAGTTTCATCGCTTGGGCCGGTGTTATACTTGTCTTGAATGCTTCAAGCATTTTCTCCATTACGTACTGCAAAGTGGGTAATTGACTCCACCACATCGCAACTTGTCTGTTATAGTATCTCTCTGCAGTCCCAGAGAGATACAAACCAAGCAAATCCACTTTCACATCTTCAGGCCATTCAAATCCACAAGATGACTGCGCCAAAGAAATTTGTCGCTCGAATCTCCGACCCCACTCCAAGAATCCAGAACCAAGTCCTTCATACAGTTCGCTTCCATCAAAAGGCCGAATGCCGAGCTTCTTTTGCCTTGCATCAGGATATCGCACTTGAAATATATTTCCTTGTGCATGACCGTATCCATTTAAGTCGGGATGTTGCATGTACCCATGTCCTCCAGCTTGGGGCAACATATCAGGAATTCCAAGTCCTGGTGCAACTTGACCGCGAACGTCCTGGCTGGGTCCATTATATTCGGGCTGTCCAGCACCAAACGACATCTGCCCTTCAACCGGTCTCCTCGGAGTAAATACCGGCGCACCATTGGACCCTTCCAAGTTGTCCATGTGCATTCTTGTTCCACTTCCCAAAGCCGAAACAAACAAACTTGAATGTCTAGGCGGAGTCATAGGCGCGTCCCTATGTCTTCCACGCCCTTCCTCAGCTTTTATCAACCTTGTCTGTGACTCCTCAAGCCTATCCAGACGTCCGGTTATTCCTCTCATCAACACCAGGAGTTCTGACGCGTCGTCACTCCTGGTGACAGCATTGTCCACCGCATGGACAACACCTTGCTTGCTCTTCTCTTCATAATCTTCATGCTCACTGACCCTTTCGTGACCAGTGGCAGGGGCTGCTTCCGCATACGCGCCGTCGCGCGTGTCACCCCTGAGTGCCCCGTGCTTTGGGCTCATAACCTGTTAGAAGTCAATACACAAAGGTAGAGACAGAGGACACACAATTAAATGCAAAAGAGAGAGTGTTATTAGTTTCGTTATCTCCTGGCTAGCTATCAAATCCTTTCTGCAGAAGAAATCATAAAATGAAACACCCACAGTTGCTCGGCGCAAAGATGATATCAAAAGTGATACTGGTACCACTTTCTTGGTACATCAACTTGAAGCTTGCCTTTCAACAGATCATACCGATGTTGCAGCATAGCTAGTCGCCATTGGGGTGCTATAGTCGTGGATCAACGCTGCTTACTGGAACACCCGGTGATTGACCCGATATGTAACGGGGTGAACCGTTACATAACAATTTATAAGAAATTGTTAATAGAATATAACTGTAAGAGTTATATTCTCAGAATATTGTCATAAGGAAAAATTTTCGATAGCACTTACGAGTAGTACCTAATTGGTTGATATAGGCTATTATATCAACCAACGAAGACGCGCCACGACAGACGCACGCAATGAGTGGTGAGCAGATAGTTGATATACATATTTGTATTTAGACATAGTTAGATGAAGATAAATAGTGATTTATTGACAGACATTAACTATGCTAAATACAGTTCTACTTTTTACTTTAATCAAGTACTCGCTTCTCCTTACCGTCTTCCTCTGCACGTACGAGTGTACGTGAAGTTCCGAGGCACCGCCTTATTCTGTCATCAGAATAAGTAGCTTGTACTGTCACCAGTACAAGCTTCAGGGTGCCCCGTTACACCTGGTAGCACTTCGTAGTCCGTCCAAGGACCACGTTCACATCTTACATGAATATGTCAGATGATGAAGATGACCAAAGCTTTCACGCTACGCGTGACGGCTACTCCCATTTGAGCGATGTCGAATGGGATGCGGTCGAACGGATGGGTTCAACCATGGGCATCCATGCTGTTCGCTTCATGCTAGAGGCTCTCAATAGAGATGCCCAACATGCTACTATCGCCAAGCTCATTCAAAATGAACTTGACGCTGAACGCGAGAAAGTAGCCTTGCTTCACTAACAAGGTTCTCAACAAGCAGAGTTGTTGAGAGAACAGGGTACTTAAAAGTTTGAACTGTTGAGACAGCAGCAGGCTGCTACTGGTGGGTCGATGCATTCGCGTCGACCCGAGACCTTGAAGATTGACATCTCTAAGTATAGGGGAGTCGAAGAGGACTCCCTCTTGAGATGGTTCGTCGAATTAGACGATGTCATAAGGGCACGTCGCATCGACGACGGGTATATGCAAGTTGCATTTGCCCAGTCAAATCTGGCAGGACGTGCCAAGACTTGGGCATTGGGACTCAAGTTGCACGACCCATATGCGTTTGGGTCGTTGGAAGTCTTTAAGTCGCGGCTCAGACAAACGTTTGAACCGCCTAGAGCTGAGTTCAGAGCTCGAACTGAACTCTTGGAGCTCAAGCAGGGTAAGCGTGATGTGCACGCTTACGCGCAACATATACGACATCTCACGAGTTGTATAAGTTCCAACCCGGTTGATGAACACACGTTGGTTTCGGTGTTCATGCAGGGTCTTGCGGATGGTCCCGTCAAGAATCACCTGTTCCGACTTGAACTGGATTCACTAGAACAAGTCATTTCCATTGCGGAGCAGGAAGACTTCAGTCTGAGACAGGCTCGCGCCAGATCGACATCATATCGTCAACCGAGACGATATGACAGCGGAAGTCCAGAGCCGATGGAACTCTGTTATGTAGAGAGCGAGAAGGCTCGCTCTACAGACTACAAGAAGTTACAGAAATGAAACAGATGTCAAAAGACAGGACTACGCTTACGAGTGTAGTGCCCCTCGTCCAGTGTCTCGCAACACTGGGCGTAGTGACCGTCCACCCATGAGAAAGGGGCAGGGACGCGGGTCCGCTGTTGGTGCAAAGACGCAATAACGGGATGGACCGTCATAAAACGGACAGGATCAGTAGGTGCGGAGCACCCTACTGGTCCAGCAACGTCAAGAGAATTTGTGGGCCTCTTGATGAAGGTTGCTCCCAACACACAAACGTTGTGCGTTGCTGCTCTAGGTAATGAGATATCACTCATTACCTTGAAACTCGAAGTGACAAATAAGTTGTCCCTTCGAGCTCTAGTCGATTGTGGGGCGTCCTACAATTTTTGTGCAACGCCAATCGCTAGAAGATGGTCACTTTAAGTTCAGTGAATGTGACACAACTCCTACGAGGATGACGGTACGTCTTGCGACAGGCGCATCCGTAACCGTCATGAAGCGTATAGTGAAGATCCACGATACGCTAGAAGATACCCAATATGACGATGGCTTTATCGTATTGGATTTGGATGACAAATTTGATGTCATCCTTGGAATACCGTGGCTCAGAAGGTACGAACCACGGGTAAACTGGCAACATCGAACAGTAACGATGCCTGCCGCTTGTTCATCAGATGGCCATCTGGTGAACGTCTTGGAGCGTCCACAAGCGTGTGGATGTACTACGAGTGAGTGCGATGGCCTCACTTGAATACGGTCGTTAGTACGACTGCACGAAACCTTAGTGTAACAAACGGTTACACTTCGAAGAAATGTTCCGGCGGCTGTGAGGAAACACAGGCTGTGCCGAACGTCCACCACTCGAATATGTCGATTGGACCGGGACAAAGATGTATCCCTAGCGGGGAACAGCTAGAAGAGAAACAATCGATCGCTCAGGTTAAGCGAAACGATAATCCTAGATCGACTGGAGAGTCTTTCGTAGAGGATCTCGCTGTGGTTGCGCAACCCCAGCTAGAGGAAGTAAAGGGAATAAGTCCCGATATTACAAATACGGCGAAAATAAGTTCCCCGGGAAGCCGAAGGAATAAGTCCTTCGAAGCCGAAGGAATAAGTCCTTCGAGGCCTGAGGAAATAAGTCCCCAGGAAATGACAGAGACATTGAATGTCATAGTCAATAACGGATCAAGCGTAGGCGCTTCTACACTTGATCTATTGCGCCTCCGAAGTTGACTTCGGAGATCACTCAGTTGCCAACGCTCGAACATAAAAGGTTCTTGCGTGATCTGCGTAGTGGCAAAGTCAAGCAGATCTGCGTACTCGTCGCTGACGACGAGTGTGTAACCGACATAAGGTCAGCAACAGTGTTCACTGAGAACGAGAGAGTTCTCAGTAGTTCATCTATGGACGAGAGTGTCCTAGATGAAAAGACACGAATTGAGCGATATGACTCCCAATCATGGGAATCGCTCAAGAAAAATCCTCTCTATGAAGATTTGGTTGAATTCAAGGATGTATTCCCTGAAACTGTTCCGTGCGAATTACCGAAGGATAAAGGTATCCGACACGAGGTCGAGCTTAAACCAGGCTCGAAGTACTGTGTCATGAAGTAGTGGCCACTGCCTCGTGAACAAGTACTTGCGATCGACAAGTTCTTTGCCGATCGTTTAGCTGCGGGCCATGTGATGGAATCAACTTCCCCACATAGCTCTCCGGCCTTCTGTGTGCAAAAAGCAACAGGAGGGTGGCGGATTGTGCATGCATTTAACGAGTTAAATGCTGCAACGGTACCGGCTCAGACGCCGATACCAAGGAAGGACGTAATCATTGATGGTAGGTCAAAGAGTACCATCTTTTCGTCCATGTATTTGATGGATGGCTTCTATCAAATCCTTATGCGAGAACGGGATATACCCTATACCGCAGTTAGCACGCCTAGCGGCATGCTCTGGGAATGGCTAGTAATCGAGTTATTTTGATGACGCATTCATCCATAGTCGGGCTATGGATGGAAATTAGGACGTTGAGGTTCACAGATACCACGTCCGACAAGTTCTTACAATCATGCGAAAGCATCAATTGTATGCAAACCTCAAGAAGTGCATATTTGCAGCAAGCGAAATACCACTTCTTGGGTGCATCGTTGGTAAGAACGGTGTACGTCCTGATCCCGAAAAGATCAAGTCGATCACCGACTGGCCTGTACCGGTTGATGTCAAAGGTCTTCGAAAATTCCTTGGGCTAGCGGCGTATTTGCACAAGTATTCACGCAATTACGCCGAGATGACTGTACACCTCTCTCGTTTGTTGAAAAAGAACGAGAGGTGGTTTTGGAACGCTGAATGTCAGCGCTCCTTTGAGGGTATCAAGAAGATCTTGATACAATCCCCATTCCTAGCAATTGCCGATCAGGACAGGCCATTTCATGTGGTCTGTGATGCCAGCGATTTCGCAATCGGCTGTGCATTAATGCAGTACGATCTTGAAGGCGTTGAACGCGTCGTCTGCTATCAGTCGCGTCAGCTGCAACCATCTGAGCGGAAATATCCAGTGCATGACAAGGAACTCCTTGCCACGAAGTATGCACTCGCGAAGTTCAAAGTCTATCGATTAGGAGATAGACCCTTCATTGTTTACACATACCATGCGTCGCTACGCGCGGCAGTAAACAGCCCGCACCTTTCACAACGAATGGCGCGGTGGTTGTCATTCTTTGCAGAATACAACTTTACGGTCGAGTACAAACCAGGACGACTCAATGTCGTCGCTGATGCACTCTCACGTCGGCCCGACTTTGAACCAGTCGTGAAACCCAACAGTGAGACAGTCACTGTTGCGGTTATGACGTCCTCAGTACCATCTTCAACGTTGCATGATGATGTGAAGCGGGCGTATGCCCAAGATGGTGAGATTCTGAAGTTGTTGACACATCTTTCACGGCCATCTCGAGAATCGTTGGAACGATTGTCGTCTTCGTATCGGTCTGCATCAGATCGATACACTACTCGCAACGGTTAACTGTATTATACAGCCGTTTCTGGTGACACACCACGTGTTTTCATTCCGGATGATACTGATCTGCGTTTGCAGATCATGTTCGAGTATCACGATGCTCCTATAGGAGGACATCGTGGCCGGGAGAAAACATATCTCACGGTGAGTCGAGACTTTTACTGGCCCCGCCAGTATCAGTTTGTGCGCAAGTATGTTCGCGCATGCGAAGTCTGTCAACGAGTGAAGTCAAGTCCTTCACTGCGTGCACCTTTACAGCCTCCAACAGTTCCGGCAGATTGCTGGGAATCCATCTCAATGGATTTCGTCATCGGGTGACCCAAAGACGCACGCGGGAATACGGGTATTCTCGTATTTGTTGATAGATTCAGCAAAACGGTACACCTTGTGGCTGTACCAGAGTCAATCACGGCAAGTGGCTGTGCTTGTGTCTTTATTAACACCATCTTCCGATTTCATGGGTTGCCCCGTGAACTCGTATCAGACAGAGATCCACGATTCACTGCTGATTTCTGGCGTTCCGTGTTCAAATCACTCGGAACGCGCTTGAAGATGTCTACATCTGATCATCCAGAGTCAGATGGTCAGACGGAACGTGCCAATCGTGTCCTCGAAGAGATACTTCGAGGATACGTACACTCCTTTAAGAGTTGGAGTGAGTTTTTGCCAATGGTAGAGTTTGCCATTAACAACTCGGTGCATGCGTCCACGACACATACACAGTTTTACGTGAATGGCTTACGCCATCCGCGTGTACCCACCTTACTCGAGTGTAACTCTGGTTTAAGGGGGGGAGAGACTCGCGCGAGCAAAAACCGATTTGGTTCACGCTCATCACGCTCTGACGAAGAGGTCATTGCGTTTGATGCCGATATCGATAACATCGATATCGAAGAAGATGATTCCAGTGAGAGTGCGGAAGCCCTCACTGAAGAAAAGGTTGATGTTGCTGCAGTGCACTCACATCACACTGAATCTCACGAGTCATCAGATGAGTTCATACTGGCTCGTGAAACGGTAGTCCGTTTTGTGCAAGACTCCATCGCCGAAGCGGTGGATAAGCAAAAGCAAAACGCTGACAAGAATGGAAGGGCAAACACTCTTTTATTCAACAAAGGTGACTTAGTCCTACTGTCTACGGTTATCCTACCAAAGCACGTAGTGACAAACTTGGGTAGTAGCAAATTTCTACCCAAGTACATCGGTCCATTTCGTGTATTGCACCGCCTAGGCAACGCACACACGATCGAGTTGCCACGTAAGATGCGAACGCATCCCACGTTTTACGTTGGTCGGCTCAAGCCGTACCATCAGTACGCTGCTTCTTCCGATGAAGAACGCCCTTGCGCTCAAGCATCTCGCAGAGAGCCTTGTGCTCCCGATGGTGGGCATCAACAAGGGTCTGAAGAGCAGCTATCTCATCCCGAGACCGATCAACAATCCCACGAGCTACCCTTAGCTCGTCACGCAGAGATGTCAGAGCTCTCTCGTTCTAAAGCTGAGCAAAGGCAAACTCAGCTCGATGCTTCAAGACAGCGTCCGCCAGTTGGAGACGCCTGTCCCGCTCATGTTCGAGATCGTCGCGTAACCCTTGCGTTACGCGATCAATGAAGCTCTCGGGAACACACGGATACCCATGATCGTGTGGAGAGCGTCTTTCCTCCTCCTCCACCTCCATTAGAGGACTCTCGCGGTGGCCAGCGCTATCTAGTTGAGCAGCTGTTGAACCACCGCGACGTGAACGGACGTCGGACGAGTTATCTCGTCCGGTGGCGCGGCTATCCCCCGTCCTGGGATTCTTGGGAGCCCCGCTCCCAACTGATGATCGACGTACTGGGTCTGGTTGAGCAGTACGACGCGGCACATCCTGTGCCGCAGAAGGACCGCCGGAGAAAGTCTTCCCGGCACGGTCGTAAAGGGATTTGAGGTTGTCAATCCCTTCGTACATCTCAGTATAGACACGTACGCGCCACCACGGGCTGGTAAGGAGGTAAGCCTCCTTAGGTGCTCGTGCAGAGTTGTTCACACAACATGGGCACGAGTCTCATCACGAGAGGCAGGGCAATCCTTTCTCCCTAGACAGACGATGCAGCTTGTAGCGTGCACCTGTCGGGGTTCTCTTCTCAAACTTATCACGAGCTTTGATAAGTTTGTCGTTCCAAGCGTCACGACCTACATCCTCGAGGTTATGGATGTAGGCGTTCCACGCCTGAAGTAGTGAGGGACCATCACGTTTGTGATTCCTACTGTATCATCGATGTCTAAAGAAAGCATCGATGAAGAATTCATGTTCAGCGCGGTAGTTTTTCGCACTGGGGTCAAGGTGATGGATCCTTGACGAATCGAACAATCGTGTTCGATAACGATCACTCGTCGTCGCCGACAAGTGATCCATGACGGATTTTGGAGGCATCCATGCCTTCTTTTCGGGAGCGAGACGCAACACACTGGTCCCGCTCTTCCTGCGACGTGCCGACAGAAGGACTGGCACCTCGTTGCGAAGCGGTGTCCATAGGAGAACCGACACCACTATTAGCGCCCGAGTCTCGCGACCTCGAGCGCCTTCGCTTCGGCGATGGTTCATCTGATTCATCAGATGAACCAAAGATGCTACGACGCATAGCATCATCCATGCCACGCTTGGCAGGAGGCTTGGATTCAACCGCCTTCGATACGGATCCGTCTTCCGTATCAGGAGAGTATGAGACACCGAGCTCATACTCTGTGAAGACATGAGTGTCTTCATGACCAGCGCCTGCATCACCAAGTGACACAGGCTGGGTCGCTTCAGCAACTGATGAGACATCACTTGCTGCGATTTCTGCTTCGGCGTCCGCACAGAGACGTGCGGACGCGCTCTCGGCGGCCTTGCTCGCGCATCGCATGGGCTTGTTAACCACGCGATGAATTGTTGGAAAGTGGACTCGGACCAACAAGTGCAAACCCTGTCCCAAATGATTTGGGACGAGTAATCATTTAGTCAATCAGTCACTAAAGTGACTGATGGTTAAGGGGGGGTGATGTAACGGGGTGAATCGTTACATAACAATTTATAAGAAATTGTTAATAGAATATAACTATAAGAGTTATATTCTCAGAATATTGTCATAAGGACAAATATTCTGTAGCACTTACGAGTAGTACCTAATTGGTTGATATAGGCTATTATATCAACCAACGAAGACGCGCCACGACAGACGCACGCAATGAGTGGTGAGCAGATAGTTGATATAAACATTTGTATTTAGGCATAGTTAGATGAGGATAAATAATGATTTATTAACAGACATTAACTATGCTAAATACAGTTCTTGTAACGGGGCACCCTGAAGCTTGTACTGGTGACAGTACAAGCTACTTATTCTGATGACAGAATAAGGCGGTGCCTCGTAACTTCACGTACACTCGTACGTGCAGAGGAAGACGGTAAGAAGAAGCGAGTACTTGGTTAAAGTAAAAAGTAGAACTGTATTTATAATAGTTAATGTCTGCAATAAATCACTATTTATCTTCATCTAACTATGTCTAAATACAAATGTGTAAATCAGTTATCTGCTCACCACTCATTGCGTGCGTCTGTCGTGGCGCGTCTTCGTTGGTTGATATAATAGCCTATATCAACCAATTAGGAACTACTTGTAAGTGCTATCGAAAATTTGTCCTTATGACAATATTCTGAGAATATAACTCTTATAGTTATATTCTATTAACAATTTCTTATAAATTGTTATGTAACGATTCACCCCGTTACATCACCCCCCCCTTAACCATCAGTCACTTTAGTGACTGATTGACTAAATGGATACTCGTCCCAAATCACTGGGACAGGGTTTGCACTTGTTGGTCCGAGTCCACTTTCCAACATTTCATCGCATGGTCAACAAGCCCAGGCGATGCGCGAGCAAGGCCGCCGAGAGCGCGTCCGCACGTCTCTGTGCAGCCGCCGAAGCAGAAACAACAGCAACTGATGTCTCATCGGTTGCTGAAGCGACTCAGCCTGTGTCACTTGGTGATGCAGGCGCTGGTCATGAAGACACTCATGTCTTCACAGAGTATGAGCTCGGTGTCTCATACTCTCCTGATACGGAAGACGGATCCGTATCGACGGCGATTGAATCCAAGCCGCCTGCCAAGAGTGGCATGGATGATGCTATGCGTCGTAGCATCTTTGGTTCATCTGATGAATCAGATGAACCATCGCCGAAGCGAAGGCGCTCGAGGTCGCGAGACTCGGGCGCTAACAGTGGTGTCGGTTCTCCTATTGACACCACTTCACAGCGAGGTGTCAGTACTTCTGTAGGCACGTCGCAGGAAGAGCGGGACCGCAATGTCTTGCGTCTCGCTCCAGAAAAGAAGGCATGGATGCCTCCAAAATCCGTCATGGATCACTTGTCGGCGACGACGAGTGATCGTTATCGAACACGATTGTTCGATTCGTCAAGGATCCATCACCTTGACCCCAGTGCGAAAAACTACCGCGCTGAACATGAATTCTTCATCGATGCTTTCTTTAGACATCGATGGTACAGTGGGAATCACAAACGTGATGGTCCCTCACTACTTCAGGCGTGGAACGCCTACATCCATAACCTCGAGGATGTAGGTCGTGACGCTTGGAACGACAAACTTATCAAAGCTCGTGATAAGTTTGAGAAGAGAACCCCGACAGGTGCACGCTACAAGCTGCATCGTCTGTCTAGGGAGAAAGGATTGCCCTGCCTCTCGTGATGAGACTCGTGCCCATGTTGTGTGAACAACTCTGCACGAGCACCTAAGGAGGCTTACCTCCTTACCAGCCCGTGGTGGCGCGTACGTGTCTATACTGAGATGTACGAAGGGATTGACAACCTCAAATCCCTTTACGACCGTGCCGGGAAGACTTTCTCCGGCGGTCCTTCTGCGGCACAGGATGTGCCGCGTCGTACTGCTCAACCAGACCCAGTACGTCGATCATCAGTTGGGAGCGGGGCTCCCAAGAATCCCAGGACGGGGGATAGCCGCGCCACCGGACGAGATAACTCGTCCGACGTCCGTTCACGTCGCGGTGGTTCAACAGCTGCTCAACTAGATAGCGCTGGCCACCGCGAGAGTCCTCTAATGGAGGTGGAGGAGGAGGAAAGACGCTCTCCACACGATCATGTGGATCGGTGTGTTCCCGAGAGCTTTTTGATCGCGTAACGCAAGGGTTACGCGACGATCTCGAACATGAGCGGAATAGGCGTCTCCAAATGGCGGACACTGCCTCGAAGCATCGAGCTGAGTTTGCCTTTGCTCAGCTTGAGAACGAGAGATCTCTGACATCTCTGCGTGACGAGCTAAGGGTAGCTCGTGGGATTGTTGATCGGTCTCGGGATGAGATAGCTGCTCTTCAGACCCTTGTTGATGCCCACCATCGGGAGCACAAGGCTCTCTGCGAGATGCTTGAGCGCAAGGGCGTTCTTCATCGGAAGAAGCAGCGTACTGATGGTACGGCTTGAGCCGACCAACGTAAAACGTGGGATGCGTTCGCATCTTACGTGGCAACTCGATCGTGTGTGCATTGCCTAGGCGGTGCAATACACGAAATGGGCCGATGTACTTGGGTAGTAGTTTACTACCCAAGTTAGTCACTACGTGCTTTGGTAGGATAACCGTAGACAGTAGGACTAAGTCACCTTTGTTGAATAAAAGAGTGTTTGCCCTTCCATTCTTGTCAGCGTTTTGCTTTTGCTTATCCACCGCTTCGGCGATGGAGTCTTGCACAAAACGGACTACCGTTTCACGAGCCAGTATGAACTCATCTGATGACTCGTGAGATTCAGTGTGATGTGAGTGCACTGCAGCAACATCAACCTTTTCTTCAGTGAGGGCTTCCGCACTCTCACTGGAATCATCTTCTTCGATATCGATGTTATCGATATCGGCATCAAACGCAATGACCTCTTCGTCAGAGCGTGATGAGCGTGAACCAAATCGGTTTTTGCTCGCGCGAGTCTCTCCCCCCCTTAAACCAGAGTTACACTCGAGTAAGGTGGGTACACGCGGATGGCGTAAGCCATTCACGTAAAACTGTGTATGTGTCGTGGACGCATGCACCGAGTTGTTAATGGCAAACTCTACCATTGGCAAAAACTCACTCCAACTCTTAAAGGAGTGTACGTATCCTCGAAGTATCTCTTCAAAGACACGATTGGCACGTTCCGTCTGACCATCTGACTCTGGATGATCAGATGTTGACATCTTCAAGCGCGTTCCGAGTGATTTGAACACGGAACGCCAGAAATCAGCAGTGAATCGTGGATCTCTGTCTGATACGAGTTCACGGGGCAACCCATGAAGTCGGAAGATGGTGTCAATAAAGACACAAGCACATTCACTTGCCGTGATTGTTTCTGGTACAGCCACAAGGTGTACCATTTTGCTGAATCTATCAACAAATACGAGAATACCCGTATTCCCGCGTGCGTCTTTGGGTAACCCGAAGACGAAATCCATTGAGATGGATTCCCAGCAATCTGCCGGAACTGTTGGAGGCTGTAAAGGTGCACACAGTGAAGGACTTGACTTCACTCGTTGACAGACTTCGCATGCGCGAACATACTTGCGCACAAACTGATACTGGCGGGGCCAGTAAAAGTCTCGACTCACCGTGAGATATGTTTTCTCCCGGCCACGATGTCCTCCTATAGGAGCATCGTGATACTCGAACATGATCCGCAAACGCAGATCAGTATCATCTGGAATGACAACACGTGGTGTGTCACCAGAAACGGCTGTATAATATAGTAAACCGTTACGAGTAGTGTATCGATCTGATGCAGATCGATACGCAGGCGACAATCGTTTCAACGATTCTCGGGATGGTTGGGAGAGATGTGTCAACAACTTCACAATCTCACCATCTTGGGCGTATGCCCGCCTCACATCATCATACAACGTTGTAGATGGTACTGAGGACGTCATAACCGCAACAGTGACTGTCTCACTGTTGGGTTTCACGACTGGTTCAAAGTCGGGACGACGTGAGAGTGCATCAGCGACGACATTAAGTCTTCCTGGTTTGTACTCGACCGTAAAGTTGTATCCCGCAAAGAATGACAACCACCGCGCCATTCGTTGTGAAAGGTGCGGGCTGTTCACTGCCGTGCGTAATGACGCATGGTCAGTGTAAACAACGAAGGGTCTATCTCCTAATAGATAGACTCTGAACTTCGCGAGTGCATACTTCATGGCAAGGAGTTCCTTGTCATGCACTGGATAGTTCCGCTCAGCTGGTTGCAGCTGACGCGACTGATAGCAGACGACGCGTTCAACGCCTTCAAGATCGTACTGCATTAATGCACAGCCGATTGCGAAATCGCTGGCATCACAGACCACATGAAATGGCCTGTCCTGATCGGCTATTGCTAGGACTGGGGGTTGTATCAAGCTCTGCTTGATACCCTCAAAGGAGCGCTGACATTCAGCGTTCCATAACCACCTCTCGTTCTTTTTCAACAAACGAGAGAGGTGCACAGTCATCTCGGCGTAATTGCGTGAATACTTATGCAAATACGCCGCTAGCCCAAGGAATTTTCGAAGACCTTTGACATCAACCGGCACAGGCTAGTCGGTGATCGCCTTGATCTTTTCGGGATCAGGACGTACACCGTTCTTACCAACGATGCACCCAAGAAGTGGTATTTCGCTTGCTGCAAATATACACTTCTTGAGGTTAGCATACAATTGATGCTTTCGCATGATTGTAAGAACTTGTCGGACGTGGTACCTGTGAACCTCAACGTCCGACTTTCCATCCATAGCCCGACTATGGATGAATGCGTCATCGAAATAACTCGATTACTAGCCATTCCCAGAGCATGCCGCTAGGCGTGCTAACTGCGGTATAGGGTATATCCCGTTCTCGCATAAGGATTTGATAGAAGCCATCCATCAAATACATGGACGAAAAGATGGTACTCTTTGACATACCATCAATGATTACGTCCTTCCTTGGTATCGGCGTCTGAGCCGGTACCGTTGCAGCGTTCAATTTGTTGAACGCGTGCACTATCCGCCACCCTCCTGTTGCTTTTCGCACACAGAAGGTCGGAGAGCTATGTGGGGAAGTTGATTCCATCACATGGCCCGCAGCTAAACGATCGGCAAAGAACTTGTCGATCGCAAGTACTTGTTCACGAGGCAGTGGCCACTGCTTCATGACACAGTACTTCGAGCCTGGTTTAAGCTCGACCTCGTGTCAAGTACCTTTATCCTTCGGTAATTTGCACGGAACTGTTTCAGGGAATACATCCTCGAATTCAACCAAATCGTCATAGAAAGGATTTGTCTTGAGCGATTCCCACGATTGGGAGTCATATCGCTCAATTCGTGTCTTTTCATCTAGGACACTCTCGTCCATAGATGAACTACTGAGAACTCTCTCGTTCTCAGTAAACACAGTTGCTGACCTTATGTCGGCTACACACTCGTCGTCAGCAACGAGTACGCAGATCTGCTTGACTTTGCCACTACGCAGATCACGCAAGAACCTTTTATGTTCGAGCGTTGGCAACTGAGTGATCTCCGAAGTTAACTTCGGAGGCGCAATCAGATCAAGTGTATAAGCGCCTACACTTGATCCGTTATTGACTATGACATTCAATGTCTCTGTCATTTCCTGGGGGCTTATTCCCTCAGGCTTCGAAGGACTTATTCCTTCGGCTTCCCGGGGACTTATTCCGCCGTATTTGTAATCTTGTGACTTATTCCCTTTACTTCCTCTCGCTGGGGTTGCGCAACCACAGCGAGATCCTCTACGAAAGACTCTCCAGTCGATCTAGGATTATCGTTTCGCTTAACCTGAGCGATCGATTGTTTCTCTTCTAGATGTTCCCCGCTAGGGATACATCTTTGTCCCGGTCCACTCGACTTATTCGAGTGGTGGACCTTCGGCGCAGCCTGTGTTTCCTCACAGCCGCCGGAACTTTGCTCCGAAGTGTAACCGTTTGTTACACTAAGGTTTCGTGCAGTCGTACTAACGACCGTACCACAAGTGAGGCCATCGCACTCACTCGTAGTACATCCACACGCTTGTGGACGCTCCAAGACGTTCACCAGATGGCCATCTGATGAACAAGCGGCAGGCATCGTTACTGTTCGATGTTGCCAGTTTACCCGTGGTTCGTACCTTCTGAGCCACGGTATTCCAAGGATGACATCAAATTTGTCATCCAAATCCAATACGATAAAGCCATCGTCATATTGGGTATCTTCTAGCGTATAGTGAATCTTCACTATACGCTTCATGACGGTTACGGATGCGCCTGTCGCAAGACGTACCGTCATCCTCGTAGGAGCTGTGTCACATTCACTGAACTTAAAGTGACCATCTTCTAGCGATTGGCGTTGCACAAAAATTGTAGGACGCCCCACAATCGACTAGAGCTCGAAGGGACAACTTATTCGTCACTTCGAGTTTCAAGGTAATGAGTGAGTCCTCATTACCTAGAGCAGCAACGTACAACGTTTGTGCGTTGGGAGCAACCTTCATCAAGAGGCCTACAAATTCTCTTGACGTTGCTGGACCAGTAGGGTGCTCCGCACCTACTGATCCTGACCGTTTTTTGACGGTCCATCCCGTTGTTGCGTCTTTGCACCAACAGCGGACCCGCGTCCCTGCCCCTTTCTCATGGGTGGACGGTCACTACGACCAGTGTCGCGAGACACTGGACGAGGGGCACTACACTCGTAAGCGTAGTGTCCTGTCTTTTGACATCTGTTGCATCTCTGCAACTTCTTGTAGCCTGTAGAGCGAGCCTTCTCGCTCTCTACATAACAGAGTTCCATCGGCTCTGGACCTCCGTTGTCATATCGTCTCGGTTGACGATATGATGTCGAGCTGGCGCGAGCCTGTCTCAGACTGAAGTCTTCCTGCTCCGCAATGGAAATGGCTTGTTCTAGTGAATCCAGTTCAAGCCGGAACAGGTGAGTCTTGACGGGACCATCCGCAAGACCCTGCATGAACACCGAAACCAACGTGTGTTCATCCACCGGATTGGAACTTATACAACTCGTGAGATGTCGTATATGTTGCGCGTAAGCGTGCACATCACGCTTACCCTGCTTGAGCTTCAAGAGTTCGGTTCGAGCCCTGAACTCAGCTCTAGGCGGTTCAAACGTTTGTCTGAGCCGCGACTTGAAGACTTCCAACGACCCAAACGCATATGGGTCGTGCAACTTGAGCCCCAGTGCCCAAGTCTTGGCACGTCCTGCCAGATTTGACTGGGCAAATGCAACTTGCATATACCCGTCGTCGATGCGACGTGCCCTTATGACATCGTCTAATTCGACGAACCATCTCAAGAGGGAGTCTTCTTCGACCCCCCTATACTTTGAGATGTCAATCTTCAAAGTCTCGGGTCGACGCGAGTGCATCGACCCACCAGCAGCAGCCTGCTGCTGTCTCAACAGTTCAAACTGTTGAGCACCCTGTTCTCTCAACAACTCTGCTTGTTGAGAACCTTGTTGGTGAAGCAAGGCTGCTTTCTCGCGTTCAGCGTCAAGTTCATTTTGAATGAACTTGGCGATAGTAGCATGTTGGGCATCTCTATTGAGAGCCTCTAGCATGACGCTAACAGCATGGATGCCCATGGTTGAACCCATTCGTTCAACCGCATCCCATTCGACATCGCTCAAATGGGAGTAGCCGTCACGCGTAGCGTGAAAGCTTTGGTCATCTTCATCATCCAACATATTCATGTTGGATGTGAACGCGGTCCTTGGACGGACTACGAAGTGCTACCAGGTGTAACGGGGCACCCTGAAGCTTGTACTGGTGACAGTACAAGCTACTTATTCTGATGACAGAATAAGGCGGTGCCTCGGAACTTCACGTACACTGGTACGTGCAGAGGAAGACGGTAAGGAGAAGCGAGTACTTGGTTAAAGTAAAAAGTAGAACTGTATTTATAATAGTTAATGTCTGCAATAAATCACTATTTATCTTCATCTAACTATGTCTAAATACAAATGTGTAAATCAGTTATCTGCTCACCACTCATTGCGTGCGTCTGTCGTGGCGCGTCTTCGTTGGTTGATATAATAGCCTATATCAACCAATTAGGAACTACTTGTAAGTGCTACAGAATATTTGTCCTTATGACAATATTCTGAGAATATAACTCTTATAGTTATATTCTATTAACAATTTCTTATAAATTGTTATGTAACGATTCACCCCGTTACAGTTCTACTTTTTACTTTAACCAAGTACTCGCTTCTCCTTACCGTCTTCCTCTGCACGTACGAGTGTACGTGAAGTTCCGAGGCACCGCCTTATTCTGTCATCAGAATAAGTAGCTTGTACTGTCACCAGTACAAGCTTTAGGGTGCCCCGTTACAACTAGCGTCAATCGAGACGTTTTTGGGCATCTGCAAGTTGTCAGTGCAAGTAGTCAGCGAGCAATTTGGTTGGCAGCCAATCGTTCAGATGACTGGTTCAGGGCAACAGGTAGCCAGCGACAGATAAGGAAGGAAGAAGCGAAGGCAATCAAGACAGTATTTTATCATCCACTTCTTCATCACGTGCTACCAGTTTAATACCCCACTCTTCCGCTTATACAAAGCGCTGTCTTCAGATTTCTGGGTTGCGATGGCCAAAAATCTTATTTCAATATTGAATCAGCAGCGTATCAGGTATTCCGTATTCGGATTTCCTTAGTGCCCGTACAACGGGGTCGGTGCGCCTATCGGGTATTCCGTATTCGGTATTCTGTAGTCCTTAGGTAACATAAAATAATTTTCGAAAATTGTATAGATCAAATGATTTTGCACGCATGCATGCAGCTTATTTTCGACCTGGGGTCGGTAGGGATGTAATTCCATTTCATATCAGAGGTTATTAATAGCAGAGGATTTCATTTATAAGAGGGAAGACTGTAGACGAAATGAGTATGTCAAAAAAAATGACAATGCCAACTTTGACGTTACATTCAAGGAAAGAAGAGAACGATCACCGAAATGGGTACATGTGTGTATCCATTTGTGTGCCCCTACGTAAACAAATCAACACTGACCATTGATGGCCATAAAGCGCGTGCCACTTCGTCTAGGCTCTCTACGGACGACACTAAAGCCTTCCAGCACCGATGTCTCCTCGTCGTTAGTCTCGGAGAGTCCTTCGCTGACTAACGCATCGCTTTCTCGGATCTGTCACGTGTGTACGACGCGGGAAGCGAAATATACGTGTCCGCGTTGCAACGCGTCGTACTGTTGTGTGGACTGCTACCGCTCGCATGGCACGAGCTGTACCGAGCCATTCTTTGAGATTCATGTACGCAATGAGATGCAGCTAACGGTGAATGAAAGGAACGGTGAGAACGAGAAAAAACAGCAGCAGAAGAGCGTCCAGGAGCTACTGGAGCGTGTTCGAGAGTTTCAAGGAGATCAGCAGCAGCTCCTAACATGTACCGATTATGACGATGAAGAAGCGTTGATCGAACGAATGCAGGAGCTGGCAGTACTTAATAAAGCGGGAGAGCTGACACTGGAGAGTTTGACGCCGGAGGAGAGGAAGGTGTTTTTGGGAGAAGTGACGAATGGACGACTAGGAAAGCTTGTGGAACTTTGGTCGCCGTGGTGGTTGCTCTCTGAACACAAATACCGCAGTGAGACGCTGGCTAGACGACGAGAGTTGATAATGGAGGAGTTGGGTGGTCACGATAACAAAGAAGAGGAAGCTACAACGGTGAGAGCTGAAGTTTTGTATCCCGTGGGCCTGTTTACGAATGTTGAGGCGCAGAAGATGCCAAAGTGTATGAACGCATTACTGCCGGATGGAAGAAAGCCATCGCCGTGTCTGCACTGGCACTTGGTTGAACTGCTCTTTGGGTACGCACTGGTGCTTCGTGCTTACAACGGCGATTACGAGCAAGATGTGGCAGAAGCGGCGCTGATGCTGCTGGACTTGTGCCAGGTGCTTAGTGCGGATGCTCGCTACGGGTCTGTCGAGCACGTCTGCCTGGCATGTCTAGAAAAGCTGTGTAACGGCGGCCCTGCTGCAAATAAGTTGGCTATCCAGGATACGCAGCAGATCTTACGTTCTAACGTGTTTCTGCTCGACGCCCTCAGCGACATGCGTCTACTGTTGAAGAAGTACAAACAAAAAGAGCTCGAGCATAGCGCTGAGTGCGACAAACAAGCCAGAAAGGAGCGGAAGACAGCGACGAAAAGGCTTGCAATCGTACAGAAGAAATTGCAGTTCTATCAGTCGTGGGCGTATCTGACATCGATCGACGAGTTCCAAGAGCTCGCGAAGGAGATCCAAGCTTACACGAGAGACAAAGTACAGCTCAATTAGATTACCATAAACTTCGTGCCTGGCTCTTTCATCTTCATGTGGTTAGTCTTGCTTTGTGCCCTATGTATTTTGCACCATACATTGCACGCACAGAACAAGCTGGACAAGCTTGAATTCTTCGTTCGACTTCACGACCTTGCTCGCGTTGGTTCAGCAGTCATTCCCTTGCGCACTGCATCGTACTATTTCCCGTCGTTCTGCTGCTGTAATGACAGCATCACACGTTAGCGGTGTGTGTTCTCTGAGCTGCGCATTGCACTGGATCTGGGCTTCAGCAACATGGCTCGTTAGGCTGAAGAGGCGGTGGAGGGAGACGTCGGTTGCAACGCTCTGAGCGCCGTCGCCCATTTGTTAAATTCCCGCGTCGATGTCGCAGTTAGGATGAGCTTCTTGCCAGCTTGGCTGAACTCAGGTGTGGCGATGATGAATGTGAGACTGCGTGGGTCCGTGATATCGATCTTGGCGTCGGCAAGCGAGATTGTGCTGCTCTTGGCACCCACCTGGTGGATCATGCTCTCCTTCTTGTAGCCCGTGAGGTGATTACCTCGCAGCACGAAATACCGCTTCTTCGAACCAAGAAACCGCCTGCTGCTCGCTACTTTGAGAATGCCCTGCGTGCACGTGAACGGCAGAATAGCGCGCACCCAGATGACGGGCCCAATGAAGTTGTCGATGAGCACGTGGTCCGTCTTGCTCGTGGAAATCGTGAGCTCTTGATGCTTGGAGCGCGAGCTCACGGTCACAATATGAGAGCACATGATCTCGTCTTCTAATAAGTTAGTGTCTTTATTGACAAAGAGAAGTCGTTCATGGTCAGTCAGCAGCAGATGGAAGCGTTTCTTGCGCTTAAGCGACACGGGTCCAGCCAGTAAAATGCTCTCCCTCGTCTTCAGGAGGCTATCCCAGAGACGCATGAACGGCGACCGCACAATGGCCACAATTGCGTTGTTATTCTTCCGCTTTACTGCAGTACACACGTCTGGTCGCATGGTAAGCACCATGTCCTTGAGCATCTCCACCTCCTTTTGGTTCAACATCCCGTCGTTGCCCAATCCTTCGCACACCTCAAGCATTTCCTCCACCAACATATTCTCTCCGTCCACTCCACTCAATGCAGAACAGCCCGATCCACGCCGCGCTCCAAAACTGTCCATGCTACTGGGGCGCGGCGACGGCGCAACCGTTGATGCAAACGAGAAGCGATTGCTCATGACTCCAGTCGATCTTCCAGGCGTAGGCGGCATGACCTTTGAACGCGCGAAAACCACGACCATTGGACGCGTCCCGCGACTCAGCAGACTTATCGCGCGGTTGTACTCGAGCCCATTGATCACCTCTCCATCTACTGCATGAATAATGTCAAAAATCCGCACACCATGTGCCTCGGCATAGCCAACAATATTTGGATGTGCCATGGGCAAGTCCTTCACGATAACGTTCACATCGTCTGTAGTGATAGTCATATTGAGACTAGGGCCGCGAAACTCCACAGCGAAAAGTCCTTCGCGTCGAAACGGACGGAAAAACTGAATACGGAGCGGCCGCGTCTGCGTCTGCAGCATCTGCACGACGTTGTCATAACTGCGACCGACAGTGCGCGCGCCATTGACCTTGTAGATGACGTCGTTGGACTGAATGAGGCCGGACGCCTCTGCCTCGCCAAGGTTTCCATCGGGTTTGCGCTTCAAGTGGTTGACAATGACGCTCTCATTGTGCTCGCGGATAGTCATGCCCAAAGATCGATCTTGGAAGACCACTTCAAACACCTCGGTCGTCTTCATAGGCGCGAGGGCCTCCGTCTTGGGCGACAAACACAGACACAGAGAGTCCTTGATGTTGCACAGCACTTCCTTCGTAATGTGCACGAGACTCGAGTTCGCCGTGTCAATGAGGTCCACCCACGCTTCGTCCGACACGCCAAACTGCGCACGGAGCTGCGACTCCACGAGGCTCTCAAACACTTGGTCCGGGACGTTCGGGTCCCACGAAATAGAGCGCACCGAGCCGTCGTCCAGGTCGATCACGCGGATGCTGCAGGAGCTCAGCTGGCTCATGAGCTCCATGTTTTGGGGATTCGCTGATTCGGGTGTGATTAGATTGTGGATAATCGGTGAGGGGTGCGTGGGTGGGTGGGTCTTGGCGGGGGCCCAGCAAAAGAGAGTGTGGGAGTGCGAAGTCCGGTTTGCTCAAGCAACGAAACAGCCGCCCAGCAGCAGGTCGTTCGTGATTTGGTAAAAACAAGCGCCCACCGCGCGCCCGTCACTGACACGGAATATCCGATCGCAAAAAAGCACGACGGAAAAACGATCCTCTCTCATGGAATCGTTGAGGCACGAAAACCGCACTTTGCGTACTTAACGACCTTTCAAGAGAACTCGCTCTCTCCGATCATTCGACGCACGCATGCAACATAGGTCCTTGTGTACGCCACAAAACCATTTGTTTGTTCGTTTGGATGCGTGTATTGTATGCGTGAGTCCTGCGTGACGCCTCTGCAATGCGACCCCAGCTTTTTTGCCACATGTGGCCCTTCATTGGCCAAAACGTGTATCCGTTAAAATCCAACCCAATATGTCGTCGAGTTGTAGACGTCGTAGTGCCGCATTCCGAGCTCATGACTTAATTTTTGCTCCCAGACGCTGAACGTCTTGGAGAAAGAGTCGCGCGAGGGGATTGAGTTGACTGGCGCTCTTGCAAAACCTGAAATAGCACTGAGAAATGTAAGAACACACGCTGTTTGAAACAGTTGCAACGTCGAGGCAGCGTTGCGACGGAAGAGGTCACACATGTGCTGCATCAGCGCGACCTTGTACCCTGTTGCTAGAAATGAACAGTCCACTCGTGTAGACTTGTGGTCCATTGTATTCTATGAGCGGCAACTAAGACACGATATTACGTGTACCGATACGCTGTCACCTTGGTACGATACGATACCGTTTTAGATGAACAGATGTCGGTGTGCTCAAGGTGACGGACCGACAGTCTGTCCACCACCGTTGTGACGCTGTCTTTTGTCATGATGCCAGAAAACAAGAGCACTAATTGATGTCTGCCCGTAGACAATGCTTGTCCGGGTGCACATCCTGGATCGAAATTTGAGGTGCACCATGCGACTACTACTTGCCTTCATGAGACTGTGTCATTGCCAAGTCTGTGAGGCAAATCCTTCGCCCTGATGGCCATCGTTGAGGCCTTGACATTGCGAGCCACGTCGGCAGGTGATCAGACGTCGTTGCAACGCAAAATTGCTACTGAGCCATGCTACAGTGAGATATAGCACGAGCGGATGTCATGACGTGTTTGTACCAGTCACCGGCATCCCGGCGATCGGCTGTTTTTGTGTCGGTCACATTCGACATTCGTCCGTTAGTTCCCGCCTCAGGCGACACTTCCACACCAAGAGTCTCCCGACTCGTTGTCGTCGTGTACTTTATTCGAGTTTAAGCGTTAGAACTGCAACGTAAAGCTGCCTACAAAAATGAAAAATCGCTTTTTGTGCAGTCGAAACAGCGTCGAAACGATCCAATCAACAGCCCGCAAGCGCGACAGATTATAACGCAACCCGCCCGTCCATCCACACACTTTGACAAAAAGCATGAAGCGCGAGCGCACGGACACGGGCGTGGCCAAAGAGCAGCTGCACGAGACGTCCGTCGCTGCGCCGTCCACTCCCAATGGCGAATCTGACTCGTCACTCCCTCAGGCCTCGACTGAGGTGCTTAAAGCTCGCAAGATCGTGACAGCCATGCCAAAATCGCACTTTGGAGGGGAAGCAGCACGACAGCTGACGGCCTTAAATCGTGAATTCGTCACTAATCTCAAGACGCATTGGGCGCATAACAAAGATGGAAACTGGACCGAGATCATGAAGGAGTACGTGCGGTACGCGCACGTGCTTGACGCCGTCTTTGGCGGCCATTCGGGCCAAGTCTTGACGTTTGGCAGTGGCGACTGCGGTCAATTAGGCCATGGTGTAGCGGAGGAAGACCTCATGGCGCCGTTTCCACGGGTTGTTCGCTCTTTGAGAAATCTCCAGATTGTCCGTGTGGCCTGCGGTGGCCTCCACTCTGCGGCTATTACAGCAGCGGGGGAAGTCTACACGTGGGGCTGCAATGACGATGGAGTATTAGGCCGCGATGGAGACGAGAATGTCCCAGCCAAGGTGGATGGATTTGGATCCCAAGAGGCGGTTGCCTTGCAAGTTGTGGGTGGAGACTGCCATACGGCTGTCGTGACGCTGGCTGGCAAGGTGTATACGTGGGGCTGCTACCGTGACAAAGAAGGCAAGCAGTGGTGCGATGCGCCATCGGCTAAGGCTGCGTTCATGCAGAAACAGTCTCGACCGTATATGATTGAAGTGCTGGACAATGTTGTGGATGTACGCTGTGGTAATTCGTTTAACCTCGTGCGGACGAATGACGGGCGTGTGTTCTCATGGGGACTAGAAGAAATGGGCCATCTTGGTCGCGAGGTAGACACAGAGATGAAGGACTTGATGGGCGAGTACAAAGTTGATATGGTGTACTCGAAACACCTGCAGCCGGCGCCGGTGATGCTTGGAAAGGACCCGCTTCCTTTTGTTAAGGCTATTGGCTGTGGTTCATTCCACAGCCTATTTGCTTTGGGCTCACAAGGACGTCTTTATACGTGTGGACTTAACAACTACGGTCAGCTCGGAATCGGCAACACTGAAAATTGCACCGAGCTGCAGCTTGTTGAGGATCTCGGCACTGAGAACGTCGCGTTTGTAGATGGAGGGGCCCATCACTCGGTCGTTCTCACTCTTGAAGGCAACGTGTACACATTTGGTCGTGCAGACTCAGGTCAGCTTGGTGCGCTTGAGACGTGCGCCACTGGCGGGTACAAAGATCGCCCGCAAAAAGTGACAATTCCGCTCCCCAAAAGCGGTGGCTCTAGTGTCGTCCGCATGATTGCTACAGGATCTAACCACGTGCTGGCGCTGACGGAAAGCGACGCGATCTTCTCTTGGGGGTATGGTGACATGCTGGCGTTGGGCAGTGGGAAAGAGCAGGATGAGAATAAGCCGTGTCAGCTGGACTGGACACTGGCCACATCTGACAAGGACACAAAGTTTGGCGAGGCAAAGATTTTGCAGATCGAAGCTGGTGGTCAGCACAGCGCAGTGTTGGCAAGGGCGACTAAGGATAAATAGGTGGCCTATTCTGATTGCCTTACAGGTTAGAGCACAACAAAGGCTTTGTAGTTCACGTCCATGACCCGGACAAGCAACTGATTAAAATTGCATTTCATGCTGACAATATGACAAGTTCGTAGGCTACTTCGGTGCATGTCAACGATGAACGCAAGAGCATATTCAGAATAGAACATGAAAAGCAGAAATCCTCGAAAAAGCAAGAATCAAGTGTATGTTGAGTTCCTTGAAAAAGCAAGAATCAAGAGTATGTTGAGTTAGCAATTTTGGAAACGAAAGTGCTTCGTGGGCTAAGCGATAACCATCAGTTGCTATGATTGCAAGAAAAGTCAAGGTATTTATGATTCAAGAAGTCAAGTTCTCCCGTGTCGGCCACCGCCTGCTTCACACATCTCATGGAAGCACAAGTCCCAGTGACAAAACGCCAACAACCAAGAGCACAACGAGCTGATGCGCCGTTCCGAACGGAACTGCAGTCGCCGGGTTTATGTCGCGGGTTTTCTTTGAACCGACGTCGGAGCCTTCAGACGATGATGACTCGAGTGATTTACGCCGCTTGATCGGAGACGGAGATGGCGTAGTCGTGTCACACGACGACACGAACGTATCCAGGCTCCTCTGCAGCGTCATGTTCTTCTTGTCAAAGACAGCCTCGCAGTTTGGGATATCCAGGTCGTCCATGGCACCGATCATATCCTTGCAGGCATCAGACTTGCACAACGCTGATTGTTGGGCCATCAAGAGGCTCGAGCGTGGAGGAATTTGAAAGTTCAGCTTGCTGTCTTGAACGCACTTGTTCACTTGACCAGACACCTCGTTGAAAACGCTCAGCTCCTTCGTGGAACAAGGTTTTGCATTCGTGAAGCCAATGCCGCTACCGATAAGCATCAATAGCACCAGCGCTGACAGTCGAACCATTTTGTTGTGAAGGTAGGTACTGAAAGTCTGGAGCTGGTTATTTCGTATCGCTTGCGTGGACGATTGAAAAGTGAGATGCCTTCCGTTGTGCTTGTGCTCATGAGGTCATTGTCCAACGATCTCACACCGAATAGGACTCGGGGTTGAGTGGAAACCTTCGGAGCTTTTCAAAGAAAGCGGCAGTAGGTCCTTCCTTATCTCACGAGCGCGAATTTGCATAATGGTTGTCGTACAGCTTAGATTACAACAGAGGCTGTTTAGCTCACGCACACAACCCGGACAAGGATCTGAATAAAGTCTTTTTGCATGATGTGTTACAAATGCACCTATTTACAAGATCTGATGCGAGGGTGTTGAAAACAACAAATCGTGTGGATGACATGAACGACATGAAGCATTTTAAACTTGCGGAAGACTCGGTAACCGCGTCTTTTAGTTCAACTGTGTATTATCCCGGCACCGAGAGGTTTGTGTGACGTGACTTCACGAGTCTGAGTCCCTTCTACTTAGCGAGTTAAAGACCTGCAATCGTTTGATAATAGACAGTCGCAGCCATCAGCATGTTTATCGACCAAGTGATATTGCTCTGTTCATATCGATGTCGGCGTTCCCGACTGCGATCGAATACACGATTATAGATCTCCCTGTGTCTGATTTGGTAGCTCTGTAGACTTGGTTAGTAGATCACTCTTCCTATCAATGGACGAAGCCAAATAACGTGTCACTGCAAGCTCAATTTCCGGCACGTATGTAGCACGGCTTGAGACGCTCTGCATTTGAGTCTCAGAGGTGGTAGCCCACATCAATATGTGGCGTTCAATAGGTTTGTTGGCGCCTTCTCATTCAGATCATCGACGTCCGGTTGTAACCTTTTGGACAATAGCTGATGTGCTTACCCATTGACAGGAGGCAACTGCTTCTGGCTAAGAAACGCATGCACTGTACTTGGTGTTTTAAGCACCCGTGTTTCATATCTTGCACTTTTTGTATTTGCATCTCCTAATGCAACACAACTGAATACAATAGCATCAATGTTATCATGTGGTAAGTTGTTGGCAGCTCGCTTCGGTGCATGTCAACGATGAACGCAAGAGCATATTCAGAATAGAACATGAAAAGCAGAAATCCTCGAAAAAGCAAGAATCAAGTGTATGTTGAGTTCCTTGAAAAAGCAAGAATCAAGAGTATGTTGAGTTAGCAATTTTGGAAACGAAAGTGCTTCGTGGGCTAAGCGATAACCATCAGTTGCTATGATTGCAAGAAAAGTCAAGGTCTTTATGATTCAAGAAGTCAAGTTCTCCCGTGTCGGCCACCGCCTGCTTCACACATCTCATGGAAGCACAAGTCCCAGTGACAAAACGCCAACAACCAAGAGCACAACGAGCTGATGCGCCGTTCCGAACGGAACTGCAGTCGCCGGGTTTATGTCGCGGGTTTTCTTTGAACCGACGTCGGAGCCTTCAGACGATGATGACTCGAGTGATTTACGCCGCTTGATCGGAGACGGAGATGGCGTAGTCGTGTCACACGACGACACGAACGTATCGAGGCTCCTCTGCAGCGTCATGTTCTTCTTGTCAAAGACAGCCTCGCAGTTTGGGATATCCAGGTCGTCCATGGCACCGATCATATCCTTGCAGGCATCAGACTTGCACAACGCTGATTGTTGGGCCATCAAGAGGCTCGAGCGTGGAGGAATTTGAAAGTTCAGCTTGCTGTCTTGAACGCACTTGTTCACTTGACCAGACACCTCGTTGAAAACGCTCAGCTCCTTCGTGGAACAAGGCTTCGCATTCGTGAAGACAATGCCGCTACCGATAAGCATCAATAGCACCAGCGCTGACAGTCGAACCATTTTGTCGTGAAGGAGGTATTGAAAGTCTGGAGCTGGTTATTTCGTATCGCTTGCGTGGACGATTGAAAAGTGAGATGCCTTCCGTTGTGCTTGTGCTCATGAGGTCATTGTCCAACGATCTCACACCGAATAGGACTCGGGGTTGAGTGGAAACCTTCGGAGCTTTTCAAAGAAAGCGGCAGTAGGTCCTTACTTATCTCACGAGCGCGAATTTGCATAATGGTTGTCGTACAGCTTAGATTACAACAGAGGCTGTTTAGCTCACGCACACAACCCGGACAAGGATCTGAATAAAGTCTTTTTGCATGATGTGTTACAAATGCACCTATTTACAAGATCTGATACGAGGGTGTTGAAAACAACAAATCGTGTGGATGACATGAACGACATGAAGCATTTTAAACTTGCGGAAGACTCGGTAACCGCGTCTTTTAGTTCAACTGTGTATTATCCCGGCACCGAGAGGTTTGTGTGACGTGACTTCACGAGTCTGAGTCCCTTCTACTTAGCGAGTTAAAGACCTGCAATCGTTTGATAATAGACAGTCGCAGCCATCAGCATGTTTATCGACCAAGTGATATTGCTCTGTTCATATCGATGTCGGCGTTCCCGACTGCGATCGAATGAACGATTATAGATCTCCCTGTGTCTGATTTGGTAGCTCTGTAGACTTGGTTAGTAGATCACTCTTCCTATCAATGGACGAAGCCAAATAACGTGTCACTGCAAGCTCAATTTCCGGCACGTATGTAGCACGGCTTGAGACGCTCTGCATTTGAGTCTCAGAGTTGGTAGCCCACATCAATATGTGGCGTTCAATAGGTTTGTTGGCGCCTTCTCATTCAGATCATCGACGTCCGGTTGTAACCTTTTGGACAATAGCTGATGTGCTTACCCATTGACAGGAGGCAACTGCTTCTGGCTAAGAAACGCATGCACTGTACTTGGTGTTTTAAGCACCCGTGTTTCATATCTTGCACTTTTTGTATTTGCATCTCCTAATGCAACACAACTGAATACAACAGCATCAATGTTATCATGTGGTAAGTTGTTGGCAGCTCGCTTCGGTGCATGTCAACGATGAACGCAAGAGCATATTCAGAATAGAACATGAAAAGCAGAAATCCTCGAAAAAGCAAGAATCAAGTGTATGTTGAGTTCCTTGAAAAAGCAAGAATCAAGAGTATGTTGAGTTAGCAATTTTGGAAACGAAAGTGCTTCGTGAGCCAAGCGGTACCCACCAGTTGCTACGATTACAAGAAAAGTCAAAGTCTTTATGATTCAAGCAGTCAAGTTCTCCATGCCAGCCATCGTCTGCTTCACATGTCTCATGGAAGCACAAGTCCCAGTGACAAAACGCCAACAACCAAGAGCACAACGAGCTGATGCGCCGTTCCGAACGGAACTGCAGTCGCCGGGTTTATGTCGCGGGTTTTCTTTGAACCGACGTCGGAGCCTTCAGACGATGATGACTCGAGTGATTTACGCCGCTTGATCGGAGACGGAGATGGCGTAGTCGTGTCACACGACGACACGAACGTATCGAGGCTCCTCTGCAGCGTCATGTTCTTCTTGTCAAAGACAGCCTCGCAGTTTGGGATATCCAGGTCGTCCATGGCACCGATCATATCCTTGCAGGCATCAGACTTGCACAACGCTGATTGTTGGGCCATCAAGAGGCTCGAGCGTGGAGGAATTTGAAAGTTCAGCTTGCTGTCTTGAACGCACTTGTTCACTTGACCAGACACCTCGTTGAAAACGCTCAGCTCCTTCGTGGAACAAGGTTTCGCATTCGTGAAGACAATGCCGCTACCGATAAGCGTCAATAGCACCAGCGCTGACAGTCGAACCATTTTGTCGTGAAGGAGGTATTGAAAGTCTGGAGCTGGTTATTTCGTATCGCTTGCGTGGACGATTGAAAAGTGAGATGCCTTCCGTTGTGCTCGTGCCCATGAGGTCATTTTCCAACGACCTCACGCCGAATAGGACTCGGGGTTGAGTGGAAACCTTCGGAGCTTTTCAAAGAAAGCGGCAGTAGGTCCTTCCTTATCTCACGAGCGCGAGGATCATTCTCACGATATTCGACGCGTAATGCGTAGAGTCCCTTTGCGTTTATCGTAGAGGTTGTTCTCGACCGAAGTGCTATGTCATCTTTTAGTACGAAGATTTACGGGAAAAGAGATTACTCGCACCTCTTGGCAATACAACTTGATCTTCTGGTGGCAGCGCACTTCACCAGCCCCTCTTTCAATTTCACGCTGACGCAACCTTTACCTCGATTTCTTGATGTAGGTTCCTTATTTTGACAGTTCGCTGTGTCTCATGTTCGCGATAACTTCTCGGGTCACTGGTCAGGCCACATCTGAACGTTGAGCTGATTACAGTGTGTAGTTTTCAACCACTCTTTAAAGTCTGCAGAATGCCACATTCAACACCTTAGTTTTGCGAAGTAGGATTGCGGTCGACCTGAACTCCTCTGCTTCTTCTTCAGCTCCTCATTTAGCTCCGCTTGCAAGACAGCTAGGCTTGACGCACCCATTGAGAGCGCGGTGTATCTTTCTAAGATCCACGAGCCTGCGTGCAAGCTACTCTTGTACACTTTAACGCTCACATCTGCTTCGACCTGCTCATCAGGATCGTCGTCGCATCCATCATATGACATATGTCTGATGCATCTCAAGTGTACAATTATTGCAGCGGTAGATCGCCAGAGAGTTAGACGTCGAGTCCTTGCTCTCTCAAAAGAGCTTGCATCTCTGCGTCAAGAGTCGGGTCCATCTGCCCCATCAGAACGCTTACGCTGCGCCATCGTCGTATAGATTATTCAAGGATCGAAGTTAAGCCAGTGGCGTAGCTATTCTAACGCTATCCGCCATGGAAATAGTTACTTCGGTGTTGCCACACTCCTCACGACGACGGCTCGCTGCCTATTTACACTTGATTTTGTTTGGTGTCAAACCAACGGAAAAGGCGGTGCGTCATCTCCACACCGAGAAAAAGCGAACCATTGGCCGGGAATGAACGCAGTACGGCGGCCGACCAGCCGCGGTAGAATCCATGGATGCCAAACTCTGAGTAGATTGCACGGAAGGCGCTCCGTAGTGAGAGCAATTGTGTCGAGCTTGCCGTTTGCATTCGTGACTTGAGCACGTCCACGGGAAATATGACGCTCCAACTAGAAGCGCCTGCGAGACCGCCACTTGCAAGAATAGCGACAGGGTTCAGGTCGTTCTTCGACTCTGTGCCCAATAGTTGAACTGTTCCAGATGTGAAAGCTTGGTACGATCCAAAGAAAATAAAGCTGAACGGCACGTCACGCAGCAGCAAGGCCGAGTACCCCCTGAAGAGTCCTCTCATTCCTTCTCCCTTGCCCACTTTCACCAGACAGTCCCAAGGTCCATGATAGTCTGAGCAAAAAACAGTGACAACAAAAAATCCACGACACTGCATAATCAGGCTACTCATTACTGCACAATTCAAATGTAGACGACCACGTACGTCCGACACCCGGATGTCCGCGTTGGAATTGCAGCTTACACTTGATATTCTCTGGCACTGTAATGGCCTGTCCCTCATGCCACAAAAAACATCATGTTAACACTGCCAATGCCGCCATTAACCTATCACCTTGACACGCACATACACACAGATCAAGCCATTACCGTTGCAGAAAAGCAGCCAGCAAACGCGCCCATACAGGCCTCGTCCATTGTCGTCAGCTGGTACTCGTCCTCACCCTCGCGCGTTCCGCACTGTTTCGCATGCAACGCCACTACCGCTCGCTTCGCAACTCCATTCGCACTAAAAAGCACCGAGTTCTCAATCACAGAACTCGACAGCGCTGGTACTGCGCCTTTCCAGAGCGCCGCGACGCCCTCTTCGGTGACAATGCGACGGAAAGCGTCGGTCACGCCCTGGTACGCGTTGGTCGCGCCTTGAGTCTGCAGTCGCACCTTCACGACTTCAAAGGGAAGGCCTGCATACACACAGCAAAAGGCGCCCATGATGCCCGCGAACGTCTCCCGTGGATCCAGCATCAGGTCCGTCGCGCGACCTTTTGACAACGAACGTCCTTTGACGACGCCGTGTACGTCATCAAATCGATCGCACGACTTTCCCTCGTGTCAATGACTTTTCCTCGTGTCAATGACTTATGCGCGACCTAAGCGGTTTCGTGTGACGACGTCGACGTCACGGTGGGTTGACTGGCCAAGCGACGATTTCAACCAATCAACGATCGTTACAGCGTCGCACCAGTGGAGTCCCTCGATGCAGCGTGCGTTGCAGCGGGTCACGGCGTCGCTCCCGGATGGTGCGCGCTCGCTCCGTACTGCTCGTGGCGGTCCGCAGCGCCATAAGGACCACATGGCCAGGATGGCTAGACTTGAAGCGCAGGCACAGACCAGCGAGCGTGCTCGACTGGAACAGCGTCAACGCGTGCTGGAAGCGCGGAACCAGCCACCAGTCATTCCGGCGTTCATTCGCGTACGGGACTTGGCCAAAGCTTTGCGTCAGCCGCTGGATAAGGTACTAAAGCATACGGTGATCAAGTCGGACCGTCGGTTCCATCTCAAGACAAAGAACCACCCGCCGGCTGAATTTAAAGGCGTGAAGCAGATTGTGCTGCCCTTCCGAGTGGCTCAGGAGGTGGCGGAGCAGCTTGGCGTGCAAGTAGCTTACGATGATGTGGAGCCAGAACTACTGGAGGTTTTGTCGTCTTGTGACGAGGAGAAGTGTCTGGGTCGTCGGCAGCCAGTGATTGCTGTCATGGGCCACGTGGACCACGGCAAGACGACATTGATGGACACTCTTCGAAGCCATATGGAGACAAGCAAGAAGATGATTGCACCGTTTGAGAAGCAGGGAATTACGCAGAAGATCAATGTATGTGAAGCGACATTGACACACGATATGAAGGCGACGTTCTTGGACACACCTGGCCATTTTCACTTTTTCCGGATGCGCTCAAGTGCGGCGCAAGTGGCCGATGCTGCACTGCTGATCGTTGCGGCAGATGAAGGTGTGCTATTGCAGACGGAGGAGTCGATTGGTGCGATTGAGGAAACTCGACTGCCGACTTTGATCTGCATCAACAAAGTCGACGTATTGGGTGAAGACGGTGACAAACGAGTTGCTGCTATTGTGGAGGAACTACGATCGTTTGTTGCCTTGGAGGACTCCCCTGTGTTGATCATATCGGGAAAGACAGGAGCTGGATTAGACGAATTGCGGCACACGGTGCGGAAACTGGTAAACAAATTGGCAAGTGATCGCAAACTTGATGCACTAGTTGGGCCTCAAACACATGCTGAGGGACTTGTGCTAGAAAGTGTCGCGCTGAAAGGACGTGGAACGGTGCTCCGTGTGTTAATTAAGAATGGGGAGCTAGTAGCTAAACAGCATTTCGTAGCTGGTATGATTCATGGCGTGGTCCGTAGCATGCAAGATGCCGAAGGCCGGGATGTCAAGCGTGCGTTGCCCGGAACTGTTGTGGATATAACGTACTCGAACAAGTCAAAGAACGTCGATGCACCAAATGAACACGGTTTCTTTGTGCTTCCTGAACCCCGTGCAAAGCAGGTGCTTGAACAAAGGTATGCAACGGGAAGCGAAGGGTGATGAGGTACTTGCGGATTGACAATCGGTCGTTTCTGTTTTTGTTGTCTAGGGAACTTGCCTTGGAGTTTCGTGACTGTCTTCTGCCCGATGATGGTGGTGCACACGCAAGGGCTGATGCTGAATATAGGTCAATGGATGACGAACAAACAGCCACAGACGTGCCTGGCGCTGGGGAGAGTAGTGGTGCAGCCGAATGCGATGTCATTGACGAAAACGATTTGATCCCAACGAAGTCTATCATCGTGAAAGCGGACGGTGCTGGATCGCTCACCAGCATCCAAGACACGGTGGATGAGCTGTCCGGCATATCGGTATGGTGACGTAGCAGGAGTGAAGGCAATGCGTTTCTACATGCTGATTGCTACAATGTGTTTGTAGACTGTGCGATTGGGCATCGGCAACATATCGGTGAAGGACATCGATACGGCCATTGATGGCAAGTGTCCTATATTCGGCTTTAACGTAAAGCTGCGCGACCGCGAGGCAAAGCTGGCTTTGAAGAGAGGTGTACGCGTCATTTTACGCTCCACCGTTCACGAGCTGATTGAAGAGATTACTGCTTTCGAGCAGTTCGAATCGGAGAAATCGGACGCAGCAAGTGAGTGAAACGCTGCACACTCGTTTTCAGTCTGAACTTCAGCACATACCGGCGTATTCCACTCTATGGTCACCAACATGCAGTCAATGCGTTTGCATATAAAACGAGCCGGAACGCCTGCGAGCGACGATCTTTGCTTTTTGAGAGCACTGGAAGATGCTGGATGTCTTTTACGAGTAGTTGACTCGACTTATAAACCGATAAACTGCGAAGCGGATGCGCAAGATGTACGACAATGTCGTCCAAATCCTTGTCATTTTCCGTCCGTAGTCGAATTCAGTGCAGGTCGCAAAAAAAAGGGCTGCAACCTTGACGCGCACATCTCTCCGTGCTTTATCAACAGCGGGTCAAATCTTCTGCATAAACAGAACGTTCCCTATCGCTCGATAAATCACTGTTGGGCAACGCAAAAATCAAGTTTCGAAAGCAACAATTGTACGACCATCGTCCACCTCGACTGTGACAATTGTACAACCATTTTTCTGCATTTTCGCTCTGCTCGATGTTTTGCATGTTTGCATAGAAACGACGACTCCATTAATATCCCTATTTTCCTTCAACCCGCGAGTCAGTTTGTGACAAACCATGATGGCACTTGGGGACGCTGACGATGGCATGTCTGAGCGCTTGCTGGGAGCAACTGACGACACGAATAGCGCCACGTCCACTGCTCCTCTTTCCAGTGACTTTGAGCTCGTCTCTGATCGTGAAACGCTCGTGTTCGAAGACGATTTCTTCCGACAGCAGCGACGTGACAAGCGCAGCAGCTTCTTTCGAGCGTTTTTTATGGAAAAGATCCAGCCAGGGTCAGGTAAGGGCGTGCTTTGGGCTGACACAGTTATGATATTGGACACTTGCTTGACTGCTATTTCAATGTGCTGGACCTAGTAAAAGGCTCCATGTTCACGATGACAGTCGCGATCGTAGGGGCTGGTGTGTTGGCACTTCCCTTTGCCGTGCAACAGACGGGACTGGTACTGGGTATCTCGCTGATTGTACTGGGGGCAAGTGCGACAAACTTTACGCTGAGGACGCTACTGGAGTGCTCGAACTTAGGTCAGGCACGGTCGTACATGGACTTGGCATCAGCTACAGGAGGACGCAGGCTGGCGGAATTTACACAGCTAGTTGTGTGCATAAACTTGTTTGGCACATCGATTGGCTACCTCGTAGGCAGTGCAGAACTGCTCCAGCTTGCTTTGCGAGCGGTTTTGGGCAGTACGAGCTCGAGCATTTTTCTTGATCGACAGACTTTGATCTTGATGCTCACGTGTTTTCTGGTCCTGCCGTTGTCGCTGTTACGAAGTCTGGATTCGTTACGATTTTCGTCGCTGTTTTCGATTGTGTGTATCACGTTCATGGTGCTGGTGATCGTGGTCAAGTACTTGCAGTTTGTGCACGAAGGGGTGGTCCCGACAATGGCATACCAGTTGACACACTTGGCGCTTTTCGACTGGCGCCTTAGCCACTTGCTGCGTGCGGTTCCACTTGTAGTGTTCTCGTTTACGTGCCACCCAAACGTGCTGCCTATCTACTTGATACTGAAGCGCCGGTCCAGCAAGAGGATGTACAAGGTCATGAACCGCAGTATTGGAATCGCGACGACTGTGTATTCACTGTGTGGGTTCTTCGTCGTGCTCACATTCGGCACGGCCACTAGGTCCAATTTCCTTAAGAATGACTACCGCGGTGACGGTGCCGTGACCACGGGGTGTATCGGCTTTAGCATCGCTCTCATCCTCACTGTGCCGTTGTTCATCCACACGTTGCGCGACAACATCCGTGAAGCTATGCTGGCGAACGCTCGACTAGATCTGATGCGCCACGTTGGTCTCTCACTATTTCTAGTACTTGCCACGCTTCTTGTGGCTTTGTTCTCCGGTGACATTGCATCTGTTCTTGGCGTGCTCGGTGCTACGACCAACCCGGTGATCTGCTTCGTGCTGCCGGCATTTTTTGTCGTTCGACTGGGCGGCAAGCACCGTCGATCCAGCCAAGTTATTGCCGCGATAATGGCATTCATCATGACTGTCGTGAGTGGGCTTAGTCTGCTCCAGCAGATGAACATCATCGCTTAAAGCGTTAGTGAAAGTACCACGTAGCTATAAACGCGTGCTGCAGTATTTCCGAGCATCAGTATGTACCAGTGACGCTGCACCAGACTATTTGTGGACAAGTTGCCAACAGTGTTTGTTGTGCAAGGAAGTCAGCCCGAAATGGCGGGGAGGACTGCAAGTGAACAGCTTATGCAAGCCGTTTTTCTGTTCTTCGGACGTTTGGTGACGAGGATGATTAGCAGTGTCGTGAGGCAGCCAGCAGATCCAAAGACGATACATAATTTTTTGATCGGTAAACGTAGGGACCACCAATTCGAACGCCAGGTTGACAATTGGCTGCTCATTGCCATGGCGGCGCCGAATCTGCGGCAAATTGGTTCTTAGGTGTTGCCGAATCTGTATCGCTCTAAAGAGACCATTTGCCGCACTGTGTTGTTGCGTCTTGCGCTGCTCGGTCGTGCAAAAGGGTGCCATCTTGCTGGGAGGAACGTGCTCATACGTCCTGATTATTCGTCTCTGCGAGACTGTTCGAAGTGCAAACGTGACATTTAAGCTGAGTGAATACAGTGAAGTGACGTACCTCTGACTTTGAGCTGGCACCCCTCTGCGATCGAAATCCCAAGCTCAGTAGTGTAGCAAATGACTTGCAAACGAATTTATGCCGCGTGTAACGCCCAAGCACTGATTCATGAGTACCGCCTCACTATTTACAAACATCCTGACGCAATTGTCAAGAAGTCCCCGTCGCAAACGGACCACAAGAAAGTAAGACATGGTCATTTATGTGTGTCACGTGTCTCGAAACAAAAGTGGAAGTCAGCACCCGGATCACCTCGACAAAATGTCGCGATTTTCATTGACCGCAATCTGCACGGCTTTTATACAAAAGAAGTCAGTGAGTATAGTACGTCATGGATGTAAGAAGCCTTCGCCATCATTGATCACATTGAAGCCGCCCAGGTCGCTCGATCGCTGATCGCGTCACGTTGTTCGACTTTAGCACTGGTGCATACTACCTTAACAAGATTCTTGTAGTGTGTCATCTCTCGGGATACAGACAATACCCAATTACGGTCTTCTGGAGCTCCTCGCAAAAATGCGCGGGGCTTGTGCTCAACGAAGACGACGTATATCAGCTTACACTCATGCATACCGCTAGCAGGATCTACAACACCGCCGACATGCCCGTACAGACACATGCTTGTTGATTTGTAACACAGCTGGCTTCAGCGAAGCAACATACTAAAAACTTGGTGTCTACCTGTCTCTACGGCTTCATGATCTGCTGCTTTTCTTTAAACTACTACCAGTTGCCAGTCACAACATGTCATCATCATGCAATGAGGCTCAACTCGTGAGGTAGATGAAGTTGTACAACTAGTACCTGCTGAGTTGCACCCGTATTTCACAGACTGCCCCCTCCAATCAGGCGTGGTGCAAAGGCAAGAAAAGTTGAACGGTCAAGTTGTGTCAATTCGCGCAAAGATATCGTGCCCTAGTGGATTGAGAGTTCGATCATCGTACGTGTTGATTCTCGCCATTCTGCTGTCGCGTTGCAACGACGAGATGACTTTACAGCAGATATCGTTTCGTCGAGCTGGCGTGGCTGATGAGATTGTAGCTTGCCGTGACAATGCGGTGTTAATGATGGAGCGATAGGATCAATAGCCTAGCGATCCTACGATTGCCCTATCGGAGTTATTCTACGTATTCACATCATCAACTCGCAGCAGACACTGTCTGACGTGTTGACGTAACGGTGAGACTTCAATCTTTCTTACACATCTAAACTGAAGTAAGCTATCGTGGCTGTAGTGATGTGAACAGCGCGGGTCTAAGTGTATGATTCGATTTGGTACAGGTGCTGGGTGGTATCACTTCGTCTAGTCATTAACACGTCTACGTCCGTTCAGCCTGGTGTCCTGATAAGCATTTACACTCATCCTCGAACCGCAGCTTACCGCAGAAGTATCCGTGCTTCTGCATCGTTCCTTTCGGGAAGCCAGCGTAACAAGTTTACAAGTAAGGAGTACTAGCACGCACAGAGGGGCGTAAACGCAGATACCATGATGATGTTGAGGGTATTTTATACTGCCTCATGCGATAGTAGTGAGCGACGATACAGGTCAGTGGCCAGGCACGTGGGTCGTCGAAGGACTGTAGCCTGCAAGAAGGGCTTATCTAACGATGTTTGTAGCTGGATTGAAAATGCAAAAGAGAGCGACGAAGTGATGCTAATGCGTGAGCCTTGGGCATTATGAGACTTTGCGATTGCTGGCAGCCCGCAGTTCGTAGCCGTACACTCAATACTTCATCGCTCCGGTTCGTTCACGCATTGATGCTATGCGGAAACAAGTCCAACTTTGGTCGGAGGCACGTTTCCCCCCACAAACCTCTACACCTTCTAGCGTTCATCACATCCAGGGACCGCAGCCGCAGTTGAGCACGACTACTAGTTTTGCGCTTGTAGCACACTTAAAGATGAGCATGTTCGCTTCATTTTACGCTTTTCGAAACAGTTTCTGCCATATTGGAGCGGTCACCTGTTCGTACAATCTGTTTTGAGTGCTCTCGCGATTTCGGTCGTCCAAGAATTAGCGAATTGCAAAGCTTATTCCTAAAGACCGTGTTCTAAAAAGACCGTGTTCTAAAAAGACCGTGTTAACTAAACGTCGGTCAACGTAAACAGGATACACCACAAGAGAGCTGCCACATCGAGTATACGCCCTTATCCTGCGCTGTAAAACTGAAGCAATACTGGTAGACTCCACCTCCTTCTACACTGTCAAACCGTCACAATACCAGCATGGCGACCGACACCGAGTTGCTCACGCGCGCACTCGGGGAGCACGCTGTCTCTATGCGCCGGAGTCGCAATGTCGGTCACAACAACACAGAGAAGAAGGCTGTCTTGAGATGGCTGCGCTGCTTAAGTGGCGAAGAACTGGCGTCTCTGTGCTGCGTAGAAGACGTGGGGTTTGTCAAGACTCTGCTACACATGGCGGCGCTGTCGAGAGGAACCAAGTTGCAAGAGTTTCAGGTGCTCCCTCAGACATCCAGTACGACGACATGGACCCAATTGAAGCGCACTTCGACCAATACGTTGCCAAGAACGGCTCCGAGGTGAGGATCGTGAAGAGAGTTTGAACAGTTGGAACTAACATGACTAACGTAGATGCTGAAATATAGGGAATTTGTCAAGCGGCCAGTGGTAAAGACAGCAGATGGCGATGTGATTGGCTGTTTTCGTACTCGAGAGTACGAGGAATGCTGTTCAAAGGTGCTGAAAGGCATGCGAGTGCTGAACACGCTGCAGTCTTGCGACACGGTGACGCTTTCGATGGAGTTTTTTCAGTCTCCAAAGGATGAAAAACGTGGAGCATGTGCTGACCGTCTCTTTTATCTATTCGAAGTGATATCGTGTGGGGACTTTCTAATGGCGTGTCCGTCGGGAGCGACGTTGAAACATCGAATGTGGGGCGAGACAAAGGTGCGAGGCCAGTGTAGCAACAATAAATGAGGGAAGCTTGCCAGTTGACTGAGGTGTCGTGTGTGTGTGGGTGGATCTGCGAAGTGGCTGAAGCAACAGGGATACTATCCGCTGCAAGCGCTGTTCGTCAACCAAGTTGTGCGTATCCTTTTTACAACTCCCTGGGCTTGACTATCGGAACGTATACTTGACTGTTGCTGGAATCGAGATTGACTTTTGATTGTATGTTACGCGGCAGGAGCTTAATATCTGGGCGTCATGGAAACGATACACGAACGATGTGACCTCAAAAATACCACTGCAAGGTCTCGCGGCGAAACTTTACTTGATGCACGAATGGGAAACAGCGAGTGTTGGCCGACGCAATGCAATATTGCAAGTGCTCGGTTCGAAGATGGTAGAGCATCTTCGCGACCTGAGGCAGTCGACGCCGACCCAAGCGAGTGGGGCGGCGAAATTTCAATCTGCACGGTTTTCGTTGGAGTCCTTGATGTGTATACTAACTGTCCGTCAACAGTCTCTGCAGCAAGTGGATGAACAAGCGCCGGTGAGTAGCTATTTTGCGTGCGCATTTGAAGACGCAGTGACTTTTCCGCAAGCGACAGTGATAAAGCTGGTGCTTGCGGAGCATCTCCAGGAGCAGTGCTCACTCTTGCTTTGTGAAAGGCTGTCATACGAAGAAGAAGTGGCTGCTGCAAAAGGAGTGTCCGCTCATGTCCTTACTAACAGTGTCGATGTGATGGACGAAGGCACCAAAGGCGTGATCAAAGGTAGCAACCACTCGCAACGAAGGCGCGCAAGTCGAAAAAGAATGCTTAAACTTCGTCGCCGGGAAGGCGAAATCCGCCTTGCTCAGCAGACACGTTTCAGTAGCATGCTGCGCGAGCTTTGCGGATATTTTCGTCAAAAACAGGTCGAAGCTGTCGCGTGCGTGGAAGAGGTAGAATGCAAGGTAACTGACGCTACTGAGCAGCTAGTACCTGGTATCTGGGGCATTTCATCGGAGTGTCTTCCCAGGATTTCTATTCGATCCGGACAAAAGAGGAAAAAGAAGAAAACGAAAAAGAAAGAGGCGGATACGATGGAGCTTCGAAGCGACGGTCAATCTGTGACTGCCTCTTTTCGCAGCTCTGCCAAGTTGTTGACCACACCGCACTTATGCCAGAAAGATGATGAACACGATGATGGTAAACGCAGCGTTGCAACAACGTGCTCGTACTCCTCATCTTCTCAGCAAGGACAGCCGCTTGTTGATTGCAATAATGACGGCGAGAGTGCGCGTAACTGTAGCCCATGCTCAAAGTTCTCTCCCGGTGCTGAGCCGACTAGGACGGTGATGTCGTCTGTCTCGTCTGCGGTGCCGACGTTTGGCTCACAACCACTTGGCTTGTCGTCGCCAGCAGCCCCTTATTTTCTATCGCTGGCACCACGACACCATCGTGCTCAATCACCTCGGGCTTCCAGTCGAGGTAATGAAGATGAAACTGACAGTGACGGCGGACAAACAAGTCTGGCTGGACCGGAGAGTGCTTCTCATGAAGCACCTATAGCTTCTGGGACGTCAACTTTTGAGTGGTATATGCCATTCCAGGCCACTGCGCAACGAACTGATTCCCCAACGCCTGCTCTCGACTGGCATTTTAATCATTGGCAATTCAAGACTTCGGAGGAGGATATGTCAGATAAGGGGGTATCGTCTTGTACGGAAGAAGGTGCCGATCATTTACCACCTTTGCCGTCGTCAATATCGCCGGCTGCATCTTGCTTGATGAACGCAAAGATATCGGGATTAACGAAAAAGTATTCGTTGGCATCATTTTCTCAGATAGCTGGGATAGAGTCAAGCCGACGAGAATCTGCTCATGCGGTAAATGGCAAACATGGTTTAACAGCCATATCGATGCGAGAAAATGAAGATGGGACCTTAGTCAGCGTGGACAGTGATGACAAGTCCGACTTTTTATATCGTGAAGGAGGTTTCTTCGACCGCCAGCGCGCGCTAAAACGTCCACGACGCCTCTGGCCATTCGACTATACTCACGAAGACGATGAAGTGGATATTGGTGATGAGCGTGATTCTCGAAAAGAGGGGCGCTTGCATTTGGACCGGAGCTCAAAGCAGTGCTTTGGTGTATCGACAGCAGCTCGAAATAGCGATGCGTGGACAGAGTGTATCCACTGCTGTATATGTAAATGTCACCGCGCGAGTAGCTCTCAAATTGAGGGCGCGTTAGATCGCGAAGCCGACTGCAGCCACGTCACGGGATCCAATGGTTCTGCACTTCAAAATGCCCCCGCACCTCCCAGCCTTTCGATGGAGGCCACCGAAGATGATTTAGTGGTCAAAGTAACGATGGCGTTAGAGCGGATCAGTACACTGGAAGAAAAGCTGGCTGAGAAAACAAAGGTGCGTGCTTGTTGGGAACGAGAATGCAACGTTCCGTATTGCTTGCTTATCACATTTCTGCGAATGCATTTAGGTCATGGACGAGCAAGCTGCTAGTGCATCTTCTGAAATCAACACGCTGAGCCGTGCTGTGGCAACACTGACTGCTCAGCTCCACAACGTCGAGAACGAAATCCAAGAAGTGCAACTTCAGCGTGCTGTCCCGGCTAACACTGGTGAAATGGACGACATCACCCTGGGTAACGCAAGCACTTGTAGCTCGCCGCCAACTCCATTTTCTCCGGCCCCATCCTCGCTTAACCAAGAAGTCGATAGCCCATCCGCTGCTGCGCCTACCTTTCCAGAAGTATACCCTCCGACACACTCGGCATTGGGACCATTCGTATCGGTACCATTGTCCGTGCTTCCTCCACGTAGTAAACTCCACTGGGATCTGTGCGAATTCGCAGCACAGCTTCAGGCTGACAGTGATTCCCGTCTCCCTGCTCAGCTAGCTGCTCATCAGTTGTGTACGGCGACAGTGCAATCGCTTTGGCCCCGTGCCCAGGTACGACCATACGGTTCACACGTAACGCGGCTTGTACTTCCATCAAGCGACGTTGATCTCGTAATTTGCTTGCCGAAGGTGCGTCGTGATGCACCGGCTGATGCAGCTGGTATGCTCGAAGGTAGAAATGCGATCAAAGAGACATGGCAACAAAATCTCGCGCGCAAGCTGAAGCAGGAGCCTTGGGTTGTATCTGACTCAGTGAAAACGCTACCCCATGCTGCTGTCCCAATTATCACGCTTCTCACTGCCCCGCCATACAATGTGAGGCTCGACATTTCGTTCGAAGGCCCGGGTCACAATGGCTTGGCTACTAATGACGTTGTCCGTGCGCTGCTTCATGAGTTCCCGCCATTGGCACCGATGATGCTCATTCTGAAGAGTTTTGCGATCGAGCGAGGTTTGGCGGTAGCTTATTCGGGCGGGCTATCGTCGTACGCGCTACTGTTGCTTGTAGCGCGTTACCTGCAGGAACATAGCGACACCATGCCCAATGGTTTCGCAAATGCTTCTCGAGCTGTCCAGCACAGCCTGTCAACGGCACAGGCGGGTGTAGCTGATTTCGGTCTGATGCTCATGGGCTTTTTGGACTTCTACGGCAACCGTTTTGACCCACGCACTACAGGAATAAGCGTGGCCTCGCGCTGCTTTCTAAATCGTGAGAGCGGCTTTATGGCTGGGACGGGAGCTTCAGGAATGGGTGATCTTCATCAAGTTCCGCATCCGTATCAGCAGCAATACGCCGCTGACGATGCTGCCGTAGACGACCGCACGAGCCAATATGGCTATTGTCAACATTGGCAAGTACCCGCGCAGCCTCATGTGCAAACGTTTTTACCAAATTCTGAGGGAGTTCCTGCTCATGGCTTTCGACGGTACGGTTACCGTTCGTCACTGGACCTACCAGCATCCCAGGCGTTGAATGAAATGGGCACCGTGACAGGTCTCTCGGACTACCAGCAGCTGCAGCAGCAGACGCATGACCCGCACAAATTCGATCCGGTGTTTATTGAAGATCCACTGTGTCCGACCAACAACGTGGGAAGAAACTGTTTTCGTATCATGCAGATCCGCCGCGCATTCTCAGCAGCTCATCTTGCACTACTTGCGGCATCGCGAGACCCTACGGTGTTTGTAGATAACCGGATTGATTTAGTAGCTGGTGTTGCGCTCCACCCAGACAACGTGTTACGCGCCATCTTGGGCGCTGGTGCTCCTGTAAAAGCGAAGCCGGATGCTGCAATGTCTGCGACAGTCGGAGTCACTGCGTACATGGGTGCGGAGCACCCGTACGGGTTTCACTCTTACAATCAGCAGCAAGTACACCAGCAACAACAGTATGCTTACCACCACCATCATCGCCGACCACCGCAACAGTTACATCTCCACCATGTTGGCATTCTGCCGCCGCGTAACGTGAGCACGTGCCGTAATGAGCCAGCATCGCGCAGGCACAGCGAGAGTGAGAGTGAAAAATTGACGACGCGTTCAGCGACTTCGACGACAAGTCGTAACGACCGCACACAGAAGAGGCACATGGGTAGTCCACAACTTACTCCTCAGCGCCAAAGCGATGAAAACCCTCCACAAGAGCAAGTGCGCTTGCTTCGTCAAGCCTCTACGGAGCCCGGTCAATCTCAAAAGCTGTCGTCTTTGCATTGCCAACAGATTGCCAAGAGGTTCAGCCGTAAGAATAGTGAACGCTCCATGAGCTTGTCCTTGAGCTTTGCAGATGTCGTGCGCGATGGTGGGGGAACAAATGGTGTAAGTGTGACCGTGCCAAAGGCCTCACGTCCAGCGGTTGCCCGACATTCACGGTTCTCGCGCGACGACATGGCACTGGAGGAAAGTATCAACGAGCGATGGGAAACCAAAGTTGACTCAGAAATAAAGTGAGTTGAAGCCAGCGTGAATAGGTGAGAAGCTCCTGCACTTCACGTAGAAAGCGTTGTCCAGATCACGTCAATTAAATAAATACGGCGGTCACACACCAGCAACAAGGACATCTACCAGCACCACTATCAACTCATACGACGTCCGAGCCGTAGTGATATGCTGACACGAGCCTTAGCTGGAGGTGACAAAGCTGTAGACAAACCCCTGGAGAATACAGTACAAGACAACAGCAAAGCACAAGGTGAGTTCCGAGGTGACATGTTAGCCAGGCAAAAGTCCCGATGCTACGAAGGAGCCGAGCGAATGCTGTCGATGAAATAGCTATCAAGCATGTGACTAGCGTACCGACTTCTCGCGCTTGCGCACGACAATATCAAGCTTCATGAGCGTCTGCAGAATTTCCTTGCACCGAATCACAGGCAGTCCACTGTGGTTCACCAGATCCGAAATCGAACTACCACAAGAGGTCGTCAATGATCGTATCAAACACCAAGCATTGGCTGCCCACACCGCTGACAGAAGAGCACCCGACGTACATGGCACAATGACGATTTTTGAGATAAAGGACGATATTTTCGAGCTTCTTCAGCTCTGCCGGGCTCTGATACTTGCGTGGGATCTTCTCTCGGACATCTACGACAAAAGAGACAACAGCAACAGAACCAGTCAACGACGTGCACTCACACCGGCGATGAACGTTTCACGTCAACGTACGACGTTCCCACGTCCACGCTGGTGGCGCTATCTTGGTCGTCTGCGGCTTCCGCCGTTTCTTGATCCGAGTATTGCTCGGTCCATGAGGCTCCACTTTCCCGTATCGCTTGACACCATTTGCGACACCATCCGCTGGCTTCTGGAGCTTCGTGTGTGGCTGCTTGTTCCCAGTATCAGCTTCAGTCCTACTGCTGCTATTAGTTGTTCCGCGTGGAGACCCCTCATGCTTCGCTTGGACACCATTTGCAGTGTGCAATTCGCTTAAGTTCGGAATTCTTGTCCTTGGCGACACGTGCTTTTCTTTGGGTCCCCGAGTCAGTAGAGCTGTGGATACAGTCGTCTTGGGGTACGACAGACACGATGCGTGCAGAGCTATGGCGCCCTGGAAGGAGCCAAAAGCCGAGTTGAAGTCGTCTACAGCGTTGTGCACACGCTCCAGCTGCTCCACTTGCTCTTGCAAGCCGCGGAGAGCCCCGCAGAGCTCCGCGAAGGGTCCGATGAGAGGGTCCGCCATGCGAGTCAGTCGTTCGCTTGACAAGGACCGAACGTTGGGTACACTCTGGGTAAAGCTAATGACTTCCTGGTCGTCGCTGAAAAATAGCGGAATTGATTTTCTGGATATAAAAAGCAAGCTGCACGTTAAAGTGCTTTATTATGCACAAAGCGTTTTTGACCAGAATGTAAGTGCGACGCTGTAGCCTCAGCTTTAGCACGGACATGTCAGTATGTCGTTTGCACCGTAATTGAATACTGTCCTTTTTTCAGGTGCTCGAAAACTTCATATCCTGCAATCCATCGTCGTTTTAGCCTAACGAAAATGTTGCTGAACTTCGGACGTTGCACAATACTCAGTTCAGAATATGAATGGACTAGCCATGTAAAATACTGCTGTAGCAATAGCAGAATGACAGGAACTGTTGAAGATCGAAATTAGCAGTCACGATGTGTGGCACGACATGCCAGATCAAGTTGGTGTCGGCGACTGTTTGAATGTGTATAAGAAGGCAGTCGACAGATGAAGGAGCTGCAAAGATGGGTGAAGAAGCTTGTAGTTACCAACAGGCAGGAAACAAATCGTCGGATTGGTGGCGAAGGGAAGCGCAGCGACATTGAGTCAACCTATTAAGAGCGGCAGATACAGAGACATAGTGTGCCAGATAGCGAGCTGAATAGCTGGGAAATAACGACTTAGCTTAATATCGGTTTCCTTCCTACCTCATCAAGTGCAAGCTCAACATTGGCCAACAGGTTATGAGCACAAACCCAATGGCTCCTACGGCTGATGAAACGACGACTTCTGCACCTGCAGGACACGTCCACGAAAGGGACACAGTTGTTAGCGATACCGAGGCCCACGAAAGGGGTGCGGGGACGGACGAAAGGATCCTCACAATGCTGGCTGCGCTCACGGATCGCATGCAAGCGCTCGAGGCGTCACAGATGCAGATCGAAGAGGACGAGTGACTGCGAGGCGCGATCGACAGTGGCTTCTTTGCGTCAGTGCTGGGACGCGGCATGGGAGGTACGACTTTACATCGTGACGCGCTCGGATATGACGCGCCGAGGCAGCCACGTGGATGTGTTTGCGTGACGCAACCAGGTTACTCGCCGTTCCAGCAGGATGGGTCACAGTATGTCGGTCCGCGACAGCCAGAGCGCGCTGCTTCACCACAACCACGCGCTATGAGCAAGTGTCGTCTCCAGATTTTAAAGACGTGAATGCGCCTGTGCCACCAATGCAGCAAGCACCGATGCAGGAGTTGCCGTTGCGCGTCCCGTACGCACACCAACGTAAGCTTGCTATTCACAAGTTTAATGGCACGGAACTGTACTAGGGTCTCGGATCAAGTTTTGATGACTAGGGTCGCACGTTCTTGCGCCAAGTCACAATGGCGAAGCAGGCATGCGAATTTGCATGGGCTGAAGATGTCAAGGCTGACTTGCTAGGACACTATTTAAGTGGTACATCAGAGCGGTACTACCAGAAACAAGTGGGCGTTTGGTGGCTCGAAGAAACCTCTCTCGATCACGCTATGGACCGGTTGCTACATGCATCCAAGACCTCCGTCACGGCGTCGCAAAGCATGAAGCTTTTTACTGCAAAGAAGGATCCCAAGCGATCATGTCCCGAACAGTACTTGTATATGGTTATTGTATGCGATGACTGTAACGGGGAACCCTTTGTCTGGGTGCCGCGAAACTTCACGTACACTAGTACGTGCAGAGGAAGCTAATCTACTTGAACGACTCGGTCAAGTAAAGGTAAAAAGAGATTTATATTCTATGTAGCTATCAATATAACTTTAATCTTTATCTAACTTTATTAAACTACGTAGTCGTATGACGAAACCCTGCTCACCACTCATTGCGCGCGTCTAGCAGTGATTGGTGGCAATCTATAGTCGACATGTCTTATATCAACCAATCTTGGAGCAGCGCATGAATATTATTAAAGGAGGCAAGTAATCCTTCAATATTATCCATCTCGGATAATATCGGTAGAATATTGTCACATTAGACAATATTCCAATTGACACCGTTTGGTGTCAATTCTATGTAACGGGCTACCCCACTACATCACCCCCCCCCTTAATCATCATTGACCCGTTGATTGAATTAGAATTGATCGGGACAGGGTGATTACCGTGGATGACTCTGGGAAAGGAAGCACTTGTTGGTCAAATTCCATTTATTTGCCAATCCAACGCATGGTTTTAAAAACCACGCGAGTTGCTACTGCAGCAGCAAGAAGAGCGGCTGCACGCGTGCGTGCAGCCGCGGAAAGTGCCTCTCACACCTCAGCAGCAGGTGATTCGTCGCCTGTTGTTGTTAATCATTCACGTGGTGAGTCATCACGTGCGACAGGTACATCCGTTGCGTCTGCAGAGGGTACCACGAGTCGTAATCAAGGTAAGTCTGAAATAGAGCTCATCCATTATGGCGAGTCGGATGATGCATCCGACTCGAAGGCGACTCCGGATCACCAGGGGCGGACACTGCAAGAGCCAGTATGAGTGGCTCTGGTCAACGTGGCGAAATCATGTCCGAGATCTTCGGATCGAGCGATTGTTCCGACAAATCTCCGCCTCACGCAAGTCCATCCAACGATAGGACGCGTGGGGATAGTGGTGATGCACCTATACATCACCACGAGCGAAGTAACTCAAGGGATCGGGGTAACACTGGTGCCAGTGCTCATGCTGGCACCAATCAAGAGGCCAGGGACCAAAATGTCCTGCGCCACGCTCCTCAAGTGGAGTCTCCGTGGATGCCGCCATCCAGAGAGTTGGACCGGTTGGCCGGCACGACTACCGAGCGGGATCGAATCCCGTTGTTCGATTGCAGGAAGATTAGCCCACCTGATTCCAGCAAGGAAGCTATCCGTGCTGAGGGAGAATTCTTCACCGATGCGTTTTTTAATCATCGGTGGCACAATAAAAGCCGTGTTCAAGACGGAATAACCCTTGGTACAAGGATGGGATGCCCCCATCCGTAACATCGAGTGCATTGGACGTGAGACTTGGCTTGTCTAACTTGGTGCAGCTTGCATCAGGTTTGAGAAACACAACCCAGTCGGGGCGCGATACCAGTTGCACCGGCTTCCAAGAGAGGCAGGATTATCCTGTCTCTCGTGGGGTGATTCGTGTCCAGGGTGCCTGGACAACTCGAACTAGGCCCCTAGAAAGGCCTTCCTCCCTAATGATCCCTGCTGGAGGGCGCTCATCTCTTCCGAGATGGCCGAAGGGATTGACACCTTGCATCCCTGTACTCGCGTTCGGGGAGGTCGTTTTCCGACGGCCCTTCTTCGAACGCAGCGGGTGGGTCTTGTCGTACTGCTCGACGAGACCACGGACATCAACAATCAGCTGGGCACGAGGCTCCCAGCTGTCCCACGCCGGTGGATAGCCACGCCAGCGGACGAGGTAACTTGTCCGGTCCCCATTCACATCGCGGTGTTCAAAATATGCTCCACTAGGAAGCGTTGACCACCGCTTGAGTCCACCAAAGGATGTAATAGCGGCGGGAACACATGATCCGGCTCGAGGGTCGGATTAGCTTGATGTTCAAGAGCTGAACCGTGTAACGGAACAGTTGCAAGATGACCTGGATCATGATAGATCTCGGCGTTATGGGTTTTAGTATCTTGAGAGATATAATTACAATTCTCTAACGCACGATCGTTCGGACGATCATGCCGCTTTTGCATTTGCGCAACTTGAGAACGAACGTTCGACTTATTCTCTTCGTGACGAGCTGGCTGTAGCTCGTCGAGACATCGCTGAAATGTGTGAACAGGTCGCTTCGCTAGTCGACCAGACTGGCTCGTTGAAACGGGACCAGTCGAAGGTGGTATCAGCCCTCGACCGCGGAGGCGTTCTCCGCCTCTCGAAACGGGCTTGTACTGATAGTACGGGCGGAGATGACCGAAGTAAAACGTAGGATGCGTACGCATCTTACGGAGCAGTTCAATTGTGTATGCGTTGCCCATTCGGCTCAACACACGAAATGGACCGATGTACTTGGGCAGTAATTTACTGCTGTCCACGTTTGTCACTGCGTGTTTCGGTAAGTTTACTGTAGACAGTAAAGCTAGGTCTCCTTCATCAAATGAAAGAACATTCGCTCTTCCATGTTTTTCAGCGTATCTTTTCTATCTGTCTAGTGCATCTGCAATAGAGTCTTGAACGAAGCGGACAACCGCTTCGCGAGTCAGCATCAATTCCTCTGCTAATTCATCCTTGTCGACACCAGTGCGCTTCGTGTGCAATACTTAAAGAACGTTGTCTTCACCAGTGAGGGCGTCATAGTCCTCACTGTGGCAGTCATTGGTGATGCAGAATATACCAGCATCGTCGTCATCATCATCATCGATGTCGATCGCATCGACTTAGGCATCCATACGTCGACACCACTGTCGACGGGTGATGAGCAAGCACCAAATCGTTTTTTTTTCGAGAGATCCCACCCCCTTCTTGAACTGGAGTCACACTCTAAAAAGGCGGGTAAGCGTGGATGGCGTAGGACATTCACGAAGAACGGTGTATGCGCTGTCGACGCATGCACCGAGTTGTCGATGGCAAATTCTGCCATCGGCAACAATTCACTCGAGCTCGTAAACGAGTGGACATACCCTCGAAGTATCTCTTCAAGGACGCGGTTGACGCGTTCCGTTTGACCATATGTTTCTGGATGGTCAGAAGTTGACATCGTCAAACGTGTTCCAAGTGAAACACGGATTGCCAGAACTCCGCCGTAAAGCAGGGGTCTCAATCAGACACGAGTTCACGGGGTAACCCGTGAAGGCGGAAGATAGTATCGATGAAGACACGAGCACAGCCCTGGGATGTGATTGACTCCGGTACAGCAACAAGATGTACCATCTTGCTGAACCAATCAACAAACACAATAGCATCAGTATTGTTGTGAGGGTCTTTAGAAAATACAAAGACGAAGTCCATCAATACGGACTGCCAACACTCTGCTGGAATCGGAAGAGGCTACAAGGGTGCGCGAGATGGAGGACTAGGCTTCACCCGCTGGCAAACTTCGCAAGCCCGAATTTAGTTGCGCACAAACTCATACTGGCGGGGCTAGTAGAAGGCACGACTCACCGTGAGGTAAGTCGTTTCCCTACTGCGACGCCCACTGGTTGGGGCATCGTGACACTCATGCATGATGCGCAATCGCAAATCATTGTGAGCCGGAACGACGACACGAGGTGTGTCGCCGTTGACTGCTGTATAGAACAGCAGTCCATCACGAACAAAATACCGTTCGGTTGAAGAGCGGTATTGAGACGACAAGCTTTTTAAAGCTTGACTGCATGGGTAAGCTTAATAATCCATCAACCGCAGAAGAGACTCATTTTCTGTGTATGCTTTTCGCACGTCATCGAGCAGATTCGACGACAAGACACTCACTGTTAGTGTCGCTACAGTGGGATCACCCCTACTGCTGTGTTGAGTAGTCGGCTCGAAATCGGTCCGACGCGAAAGAGCATCAGCGATGACATTAATTCGTCCTGATTTATACACGACGGAGAAGTTGTACTCCGCGAAGAAAGACAGCCACCTCGCCATTCTCTGCGAGAGGTGTGGAATGTTTACGGCCGTGTGTTTTGACGCATGGTCGTTACATACGACGAAAGGCTATCTCCTAAGAGATGTACCCGAAACTTAGTCGGTGCACATTTCATGGCAAGGAGTTCCTTGTCATGCACTTGGTAGTGACGCTCAGCTGCTTTCAGCTGGTGCGATTGATAACATACGACGCGCTCAACTCCGTCTGAGTCGTACTTCATTGGCGCGCAGCCGATTGCAAAATCGCTGGCGTCACAGACCACATGAAATGATCTATCCTGGTCTGCAATCGCCAACACCGGCGGTTGCACCAAACTTTTATTGATACCTTCGAAGAGTGCTGACACTCAGCGCTCCATGACCACCTCTCGTTTTTCTTTAGCAGACGAGAGAGATGTATGGTAATCTCGGCATAGTTGCGCGAGTATTTGTGCAAGTACGCCGCTAAGCCAAGGAACTTTCGAAGTCCCTTTACGTCGACTGGCACAGGCCAGTCGCTGATCGCCTTGATCTTTTCCGGATCAGGGCGTACACCGTTTTTACCCACGATGAAGCCAAGAAGTGGTATTTCGCTCGCTTCGAATATACACTTCTTGAGGTTCGCGAACAACTTATGCTCTCGCATTAGGATCTTCCGGACGTGGATTCTATGAACCTCCACGTCCGTCTTTCCATCCATAGCTCGACTATTGACGAAGACATCGTCAAAGTAACTCGGTGCAAAATCTCGCACCGATCGCAAACAGATTCGTAAAATCTGTGGAACATTGCAGGGGCGTTGCTTGGCCCCCGTGGCATCACCAGCCACTAATAGAGCATATCACTGGGAGTGCTCAGTGCTGTGTACGGGATGTCCCGTCCACGCATGCAGATCTGATCGAATCCACCCATCAGATCAATGGACGAGAAGGTAGTGCTTTTTGCCATACCATCTATGATGACGTCCTTCCTCGGTATCGGCGTTTGAGCCGGTACCGTTGCAGCGTTCAATTTGTTGAACACGTGCACAATCCACCACCCTCCTGTGGCATTTCGCACACAGAAGGTCGGATAGCTGTGTGTGGATGTTGATTCCCTCACATGACCAGCCGCTAAGCGATCGGCAAAAAAATTGTCGATCGCTGTGACCTGTTCACGAGTCAGTGGCCACTGCTTCATGACACGGTTCTTCGAACCGGGTTTCAGTTCGATCTCGTGCCGAGTGCCTTTGTCCTTGGGCAGCTCGCATGGCACGGATTCCGGGAAAACATCCCTGAATTCAACCAAATCCTTATACGAAGGATTTGTCTTTAGAGACTCCCAAGATTGAGACGTGTATCGCTCAATCCGAGTCTTCTCGTCGAGGACACTCACGTCCATCTATGAGCTACTGAGAACCCTTTCGTTCTCAGCAAACACTTGTGCCGACCGAATATTGGCGACGTACTCGTCCTCTGTGACGAGTACGCAGATCTGCTTGATATTGTCACTACACAGATCTCGCAAGAATCTTTTAGATTCTAGCGTTGGAAACTTCACTACCTCCAAAGCCGTTTTCGGGGGCGCAACCAGATCAAGTGTATAAGCGCCTACACTTGATCCGTCATTCACCGAGACATTCAATGACTCGGTAATTTACTGGGAAAATTCATCCGCAGGTGGTTGGGGATCCACACCCTCATCATAACTCTATCGGGAGTTATCACTCTCAGGAACGCCGGAATTTTCTTCCATTACGTGTACTATCACGGTCGCGTCCTCTTCGATCGACTCTCTTTCAGTCGATCGGGTTTGCTATACGATCTACTCTCCGATAGCCGATCTCGCTTCAACGTGTTGTTCATCTTGACAAACACTTATCTCTCTTCCCGGATGCACCCTTTTTGGTGTGCATCCGTGTTCCAGTCCACTCGATCTCCTCGAGTGGTGAACCTTCGGCGCAGCCTGTGTCTCTACACAGGTGCCGGAAGCTGGTTCCACAGTGTAGTGGCCTTCTACACTGTGATCTTGTGCAATCGTACTAACGACCGTACCACAAGTGAGGCCATCGCACTCACTCGTAATACATCCACACGATTGTGGACTCTCCAAACGTTCATCAGATGGCCATCCGATAAACAAACGGCAGGCATATTTACGGATCGATGTTGCCAGCTAACCCATGGCTGGTATTTTCTAAGCCATGGCAGTTTGGGGATGACATCAAATTTGTCATCCAAATCTAGTACGATGAAATCATCATCTTACTGCTTTCCTCCTAGCATGTAGTGGATTCCCACTACACGTTTGCTCACTGTTACGGATGCGCCTGTGGCAAGGCACACCGTCATCCTCGTTGGAGGGAAGTCTCGCTCAGCTTAGTTAAGACTACTATCCCCTAGCGACTGGCGTCGAATAAAACTGTTCGACGCATTACAGTCAAATAGGGCGCGAATTGACATTCCACTCGTCACTTCGATCTTCAAAGTGATGAGGGACTCCTCATCACTAATGGCAGTAGCACACAGAGAATGTGTGTTGGGAGCAATCTTCGTCAAGAGTTCTGCAAACTTTCTTGACGTTGCTGGATCAGCAGGGTGCTCCACCCCTACTGACCCTGACCGTTTTTTTACGGTCCGACTTGCTGTCGCGACTTAGCGATATGGTCGGACCCGCGCCTCGGACTTTTCCTTGGCCAACGGTGGTCATCACGTCCTGTCTTTGGAAGTGTTGCGGTGCTCGGGACACTACACTCATGAGAGTAGTGTCCAATCTTCTGACAGTGACGGCATCTTGCCGTTCGCTTGTGACTCAGAGAGCAAGAGTTCTCGCTCTCGATGTAACAGAGGTCCATTGGTTCGGAAACGCCTTTTTCCTGTCGTTTCGTCGGACGATAGTTTGACGAGTTAGCCTGAGACTGTCTCAGGCTAAAGTCTTCTTGTTCCGCATACGCTATCGCCTTTCAAGCGTATGGAAGCCCTCTCGGAACATGTAGGTCTTCGCCGGCCCATCCACAAGGCCGTAGATGAACACGTTGATGAGCGTGTGTTCATCAACAAGGTTTTCCGTAACGCTACGTGCAAGGTAGCGCAGGTGCTGTGCATAAGCGTGCACGTCACGCTTACCTTGCTTTAGCCTCAAGAGTGCAGAGCGTGCTCTGAACTCGGCTCTCGGCGGCTCAAACGGCTCTTTGAGCCGAGACTTCAAGATCTCCAACGACTCAAACAAGTTTGGGTCGTGAAACTTGGACCCTATGGCCCAAGTCTTTGCTCGTCCTGTCAATTTTGACAGGGCGAAGGTGACTTGCATCTCGTCACCCTCGATGTGACGGACCATAATGGCGGCGTCTAACTCGACGAACCATCTCAAAAGGGAATCTTTATCGGTTCCATTGCACCTTGAGATATCAATCTTCAAGTTTTCGGGTCGATGCGTGTGCGTCCGCCCGTTCATCGACTAATGTGAGCCTTGCTGCTGTAGCAAGGCTTTGTTATGTCTTTCGACGGCAAGTTCCCCTTGTAGGAATTTGTTGATAGCAGCATGTTGCTGGTCTCTGCTGAGCATGGCACTGATGGCGAGTTAGCCCAAGAGAAATCTCATGCGGCCGACTACCTCCCATTCTGAGTCACTCAGATGGGGGTAGCCTTCACGTGTGACGTGAAAGCTGTCGTCTTCTACGTCCAACGTGTTCATGTCGGACGGACACTAAATAGTCGTTGGACGGACTACGTGCTACCAGGTGTAACGGGGCACCCTTTCGTTTGGGGTGCCGCGAAACTTCACGTACAATAGTACGTGCAGAGGAAGCTAATCTACTTGAACGACTCGGTCAAGTAAAGGTAAAAAGAGATTATATTCTATGTAGCTATCAATATAACTTTAATCTTTATCTAACTTTATTAAACTACGTAGTCGTGTGACGACAACCTGCTCACCACTCATTGCGCGCGTCTAGCAGTGATTGGTGGCAATCTATAGTCGACATGTCTTATATCAACCAATCTTGGAGCAGCGCATGAATATTATTAAAGGAGGCAAGTATTCCTTCAATATTATCCATCTCGGATAATTCTGGTGGGATATTGTCATGCTATACAATATTCCAATTGACACCGTTTGGTGTCAATATCATGTAACGGGCTACCCCGTTACAATGACTGCGGTGGAGGTGCAGAAGCACAAGTTTTCGACAACATTGTCCACAATGCGTCGGCTAATCTTACAACAAATTTGAAGGCCAAGTACAACAATGACCGACACGATCGTCTATGCCAAGCTGAAGAGCTTGCGCACTTCTCATAGTCTCTAGAGCTCGAGAAAAAGACCGGAAGGACGTTGAAACGCGAGTTAGTCGTCGCTGTCATTGGTTAAAGACGTCACAAGGAGACGCGTTCAAGATATAATTGTGGCAAACAAGGGTACTCGAAGATTCACTGTAGGTCAAAAAGAACTCAAACAATAGCGCTAAGAACAACGGTGAGGTGTTGCTTGCTGCTATCGACGACAGCGATAATAAGAATGAAGACTAGATACTCGACAGTGGTGCCAGTCGACACCTGGTGAACGACAATCGTCTGCTGATCAACGCAGAGATTTGCAGCGATATAGTCTTGCTATCTGAAAACGAGAAGGTTGGGCTGTCCAAGGTCGGTAGTGTGAGACTCTACGTGATTGCCAATGGACAATAAAAACCAGTCAAATTCACGCATATCTACTATTCACCGAGTCTGGCCCGCAACATCATCAGCTATGGCAAACTTGAATATAAGGGATACATTCCTAAATATTCGAATGGCAAGCTATCAGTAGCTCGACGGAGTGATGGACAAGTCGCGTTCGACATGACTGTGAAGAATAGTGTGCTGATAGTCGGGACGGCGAGAATTAGTGCACGCAAAAAGGGGACAGCGGATGCTATGATGGCTGCCATCCAGGAGAAGGCAGCAGATGAACTGACTTCGGAGATGCATAGTGGTTCTAATGACTACCATCCAGGAAATGACTACCATCCAGGAGAAGGCAGCAGATGAACTGACTTCGAAGATGCATAGTGGCTCTCTGCTACATTTATAAACGTCTGGGGCACCTGTCGTACAATGCAATTGAGAAGATCGCGAGAAATTTAAGCTCGGGTACCGATCTGACGGACCACAAACAGATGCCATGCATCACGTGCGTAAAATCCAAGCAGACAGAAACAAGAAGAATATGAAATACTCCAGACAGAACGCACCGATCTACCGCATCGGCGGTGTCATCTGCTCGGATCTTAAAGGTCCACTGACGCCTGCAGATCGACTCGGAAATCGATATTTGATTAATTCCATCGATTCCAGAACCAACTACTGCCAAGTATTACTATCGCGAACAAAGTGCGCTGCGGCAAAGAAGTTCAAACACTTCTTGGTGTTATTTAAACACAAATTTGAGTAAAGGATCGCGATTATCAGAACAGTTGGCGGTGGGAAATATCATAATGTTGATCTGTTCTTCAAATCTACAAGCGTTGCAAGACACGTGAGTGAAGCAAAGAATCAAGCGTCGAATGAGAAATCCAAAAGAATGCACAAAACCTTTATAAATACGACACGAGCAATGATCTTCGCGTCTGGGTTTTCGCTTACGTTCTGGGGTGGAGCAGCTGAATACTCCATGTATATTCTGAACAAAAGCCCTACAAATTAAAATCCAAAGAGAGCGTCGCCGCTTTAACTTCTGACAGATAAATCGCTAAATTTTGCGCAACACTGTGGTGTTCGGCTCCCACTGTACCGTCTACCGTGATCCAAGCAAAAAAATTGTATACGCGCCGTGCTCAAATGGGCATGATCGTTGGTTTTAGTAAAGAAACCAAGGGTTTCAGACTGTTCATCAAGAATAAAAACAAGGTCCTTACAACGCAGCATGTCAAGAATATTGAAGCATTGTGTGCAGCTCATAAATGTCAGCTGCAACTGGCCCTTGAAGGCGATGACCGTGCAGATGTAGACGAAGACACTGAGCCACCTGTGCGACAGAGCAGTAGTGGTACGGCGAGCAATATGCCCAAGAAGAAGAAATAGTGGATACGACAGCCAAACGTGACAAGAGGCGCGGCAAGGAAGCAGCTGCAAGCCACAAAGAAGTTGTCAGCGCTGATGTCGTCGATCACGTTTTCGAAAGAGACCCTGTCAACTATGGAGAGCAGTGCAGAGCAAGAAGAGAAAAGAATGGTAAAATCAAAGCGTGAGGAGCTGGACGCGCTTGAAAAGAGCGAAGTGTGGCGCTTGGCGCTCCGATCAAGCAACAGCAACGTTTTCCACAGCAAATGGGTCTTCAAGACCAAGACGACCACCGATATAAACTTGGAAAGGCACAAAGCGCTCCTCGTTGCCTGAGGGAATGAACAATTTTTCGTCATTCACTACGCACTATAATTCGCTGCTGTCATGGACATAACGACAGTGAAAGTAATCTTGGCGCTAGCTGTCACATGTGGCGTCCCGGCTAAGCACGGAGACGTTTCCAACGCTTACTTAAAATCAGAAAAGGATCAGCATTTCAAGATTCTGGTGCGTGTTCCTAAGGGTATGACGTTTGAACCAAGAGAGTGAAAAGAACTGGGTGATACGAGGATACTGGATGTCGTCCTTGTACTGAAGAAAAAGTCTTCATGGTTTAAATTAAGCATGGCGCTTGTGGATCCAATTGCTTAACAACGGGTGGATTAAAGCAGAATTTACTCGCTGCATCAGCGATATCTGCTTGTAGTACAAGCGCGACATCGATAAAGTCTTCATCGTCGGAGTCTACGCAAACAATTTGCTGGTGACCAGAGCATCCGCTGTTGCAGTTGACGATCTTTGTGTTGACGATTTTTTGTGAGCCTCGGAAGTCTTTCGATTAAAAGTCTTGGTCCATTGTCGAAAATTTTGGGTATGCGTGTGACGCGCAACGAATGTCGTGAATATTCACTTGACCAGGAGGAGACGATTGTCGACTTGCTGCGTGACAAGTCGTTCACGTATCGGGACAGGATTTAATAAATTTCAAAGTGCAGACAGCGGACTACTTGCAGACATGGTTCTCCAAATCAACCTAGCGTTCGTTCTTTTTAGTCTATTATCATGTCGTTGCTCTGGGTGGCGAGGTGCACGCGACCCGACAAAGAATTTGTAGTGCAAAAGGCAACCAGAAAAACACACGAACCACGGATCCATGACTGAAAATTGGCGAAGCGCATCGTGCGCTATCTGTGTGACACGCGTGGGTTGAAGATCAGTATGAATCCGGCAGTCGAAGAAACTGCACAAACTGTTATAGGGAGCTACAGCGACGCAGACTACGCATCCGACAAGGCAGACAGAAAGCCTTTGACCGGTAGCGTTATCATGCTAAATGGAAAGATAGTCAGCTGGTGCTCGAAAAAGCAAAAAGGTGTGGCACTTTTGACGATGGAGTCTGAAATGGTGGCATCTTCTAAAGCTGGACGAGAGCAACTTGGAGTGAGAGAGACGCTGAATAAGATCGTTAGGTCACCTGCACTACCGATGAAAATGCTCACCGACGACTAGGCAGCGATCCGGAAGATAGAGGGAGAAGCGTCGTCTTCTAAAGCAAATCACATTGATGTGAGAGTCAAGTACTTGTGCGACCACGCTCGTCGAGACGTTGTGGTGCCGCAGTATGTGCCGAACGACCTGATGTTCGCGGATGTACTCACATAAGCACTCGATGCAGCCAAGACCGTCAAGTTGCGATCGTTGCTATATATCGTGTTAGCGCAGTGTAAGCAGTCGAAAAGAGGAATGTTGAAGATCGGGATGAGAAGTCACGATGTGCGGCACGACATGCTAGATCACGTTATGTCGGTGACCGTTTGAATGTGTATAAGAGGGCAGTCGACAAGTGAAGGAGCTGCAAAGATGGGCGAAGAAGCTTGCAGTTGCCAACAGGCAGGAAACGATTCGTCGGAGTATTGGCGAAGTGTCGCGCAGCGACATTAGGTCAACCCAGTAAGAGGGGCAGATACAGAGACATAGTGTGCAAGATAGCGAGCGAGAAAACTGGGAAATAACGACTTAGCTTAATATCAGCTTCCTTACTACCTCATCAAGTGCAAGCTCAACATTGGCCAGCAGGAACTTGTACAATGTAGCGGCCAAGGGAATTACTGTGGATCCAGCGCTACTTTTGTTGTGAGGTAGAACAGATAAACTAAGCTCGTCCGCTTGTTCTGTGCTTACTACGTATAGACAAAATGGATGGGGTCGCAATGCCAAAAATCTACACGAAGATGCAGAAGTCAAGAACAAAATTTGATGTAATCTAAAAGAGCTGTACTTGTATCTCGTATGAGCTTCAATATCCATTTTGAGCATTTTAAATCCATTGATCGATGTTAAATACGCCCACGTCTATAGAACTGCAGTTTTCTTTCGTACAATCGTACAGAAGAAACTGCACATTTTCTGTACGATTACAGACCTTTTCATTAATGTCTTCCGCTCCTTTCTGGATTAATTTTGTCGGAATCAGCGCTTTGCTTGATATCTTTTGTTTATACTTCTTCAATAGTAGACGCATGTAACTGAGAGCGTCGAGCAGAAGCACGTTGAAACCTCAAATATACAGCATATCCTGGACGGCCAACTTACTTGCAGCAGAGCCGCCATTATACGGCTTTTCCGGAAATGCCAGAACTACAAACTCGACAGATCCGACCCAGAATCCACACTAAGCACACGGGCTGACACATCCTTGGCTTGCAGAAGGGTGATCGGGTCCGCAAGGCCTTGTTTGAGAGGGACTTGCGGTGTCTGGGATAAATTTGATTGTGTTACTCATGTGCTTTAGATACCTTGCGCTTCATCACTACCAACAAAACCAACTTTAGATAGAATACGACCGTCAACTGTCCTGTAAAAATCCAACTGGAGATACAACACTTGTTCAAATCCAACTGGAGACACAACATTTGACCATCAACTAACTGTCAACAGACATCAGACTAGCCATCCAGACACGCGAGGAGAGGCGATGCAGATTGCAGGGATGTCACACTCCCATGAACCAGTTTTACTTAGCATATAAAATTGAGACAAATTGAAAGGCGCTGATACACTGCTCCCATGTCGACAGTGACTGTTATATCAGCATGGACTATGCAAATAGGGTAAGATCAATCCGCCACCTCCTTTTTTTCCGATACTGTTTCGGGCGCCGGATCATCACGTGATCGCCTAGGTAGTAAAAGTGTTCCAGAAGCTTGGTTACATCGCGGGTGTTGTCGACCAGGATAGCCTTAAACCGGTGTTTGGATATGTAACGGGGCACTCTGAAGCTTGTACTGATGACAGTACAAGCTACTTATTCTGATGACAGAATAAGGCGGTGCCTCGGAACTTCACGTACACTCGTACGTGCAGAGGAAGACGGTAAGAAGAAGCGAGTACTTGGTTAAAGTAAAAAGTAGAACTGTATTTAGTATAGTTAATGTCTGCAATAAATCACTATTTATCTTCATCTAACTATGTCTAAATAGCAAATGTGTAAGTCAAATATCTGCTCACCACTCATTGCGTGCGTCTGTCGTGGCGCGTCTTCGTCGGTTGATATAACGGCCTATATCAACCAATTAGGAACTACTCGTAAGTGCTACAGAAGATTTGTCCTTAAGACAATATTCTGAGAATGTAACTCTTACAGTTATATTCTATCAACAATTTCTTATAAATTGCTATGCAACGATTCACCCCGTTACATCACCCCCCTTAACCATCAGTCACTTTAGTGACTGATTGGCTAAATGGATACTCGTCCCAAATCATTTGGGACAGGGTTTGCACTTGTTGGTCCGAGTCCACTTTCCAACATTTCATCGGCATGGTTAACAAGTCCATGCGATGCGCGAGCAAGTCTCTGTGCGGACGCCGAAGCAAAAACCACAGCAACTGATGTCTCATCGGTTGCTGAAGCAACTCAGCCTGTTTCACTTGGTGATGCAGGCGCTGGTCATGAAGACACTCATGTCTTCACAGAGTATGAGCTAGGTTTCTCATGCTCTTCTGATTCGGAAGACGGATCCGTATCGACGGCGATCGAATCCAAGCCGCCTGCCAAGCGTGGCATGGATAATGCTATGCTTCGTAGCATCTTTGGTTCATCTGACGAATCAGATGAACCATCGCCGAAGCGAAGGCACTCGAGATCGCGAGCCTCGGGCGCTAGCAGTGGCGTCGTTTCACCTTTGAACATCACTTCGCAACGAGGTGCCAGTCCTTCTGTCGGCACATCGCAGGAAGAGCGGGACCGCAGTGTGTTGCGTCTCGCTCCTGAGAAGAAGGCATGGATGCCTGCCAAATCCGTCATGGATCACTTGTCGGCGACGACGAGTGATCGTTATCGAACACGATTGTTCGATTCGTCAAGGATCCATCACCTTGACCCCAGCGCGAAAGACTATCGCGCTGAAAACGAATTCTTCATCGATGCTTACTTTAGACATCGATGGTACAGTGGGAATCACAAACGTGATGGTCCCTCACTACTTCAGGCGTGGAACGCCTACATCCATAACCTTGAGTATGTAGATCGTGACGTTTGGAACGACGAACTTATCAAAGCTCGTGATAAGTTTGAAAAGCGAACCCCGACAGGTGCACGCTACAAGCTGCATCGTCTGTCAAGGGAGAAGGGATCACCCTGCCTCTCTTGGGGAGACTCGTGCCTATGTCGTGTAAACAACTCTGCACGAGCACCTAAGGAGGCTTAACTCCTTACCAGCCCGTGGTGGCGCGTACGTGTCTCTACTGAGATGTACGAAGGGATTGACAACCTGAAATCCCTTTACGACCGTGCCGGGAAGACTTTCTCCGGCGGTCCTTCTGCGGCACAGGATGTGCCGCGTCGTACTGCTCAACCAGACCCAGTACGTCGATCATCAGTTGGGAGCGGGGCTCCCAAGAATCCCAGGACGGGGGATAGCCGCGCCACCGGACGAGATAACTCGTCCGACGTCCGTTCACGTCGCGATGGTTCAACAGCTGCTCAACTAGATAGCGCTGGCCACCGCGAGAGTCCTCTAATGGAGGTCGAGGAGGAGGAAAGACGCTCTCCACACGATCGTGGGGATCCGTGGGTTCCCGAGAGCTTCTTTGATTGCGTAACGCAAGGTTTACGCGACGATCTCGAGCATGAGCGGAATAGGCGTCTCCAAATGGCGGACACTGCCTCGAAGCATCGAGCTGAGTTTGCCTTTGCTCAGCTTGAGAACGACATATATATGACATCTCTTTGTGACGAGCTAAGGGTAGCTCGTGGGATAGTTGATCGGTCTCGGGATGAGATAGCTGCTCTTCAGACCCTTGTTGATGCCCACCATCGGGAGCACAAGGCTCTCTGCGAGATGCTTGAGCGCAAGGGCGTTCTTCATCGGAAGAAGCAGCGTACTGATGGTACGGCTTAAGCCGACCAACGTAAAACGTGGGATGCTTTCGCATCTTACGTGGTAACTCGATCGTGTATGCATTGCCTAGGCGGTGCAATACACGAAATGGGCCAATGTACTTGGGTAGTAGTTTACTGCTACCCAAGTTAGTCACTACATGCTTTGGTAGATTAACAGTAGACAGTAGGACCAAGTCACCTTTATTAAACAAAAGAGTGTTTGCCCTTCCATTCTTGTCAGCGTTTTGCTTTTGCTTATCCACCGCTTCGGCGATGGAGTCTTGCACAAAACGGACTACCGTTTCACGAGCCAGTACGAACTCATCTGATGACTCGTTAGCTTCAGTGTGCTGTGAGCGCACTGCAGCGACATCAATCTTTTCTTCAGTGAGGGCTTCCTCACTCTCACTGGGATCATCTTCTTCAGTGAGGGCTTCCGCACTCTTACTAGCATCATCTTCTTCGATATCGATGTTATCGATATCGGCATCAAACGCAATGACCTCTTCTTCAGAGTGTGATGAGCGTGAACCAAATCGGCTTTTGCTCGCGCGAGTCCATCCCCCCTTAAACCAGAGTTACACTCTAGTAAGGTGGGTAAACGCGGATGGCGTAAGCCATTCACGTAAAACGGTGTATGTGTCGTGGACGCATGCATCGAGTTGTTAATGGCAAACCCTACCATTGGCAAAAACTCACTCCAACTCTTAAAGGAGTGTACGTATCCTTGAAGTATCTCTTCAAGGATACGATTGGCACGTTCCGTCTGACCATCTGACTCTGGATGATCAGATGTCGACGTCTTCAAGCGCGTTCCAAGTGATTTGAACATGGAGCGCCAGAAATCAGCAGTGGAGCGTGGATCTCTTTTTGATACGAGTTCAGGGGGCAACCCATGAAGTCGGAAGATGGTGTCGATAAAGACACAAGCACAGCCACTTGCCGTGATTGTCTCTGGTACAGCCACAAGGTGTACCATTTTGCTGAATCTTTCAACAAATAAGAGGATACCCGTATTCTTGCGTGCGTCTTTGGGTAACCCGAAGACGAAATCCATTGAGATGGATTGCCAGCACTCTGCCGGAACCGGTAGAGGCTGTAAATTTGCACGCAGTGAAGGACTTGACTTCACTCGTTGACAGACTTCGCGTACGCGAAAATACTTTCGCACAAACTGATACTGGCGGGGCCAGCAAAAGTCTCGACTTACCGTGAGATATTTCTTCTCCCGGCCACGATGTCCTTCTGTAGGAGCATCGTGATACTCGAACATGATCCGCAAGCGCAGATCAGTATCATCTGGAATGAAAACACGTGGTGTGTCACCAGCAACGGCTGTATAATACAGTAAAACGTTACGAGTAGTGTATCGATCTGATGCAGATCGACACGCAGACGATAATCGTTTCAACGATTCTCGAGATGGTTGTGAGAGATGTGTCAACAACTTCACAATCTCACCATCTTGGGCATACGCCCGCCTCACATCATCATGCAATGTTGAAGATGGTACTGAGGACGTCATAACCGCAACAGTGGCTGTCTCACCGTTGGGTTTCACGACTGGTTCAAAGTCGGGACGACGTGAGAGTGCATCAGCTACGACATTAAGTCGTCCTGGTTTGTACTCTACCGTAAAGTTGCATTCTGCAAAGAATGACAACCACCGCGCCATTCGTTGTGAAAGGAGCGGGCTGTTTACTGCCGTGCGTTATGACGCATGGTCAGTGTAAACAATGAAGGGTCTATCTCCTAATAGATGGACTCTGAACTTCGCGAATGCATACTTCATGGCAAGGACTTCCTTGTCATGCACTGGATAGTTCCGCTCAGCTGGTTGCAGCTGACGCAAGTGATAGCAGAATACGCGCTCAACTCCTTCAAGATCGTACTGCATTAATGCACAGCCGTTTGCGAAATCGCTGGCATCACAGACCACATGAAATGACCTGTCCTGATCGGCAATTGCTAGGACCGGGGATTGTATCAAGCTCTGCTTGATACCCTCAAAGCAGCGCTGACATTCAGCGTTCCATAACCACCTCTCGTTCTTTTTCAACAAACGAGAGAGGTGCACAGTCATCTCGGCGTAATTGCGTGAATGCTTGTGCAAATACGCCGCTAGCCCAATGAATTTTCGAAGACCTTTGACATCAACTGGCACAGGCCAGTCGGTGATCGACTTGATCTTTTCGGGATCAGGACGTACACCGTTCTTACCAACGATGCACCCAAGAAGTGGTATTTCGCTTGCTGCAAATATAAACTTCTTGAGATTGGCATACAATTGATGCTTTCGCATGATTGTAAGAACCTGTCGGACGTGGTACCTGTGAACCTCAAAATCCGACTTTCCATCCATAGCACGGCTATGGATGAATACGTCATCAAAATAACTCGGCGCGAATTCTCGTACTGGTCTCAACAGATGTGATACACATCTGTTGAATGTGGCAGGGGCATTACTAAGCCCTTGTGGCATCACTAGCCATTCCCAGAGCATGCCGCTAGGCGTGCTAACTGCGGTATAGGGTATATCCCGTTCTCTCGCATAAGGATTTGATAGAAGCCATCCATCAAATCCATGGACGAAAAGATGGTACTCTTTGACATACCATCAATGATTCCATCCTTCCTTGGTATTGGCGTCTGAGCCGGTACCGTTGCAGCATTCAACTTGATGAATGCATGCACTATCCGCCACCCTCCTGTTGGTTTTCGCACACAGAAGGTCGGAGAGCTATGTGGGGAAGTTGATTCCCTCACATGGCCTGCAGCTAAACGATCGGCAAAGAACTTATCGATCGCAAGTACTTGTTCACGAGGCAGTGGCCACTGCTTCATGACACAGTATTTCGAGCCTAGTTTAAGCTCGACCTCGTGTCGAAGACCTTAATCCTTCGGTAATTCGCACGGAGCAGTTTCAGGGAATACATCCTTGAATTCAACCAAATCTTCATAGAGAGGATTTGTCTTGAGCGATTCCCACGATTGGGAGTCATATCGCTCAACTCGTGTCTTTTCATCGAGGACGCTCTCGTCCATCGATGAACTACTGAGAACTCTCTCGTTCTGAGTGAACACTGTTTTTGACCTTATGTCGGCTACGCACTCGTCGTCAGCGACGAGTACGCAGATCTGCTTGACTTTGCCACTACGCAGATCACGCAAGAACCTTTTATGTTCGAGCGTTGGCAACTGAGTGATCTCCGAAGTCAACTTCGGAGGCGCAATCAGATCAAGTGTATAAGCGCCTACACTTGATCCGTCATTGACTATGGCATTCAATTTCTCTGTCATTTCCTGGGGACTTATTCTCTCAGGCCTCGAAGGACTTTTTCCTTCGGCTTCCCGGGGACTTATTCCCGCGGGTTTCGGGGATCTTATTTCCACCGTATCTGTAATATCGGGACTTATTCCCTTTACTTCCTCTAGCTGGGGTTGCGCAACCACAGCGAGATCCTCTACGAAAGACTCTCCAGTCGATCTAGGATTATCGTTTCGCTTAACCTGAGCGATCGATTGTTTCTCTTCTAGATGTTCCCCGCTAGGGATACATCTTTGTCCCGGTCCACTCGACTTATTCGAGTGGTGGACCTTCGGCGCAGCCTGTGTTTCCTCACAGCCGCCGGAAGCTTGCTCCGAAGTGTAACCGTTTGTTACACTAAGGTTTCGTGCAGTCGTACTAACGACCGTACCACAAGTGAGTCCATCGCACTCACTCGTAGTACATCCACACGCTTGTGGACACTCCAAAACGTTCATCAGATGGCCATCTGATGAACAAGCGGCAGGCATCGTTACTGTCCGATGTTGCCAATTAACCCGTGGTTCGTACCTTCTGAGCCACGGTATTCCAAGGATGGCATCAAATGTGTCATCCAAATTCAATACGATAAAGTCATCATCAAATTGGGTATCTTCTAGCGTATAGTGGATCTTCACTATACGCTTTATGACGGTTACGGATGCGCCTGTCGCAAGACGTACCGTCATCCTCGTGGGAGGTGTGTCACATTCACTGAATTTAAAGTGACCATCTTCTAGCGATTGGCGTCGCACAAAATTGTTGCACGCCCCACAATCGACTAGAGCTCGAAGGGACAACTTATTTGTCACTTGGAGTTTCAAGATAATGAGTGAGATCTCATTACCTAGAGCAGCAACACACAATGTTTGTGTGTTGGGAGCAACCTTCATCAAGAGGCCCACAAATTCTCTTGACGTTGCTGGACCAGTCGGGTGCTCCTCACCTACTAATCCTGTCCGTTTTTTGACGGTCCATCCCGTTGTTGCGTCTTTGCACCAACAGCTGACCCTCGTCCCTGCCCCTTTCTCATGGGTGGACGGTCATTACGCCCAGTGTTGCGAGACACCGGACGAGGGGCACTACACTCGTAAGCGTAGTGTCCTGTCTTTTGACATCTGTTGCATTTCTGCAACTTCTTGTAGTCTGTAAAGCGAGCCTTCTCGCTCTCTACATAACAGAGTTCCATTGGCTCTGGAATTCCGTTGTCATATCGTCTCGGTGGACTATATGATGTCTAGCTGGCGCGAGCCTGTCTCAGACTGAAGTCTTCTTGTTCCGCAATGGAAATGGCTTGTTCTAGTGAGTCTAGTTTAAGTCGGAATAGGTGAGTCTTGACAGGACTATCCGCAAGACCCTGCATGAACACCGAAACCAACGTGTGTTCATCCACTGGATTGGAACTTATACAACTCGTAAGATGTCGTATATGTTGAGCGTAAGCGTGCACATCACGCTTACCCTGCTTGAGCTTCAAGAGTTCGGTTCGAGCCCTGAACTCAGCTCTAGGCGGTTCAAACGTTTGTCTGAGCCGCGACTTGAAGACTTCCAACGACCCAAACGCATATGGGTCGTGCAGCTTGAGCCCCAGTGCCCAAGTCTTGGCACGTCCTGCCAGATTTGATTGGGCAAATGCAGCTTGCATATCCCCGTCGTCGATGCGACGCGCCCTTATGGCGTCATCCAATTCGACGAACCATCTCAAGAGGGAGTCTTCTTCGACCCCTCTATACTTTGAGATGTCAATCTTCAAAGTCTCGGGCCGACGCGAGTGCATCGACCCGCCAGCAGCAGCCTGCTGCTGTCTCAACTGTTCAAACTGTTGAGCACCCTGTTCTCTCAACAACTCTGCTTGTTGAGAACCTTGTTGGTGAAGCAAGGCTACTTTCTCGCGTTCTGCGTCAAGTTCATTTTGAATAAACTTGGCGATAGTAGCATGTTGGGCATCTCTATTGAGAGCCTTTAGCGTGACGCTAACAGCATGGATGCCCATGGTTGAACCCATCCGTTCAACCGCATCACATTCGACATCGCTCAAATGGGAGTAGCCGTCACGCGTAGCGTGAAAGCTTTGGTCATCTTCATCATCCAACATATTCATGTTAGATGTGAACGTGGTCCTTGGACGGACTACGAAGCGCTACCAGGTGTAACGGGGCACCCTGAAGCTTGTACTGATGACAGTACAAGCTACTTATTCTGACGACAGAATGAGGCGGTGCCGCGTAACTTCACGTACACTGGTACGTGCAGAGGAAGACGGTAAGAATAAGCGAGCACTTAGTTTAAGTAAAAAGTAGAACTGTATTTATCATAATTAATGTCTGTTAATAAACCACTGTTTATCCTCATCTAACTATGTCTAAATTCAAATGTGTAAGTCGAATATCTGCTCACCGCTTATTGCGTGCGTCTGTCGTGGCGCGTCTTCGTTGGTTGATACAATGGCCTATATCAACCAATTAGGAACTACTCGTAAGTGCTGCAGAATATTTGTCCTTATGACAATATTCTGAGAATGTAACTCTTACAGTTATATTCTATTAACAATTTCTTATAAATTGCTATGCAACGATTAACCCTGTAACGGGGCACCCTGAAGCTTGTACTGGTGACAGTACAAGCTACTTATTCTGATAACAGAATAAGGCGGTGCCTCGTAACTTCACGTACACTCGTACGTGCAGAGGAAGACGGTAAGAAGAAGCGAGTACTTGGTTAGAGTAAAAAGTAGAACTGTATTTATAATAGTTAATGTCTGCAATAAATCACTATTTATCTTCATCTAACTATGTCTAAATACAAATGTGTAAATCAATTATCTGCTCACCACTCATTGCGTGCGTCTGTCGTGGTGCGTCTTCGTTGGTTGATATAATGGCCTACATCAACCAATTAGGAACTACTTGTAAGTGCTACAGAATATTTGTCCTTATGACAATATTCTGAGAATATAAATCTTACAGTTATGTTCTATCAACAATTTCTTATAAATTGTTATGTAACGATTCACCCCGTTACATCACCCCCCTTAACCATCAGTCACTTTAGTGACTGATTGACTAAACGGATACTCGTCCCAAATCATTTGGGACGGGGTTTGCACTTGTTGGTCCGCGTCCACTTTCCAACATTTCATCGCATGGTTAACAAGCCCATGCGATGCGCGAGCAAGGCCGCCGAGAGCGCGTCTGCACGTCTCTGTGCGGACGCCGAAGCAGAAACCACAGCAACTGATGTCCCATCGGTTGCTGAAGCAACTCAGCCTGTGTCACTTGGTGACGCAGGCGCTGGTCATGAAGACACTCGTGTCTTCACAGAGTACGAGCTCGGTGTCTCGTACTCTCCTGATACGGATGACGGATCCGTATCGACGGCGATTGAATCTAAGCCGCCTGCCAAGCGTGGCATGGACGATGCTTTGCGTCGCAGCATCTTTGGTTCATCTGATGAATCAGATGAACCATCGCCGAAGCGAAGGCGCTCGAGGTCGCGAGACTCGGGCGCTAATAGTGGTGTCGGTTCTCCAATGGACACCACTTCACAGCGAGGTGCCAGTACTTCTGTCGGCACGTCGCAGGAAGAGCGGGACCGCAATGTGTTGCGTCTCGCTCCAGAAAAGAAGGCATGGATGCCTCCAAAATCAGTCATGGATCACTTGTCGGCGACGACGAGTGATCGTTATCGAACACGATTGTTCGATTCGTCAAGGATCCATCACCTTGACCCCAGCGCGAAAGACTATCGCGCTGAACATGAGTTCTTCATCGATGCTTTCTTCAGACATTGATGGTACAGTGGGAATCACAAACGTGATGGTCCCTCACTACTTCAGGCGTGGAACGCCTACATCCATAACCTCGAGGATGTAGGTCGTGACGCTTGGAACGACAAACTTATCAAAGCTCGTGATAAGTTTGAAAAGCGAACCCCGACAGGTGCACGCTACAAGCTGCATCGTCTGTCAAGGGAGAAAGGATTGCCCTGCCTCTCTTGGGGAGACTCGTGCCCATGTTGTGTGAACAACTCTGCACGAGCACCTAAGGAGGCTTACCTCCTTACCAGCCCGTGGTGGCGCGTACGTGTCTCTACTGAGATGTACGAAGGGATTGACAACCTGAAATCCCTTTACGACCGTGCCGGGAAGACTTTCTCCGGCGGTCCTTCTGCGGCACAGGATGTGCCGCGTCGTACTGCTCGACCAGACCCAGTACGTCGATCATCAGTTGGGAGCGGGGCTCCCAAGAATCCCAGGACGGGGGATAGCCGCGCCACCGGACGAGATAACTCGTCCGACGTCCGTTCACGTCGCGATGGTTCAACAGCTGCTCAACTAGATAGCGCTGGCCACCGCGAGAGTCCTCTAATGGAGGTCGAGGAGGAGGAAAGACGCTCTCCACACGATCGTGGGGATCCGTGGGTTCCCGAGAGCTTCTTTGATTGCGTAACGCAAGGTTTACGCGACGATCTCGAGCATGAGCGGAATAGGCGTCTCCAAATGGCGGACACTGCCTCGAAGCATCGAGCTGAGTTTGCCTTTGCTCAGCTTGAGAACGACATATATATGACATCTCTTTGTGACGAGCTAAGGGTAGCTCGTGGGATAGTTGATCGGTCTCGGGATGAGATAGCTGCTCTTCAGACCCTTGTTGATGCCCACCATCGGGAGCACAAGGCTCTCTGCGAGATGCTTGAGCGCAAGGGCGTTCTTCATCGGAAGAAGCAGCGTACTGATGGTACGGCTTAAGCCGACCAACGTAAAACGTGGGATGCTTTCGCATCTTACGTGGTAACTCGATCGTGTATGCATTGCCTAGGCGGTGCAATACACGAAAAGGGCCAATGTACTTGGGTAGTAGTTTACTGCTACCCAAGTTAGTCACTACATGCTTTGGTAGATTAACAGTAGACAGTAGGACCAAGTCACCTTTATTAAATAAAAGAGTGTTTGCCCTTCCATTCTTGTCAGCGTTTTGCTTTTGCTTATCCACCGCTTCGGCGATGGAGTCTTGCACAAAACGGACTACCGTTTCACGAGCCAGTATGAACTCATCTGATGACTCGTTAGCTTCAGTGTGCTGTGAGCGCACTGCAGCAACAACAACCTTTTCTTCAGTGAGGGCTTCCGCACTCTCACTGGGATCATTGTCTTCAGTGAGGGCTTCCGCACTCTCACTGGCATCATCTTCTTCGATATCGATGTTATCGATATCGGCATCAAACGCAATGACTTCTTCGTCAGAGCGTGATGAGCGTGAACCAAATCGTTTTTTGCTCGCGCGAGTCCCTCCCCCCCCTTAAACCAGAGTTACACTCTAGTAAGGTGGGTACACGCGGATGGCGCAAGCCATTCACGTAAAGCGGTGTATGTGTCGTGGACGCATGCACCGAGTTGTTGATGGCAAACTCTACCATTGGCAAAAACTCACTCCAACTCTTAAAGGAGTGTACGTATCCTCGAAGTATCTCTTCAAGGACACGATTGGCACGTTCCGTCTGACCATCTGACTCTGGTCGATCAGATGTAGACATCTTCAAGCGCGTTCCGAGTGATTTGAACACGGAACGCCAGAAATCAGCAGTGAATCGTGGATCTCTGTCTGATACGAGTTCACGGGGCAACCCATGAAGTCGGAAGATGGTGTCGATAAAGACACAAGCACAGCCACTTGCCGTGATTGTCTCTGGTACAGCCACAAGGTGTACCATTTTGCTGAATCTGTCAACAAATACGAGAATACCCGTATTCCCGCGTGCGTCTTTGGGTAACCCGAAGATGAAATCCATTGAGATGGATTCCCAGCACTCAGCCGGAACCGGTAGAGGCTGTAAAGGTGCACGCAGTGAAGGACTTGACTTCACTCGTTGGCAGACTTCGCATGCGCGAACATACTTTCGCACAAACTGATACTGGCGGGGCCAGTAAAAGTCTCGACTTACCGTGAGATATGTTTTCTCTCGGCCACGATGTCCTCCTATAGGAGCATCGTGATACTCGAACATGATCCGCAAACGCAGATCAGTATCATCTGGAATGACAACACGTGGTGTGTCACCAGAAACGGCTGTATAATACAGTAAACCGTTACGAGTAGTGTATCGATCTGATGCAGATCGATACGCAGGCGACAATCGTTTCAACGATTCTAGGGATGGTTGGGAGAGATGTGTCAACAACTTCACAATCTCACCATCTTGGGCGTAAGCCCGCCTCACATCATCATACAACATTGTAGATGGAACTGAGGACGTCATAACCGCAACAGTGACTGTCTCACTGTTGGGTTTCGCGACTGTTTCAAAGTCGGGACGACGTGAGAGTGCATCAGCGACGACATTAAGTCGTCCTGGTTTGTACTCGACCGTAAAGTTGTATTCTGCAAAGAATGACAACCACCGCGCCATTCGTTGTGAAAGGTGCGGGCTGTTCACTGCCGTGCGTAAGGACGCATGGTCAGTGTAAACAACGAAGGGTCTATCTCCTAATAGATAGACTCTGAACTTCGCTAGTGCATACTTCATGGCAAGGAGTTCCTTGTCATGTACTGGATAGTTCCGCTCAGCTGGTTGCAGCTGACGTGACTGATAGCAGACGACGCGTTCAACGCCTTCAAGATCGTACTGCATTAATGCACAGCCGATTGCGAAATCGCTGGCATCACAGACCACATGAAATGGCCTGTCCTGATCGGCTATTGCTAGGACTGGGGATTGTATCAAGCTCTGCTTGATACCCTCAAAGGAGCGTTGACATTCAGCGTTCCATAACCACCTCTCGTTCTTTTTCAACAAACGAGAGAGGTGCACAGTCATCTCGGCGTAATTGCGTGAATACTTATGCAAATACGCCGCTAGCCCAAGGAATTTTCGAAGACCTTTGACATCGACCGGCACAGGCCAGTCGGTGATCGACTTGATCTTTTCGGGATCAGGACGTACACCGTTCTTACCAACGATGCACCCAAGAAGTGGTATTTCGCTTGCTGCAAATATACACTTCTTGAGGTTTGCATACAATTGATGCTTTCGCATGATTGTAAGAACTTGTCGGACGTGGTACCTGTGAACCTCAACGTCCGACTTTCCATCCATAGCTCGACT